AGGCTCCATTGCTATTTATTGTAGAGCTTAGATATTCAAAGTTTGTGATATTTTCAATTTCTTCACCATTCATTGTTATTTTTTGAGTGATAGCCAGTATTTTCTGTGGACATTATTTTTGTTTTCTTTATATTCAAGATCAGATTTTGATCTTCACTGTGCTTTTGGACAGACAATATTAAATTTTCTATTCCTTTTACGCTGTTCGAAAGGAGGACTGTGTCATCTGCATAGCGGAGTTCCGGAATAGGGTTGCCACCAATTTTGAGCGGATCATAACTGTCACGAGTCTGGTCATTTTTGATATTTTGCATTTTATTTTCTGCGTATATATTGAATAGGTATGGTGAGAGAATGCACCCCAGCCTCACTCCCTTTTGCACCTCGAACCAGTCCGATGTTTCACCTACTGCTCTGATGGCTGCTTGTTGTTCATGATAAAGATTTTCTATCAAATGCACCAAATGCGCTGGAAATCCCATACTTATCATAACAGTTCACAGTTTCTGATGTTGGACACAATCAAATGCCTTGCTATAATCAATGAAACAGGCATGAAGATCTACGTTGTATTCTCTACAGTTTTCAAAATTTATTCTCATATTAAAAATGAGATCCCTAGTTCCTCTACCCTGTCTGAAACCCGCGTGTGCTTCATGTAGCTTATATTGTAATTTCCTTTCAGTCCTCTTCATGATAATTCGCAAGAGGATTTTGCTAGCATGACTTCTTAATGCGATGGTACGGTAGTTGGAGCATAGTTTCATATTTCCTTTCTTTGGGAGAGGGATATAGACTGTTCTTTTCCACGCTTTAGGCCAAACGTCACTATTCCAGATCTTCGTGCACAGTGCATGGTAAATTCGGACACTGGCCTGTCCTCCTGCTTGAATTAGTTCTGCTGGTATTTCATCGCAACATGATGACTTTCCTTTCTTCGGGTTGTATATTGCCGATCCTAACTCATCTAGTAAAGGCACTGCTTCTTTTTCATAACTTTCATGAGTTGTTTTTGAACTACTGAAAAGCTGATGCTGTTTCCTCCAATAACATACGATCTTGCATACAAATCCTTATTAAAAAGCTCAGGCTGTTTCCTCCAACAACAGACGTTCCTATATACAGATACTTAGTGAAACAGCTCTTGTTGCTTTCTCCAACAACAGACGTGCTTGTATACAGATCCCTACTGAAACAGCTGTTTTGTTTTCTCAACAACAGACGTGTTTGTTTGCAGATCCCTACTGAAACAGCTGTTTTGTTTTCTCAATAACAGACGTGATACTGAAACAGCTCATGTAAACAGATGCATACCAAAAGAATTACAGTGCTTTTACACAGATTCGTACACTATCTGATTGTTTGTTACATGTAAGATGACAGTGCTTGTATAGAGACAGAACTTTACCTTACTGTTACATGTAAGATGACAGTGCTTGCATACAGACAGAACTTTACCTTACTGTTACATGTAAGATGACAGTGCTTGTATACAGACAGAACTTTACCTTATTGTTACATGTAAGATGACAGTGCTTGTATAGAGACAGAACTTTACCTCACTGTTACATGTAAGATGACAGTGCTTGCATACAGACAGAACTTTACCTTACTGTTACATGTAAGATGACAGTGCTTGTATACAGACAGAACTTTACCTCACTGTTACATGTAAGATGACAGTGCTTGTATACAGACAGAACTTTACCTCACTGTTACATGTAAGATGACAGTGCTTGCATACAGACAGAACTTTACCTTATTGTTACATGTAAGATGACAGTGCTTGTATAGAGACAGAACTTTACCTCACTGTTACATATAAGAATGACAGTGCTTGTATACAGACAGAACTTTACCTCACTGTTACATGTAAGATGACAGTGCTTGTATAGAGACAGAACTTTACCTCACTGTTACATGTAAGATGACAGTGCTTGTATAGAGACAGAACTTTACCTTATTGTTACATGTAAGATGACAGTGCTTGTATACAGACAGAACTTTACCTCACTGTTACATGTAAGATGACAGTGCTTGTATACAGACAGAACTTTACCTCACTGTTACATGTAAGATGACAGTGCTTGTATAGAGACAGAACTTTACCTTATTGTTACATGTAAGATGACAGTGCTTGTATAGAGACAGAACTTTACCTCACTGTTACATATAAGAATGACAGTGCTTGTATACAGACAGAACTTTACCTCACTGTTACATGTAAGATGACAGTGCTTGTATAGAGACAGAACTTTACCTCACTGTTACATGTAAGATGACAGTGCTTGTATAGAGACAGAACTTTACCTTATTACTGTTACATTTAAGAATGACAGTGCTTGTATACAGACAGAACTTTACCTTACTGTTACATGTAAGATGACAGTGCTTGTATAGAGACAGAACTTTATCATGACATGGTTTGTACACATGCCATGGCTTGTACACATATACATACTTCTATCTAAATGTTACATGTAAGAATGAATGCACGTAATACAGATCCGTACTATGTCTGACTGTTACATGTAAGAATGTTTTCCTCATGCCTGCAACGTATGCACGAATGCATAGTGTAATATATATATAATACTGTATATTTAATACTGTTCCTCATGTTGTTGTGGGAATTCCCCCCCCCCCCCCCCTCACCGACCATAAAATGATTTTCATTGCTTCTTTATAACTTCAGTGAATATGTGTTTTCCTATGGTCTTAGACGACCTCTGTGAAATGGATGTTCAACACCCAAAAGGGTTGCGACCCAGAGGTTGAGAGCCACTGTGCTACAGGAAGGGATGAGAATCACAGCCGTGCGAATGGCCAGTGTGACACAAAGGACATAACCTAATCTAAAAATTATACCAGAGGGAAAGGTCGAAGGGACAAGAGCAAGCAGTAATAAACGTCAGCATGTGATCACTGGGCTGGATTCAGTCAGAGACATCAAACAAAGTAATTCTGATACTGGTTAAAGCTACATATTTTGAAACATCCAGGTATATCTACTTACAACTCTTTACCTACAACGTTTAGCAACAAAAAATGCAGGACTTAAGAAGGAGGAAGACATGTACTCACATTCTCTGCAGGATTTCTCCCTTCTAAATTCGATCATAACATTAAAGCAGAGAGGAACAGCTTCATAGCACACTATTATCCTAAAAAACTCTGCATCTCCCCACAAAAAGACTAGCTGCCTGCTAAGACCATCGCACAAAGCATGAACTCCATAGCTCCAGTGATGATCTCAGTGCATGTCTATAACAACGGTACTAAACAACACTGTCCATGAAAAGAAGCCATGTCCTTCAGAGTGACAGGCAAAAGGTTTGACCACTTCCCCATGAAAACCAAACCCCCGCCCCCTGCCTTTTACGCCTCACAACACCCCCCCCCCCCCCAACAACCTTTTTTATTTCAATGTCTTAAATAAAACAGAAAATATGTTAAACGAAACAACAGCTGCTATTCAAGAGCCCGACTTTGTTACAAGTTTGTCACACATATAATTGTCGCACGTAATTACCTGCAATACAGATCATGTTCAAATAAACGTGTCTGCTGTACAGCTTGTGAACCCGAGAAGATAAATAGGACAATCAGTAAACACTCTAGATCACAACAGTGTTTGCATATCGAGTTTGTGTAAAATGGTGTGTATTACACTATTAAATGTGTCTGCAAAAATAACTGTTTGTTAAAGGTAAATAACGGGTGTTCATATTATAGTTTTCTAAAGCATTCGAAAACAAATTCCCAGGTAACTGGATCAACATTGAATAAGATGAATCCCCCGTGTGGGTCCTGGGGCCCTACTATGGGAAAAACAAGAATAGACCCACTGCCTACCCAAAAGCATGTCGTAAGAGTCGACTAATTGGGAGCTTCCTTCGAAGTCGGAGTGCATCTGCCTGAGAGGCAAGGAACCAACAGTCTGCATACAGATCTGTCAAATGGATGCACATGCAACCCTCAGGTTCTGGAACAGGACTGCAGTCCAGAAGTGGACGAACAACCAGAGCTTTCCGCTGGAGTTTGCAGCCGGTGAACGCGAAGAAGAAGAAGAAGAGTGGGATGAATTCAAGAATCAACATTACAACACTCTTGACAACCCACATATGTGCTCCGTCACCATTGTCAGTAGCAAGCGCAACGTTCCAATTCTGATGGCAGCAGTAACTGTCTAATTGCATATCCATCTGACCTTCCCCTTAGAATGTAAGACGGGCTTGCGTGCCCAATTTGTGATCCTTTGAAAATTTGGTGCGTTTGTTCGTTCGTTCCCTTGAGTGTTGAGTGTCGGCCAGATTCCATGGTCACTGCTCGCAGCACCATATATCTCTAGACAGTAATGACTTATTTGCGCCTTCGTTCAGTCACTCCCAAAGAACCCTTACAACGTCTAGCTTGTCAAGATGCAAGCAACAAAAAAAAACAGTACACGCAACAAAAAGGAAAAACAGTTCGCACAAAAACAAAAAGGATGAAGAGTACACACAACAACAAAAAGGAAAAACAGTACATACAACAACAAAAAGGAAAAACAGTTCGCACAACAACAAAAAGGATAAAGAGTACACACAAGGAAACACAGTACACACAACAACAAAAAGGAAAAACAACAGACACAACAACAAAAAGGAAAAAAGAGTACAAACAACAAAAAGGAAAAAAGAGTACACACAACAAAAAGGAAAAAAGAGTACACACAACAACAAAAGGGAAAAACAACACACACAACAACAAAAAGGAAAAGCAACACACACAACAAAAAGGAAAAGAAAGTACAGACAAAATCAAACACAATTAAACAAGTTAAAAAAACTAAGCAAACAACAAATAAAACTCAGCTGCTTTATCATTAATTTAATAGCACCAAATATTTTGAAGATTTCACGTCAGCACTATTTGCCTGCAGCCAAGATCCACAAAAACACTTCCTGAGACAGCTGAAGGGTAGATTTTCTGTAAGACTACCAGCAAAGCAACCTTCATCAGCTGTCCCCATGTGGCACCAATAGTGAGGGTGAGGATGGCGACATCGACGATGAAGACAGCGGCATTGATAGTGAAATTCTCAAAGTTGATAATGGATCCGATACATAACCTTTAAAGCAAGACAAAATATAACGTTAAAACTAGGAAAACATGTACAGTTAATGAAATAATGGAAGATGAAGACAGCAGAAAAGTATGGATCAATAAAAATCAGTGTTTCCCAAACTGTTCTTAGTCGCGGGCGCTTTTTTTTCAATTAAAATGTTTCCACGGCGCCCTAACCTAAGTAAAAGTATGACTATTCATTTGTAAGAGATTTAAAAAAAAAAACTTGTGTATCTTCAAATATTTGAGGCGCCCCTGTAAAGAGGTCATGGCTCCACGGGACGTACAGTTTGGGAATCACTGCCTAAAATGTGGAAAGGGACAAAATTTACAAGGCAAAGATACTGATCAAATTCATAACCTTTAGAACAAGGAGGGGATAAACATTGTTAGTTAATGAACATTAAGATGAGAAGTTATGACATCAAAGAGAATGCAATGTTAATGATGTAAAAAAAAAGGCAATGGATATTTCCCATGCCACTGACCCACTGGAAGTATGGTACTAGACCTAGTTTGTGACTGACCAATCAGTGTTTAACTGGTGATGTGGTCAACACTGCGCCGGCCATCTTTACTTTCCTGAAACCTATTTAAGGCTAGGTAGGCATAGTAGCCCAGGCAATTTATACAAATCTGCCCTAATGCAGATTTCAACCTAAGACCTTTGGACTCACAGGCAAGGGTTTAGCCACTGTGCTGCCATGGTTCCTAATGGCAACACTGGGTTTGAAACAAAATGCCAGTCAGTGGTTTTAAAACTAGGACAGGAGTATTACCTGGTAATGTGGTCAGAGCAGTGTTAGTTAACTTCCAAGCTACTTCATCATCATCATTATTTTCATTACCAACAGATATAAATTAAAATAATAGACAGCAAGCCATTTATCATCAACATTGTCTGAAACTCTCAGAATTTACAAACCACGTTTGCAATGCCTCAGCCACAAACGTGATACTTTAAAGATAAAACAAACAAATGAACAGACTGATGTGTGCTCTGAACAAGTTGTCTTAAACTTACAGAAAAATAGTGTTGATCGAGAAGAGGATAAATACTGATATTCTGAGGGTATGAACATCAAACAAATTTGCCTCATTAAAAAAAGTATAATTCCTCAGAAACAGAAATAACTTGGCCATTAAAAGCCACAGTGTTTTAAAGAGATTAGGAACAAGAATGACTCCTTGTCATGGCTGAAACTGATAATCAACATCTCACAGCAGTGGGAACCTCAGTAGAAAAAGTACCAGCACACAGAGCTGGCAAAGAAAGATTTACAAGGCCGGATCTGTTTGAAAAAGAAAAAAAAATCCAAGAAACATTTCACAAACCACAGACCTCTGCTATAGCCAACTCTGTATCTCATCAGGTGAAATGTGGTCAAAAGTTTTTGTTTATATTTAATTTTCTGAAAACATAAAAATCAAATGAAAAGAATAGTACTGGAAGGCATGGTTACTGAAAGCAGCAAGGGTCAAAAGGCATAAAGACAGATAGAGGACATAGGACACACTTTAAGTATTAAAATACATGTTGCTCTGGGAATTCACAAGAGACAGATTCGGTGTGATTGCAGTAATGTTTTGCAAAGGGCAGGTCAGACAGCGATTATTTTGTGAATTCTATTGACTTAATTGTTAAAGATGACCCACCATTTTTATCCAGCTGTGGGAAAGGGTATTTTCTTTTATCATCGCTGGCCCCAGAGACGCTGTGGAAATAAACACCACACAGCGATTTAAAAAAAAAAAAAGTTAGGAATGTAAAACACCATGTGGGACAGCAACATGCTGTATTCTTCTTCTTCTTTCTATTCCCCCAAGGGGAAACACACAAACAAAACAGCATTTTGTTCTTGTGAGGCAGTTTTAACATCATCATCATCATCAGGTGCCTTGCCGACTGGCGTGGGCGGTCATGCCTCTCCATAATATGCGATCTCCTGCAGCATGTATCAGTTCGTGTGCCGACACACCTCCATGCAAGACTGTCAAGCATCTTCTCTCGTTGTCTTCCTCTATCCCTCCTTCCACAGATCTTTCCAGTGGTCACAACATGTTCTATTTTCCCTCTTCTCATAACATGGCCGAAAAATGATGACTGTCTCCTTCTGATGTCAGTGATAAGTTGTCTTCGGGCTCCCACCTCTTTTAAAACCTCTTGGTTGCTCTTTTTGGCTGTCCAAGGTATTCTAAGCATTCTTCTGTAAAACCACATCTCTGAGGCCTCTAAAAATTGTTTGGCCTGCCTACCGATTGTCCAGGATTCACATCCATATGTTAAAACTGGATGTATATTTTAACATATGGTTGTGAATCCAGGACAATTAATAAATAAGCCAAACAATTTCTTGAGGCCTTGGAGATGTGGCTTCATAAAAGAATCCTTAGAATTGCTGGGACATTCAAAATAAGGGTACTTTAAAATAGACGAGGACTGAAAGACAACTTATCACAAATCAGAAAGAGACAGTCATCATTTTTTGGTCATGTTAGGGAAAAAAAGGAAAATGGGACATGTTGTAACCACAGGAAAGATTTGTAGAAAGAGAGACAGAGGATGATCTGTGGAAACAGAGGATGATCTGTGGAAACAGAGGATGATCTGTGGAAACAGAGGATGATCTGTGGAAACAGAGGATGATCTGTGGAAACAGAGATGGAGGATGATCTGTGGAAACAGAGGATGATCTGTGGAAACAGATGGAGGATGATCTGTGGAAACAGAGATGGAGGATGATCTGTGGAAACAGAGGATGATCTGTGGAAACAGAGGATGATCTGTGGAAACAGAGATGGAGGATGATCTGTGGAAACAGAGGATGATCTGTGGAAACAGAGGATGGTCTGTGGAAACAGAGGATGATCTGTGGAAACAGAGATGGAGGATGATCTGTGGAAACAGAGGATGATCTGTGGAAACAGAGGATGGTCTGTGGAAACAGAGGATGATCTGTGGAAACATAGGATGATCTGTGGAAACAGAGGATGATCTGTGGAAACAGAGGATGATCTGTGGAAACAGAGATGGAGGATGATCTGTGGAAACAGAGGATGATCTGTGGAAACAGAGGATGATCTGTGGAAACAGAGGATGATCTGTGGCAACAGAGGATGATCTGTGGCAACAGAGGATGATCTGTGGAAACAGAGATGGAGGATGATCTGTGGAAACAGAGGATGATCTGTGGAAACAGAGGATGATCTGTGGAAACAGAGGATGGTCTGTGGAAACAGAGATGGAGGATGATTTGTGGAAACAGAGGATGATCTGTGGAAACAGAGGATGATCTGTGGAAACAGAGGATGATCTGTGGAAACAGAGGATGATCTGTGGAAACAGAGGATGATCTGTGGAAACAGAGATGGAGGATGACAGCGCGAGAAGATTCTTGACAGCCTTTAGTCATGGAGGAGTGTTGCAGATTAGTAGAGACATGGTTGTCAATGCCAGCTGACAAGGCATCTGATGATGATAAACACTTCTTCCTTCTCTTTAGTCCTGTTTTTTTCTTTCAGCATCAGGTTTTAAAGAGGCATCTGGTCGAACCTTGGTATATGCTACAAAGATGCTAGTATTTACAACCATGGATATCACATCCATCTATCACTTGCGGGGTCGACATGCAGCTCTGCTTTCATTATGTCTAAGCGACGGGGCTCTCTCTCATGCACTATCTGGTGGAAGTCTTGACCCAAGTCTGAGCCAACAGATGTAATGCCTCTCGATTTCCTGATGTAATTATTTCTGATCCTGTCTGTTCACGTTACATTGAAGATTCATTGTAGACATTTCATTTCTGTTGATTCATCTTTTCTGTTTTTTTATTAATGTCCACATCTGACGCTGGTAACATAATGTTGGTAAGAATGTACTCAATAGTGCATTTTCGGTGTCAGTTGTTTCATATTTGTTTTCCAAAATTGGTCCAATGATGTGATTTGTGTTATAACATCTCTGTTCTATCTCAGCTTCCATTTTGTCAATGGACGATATTATGCTCTCTAAATACATGAAGTATTTTGCTTGCTTGAGCTCCTGGTTTTATATGCATATCTCTTCTAGCTATACCTCTTTTACCCACATCCCTTCTACCCACATTCCTTCTACCCATATCCCTTCTACCCACATCCCTACTACCTACATCCCTTCTACCCACATCCCTTGTAGCCATATCCCTTCTACCCACATCCCTACTTCCTACATCCCTTCTACCCACATCCCTTCTACCTACATCTCTTCTACCCACATTCATTCTACCCATATCCCTACTACCTACATCTCTTCTACCCACATCCATTCTAGCCACATCCCTTCTACCCACATCCGTTAAAGCCACATCCCTTCTACCCACATCCTTTGTAGCCATATCCCTTCTACCCACATCCCTACTTCCCTTCTACCCACATCCCTTCTTACCACATTCATTTTACCCATATCCCTTCTACCCACATCTGTTCTAGCCATATCCCTTTTACCCACATCCCTTCTACCCACATCCCTTGTAGCCATATCACTTCTACCCACACAAATCTGTCACACCCAGCAGCTCCACACAACTACCTGTTTCTAGAAGCTTCCATCTCCCAGTGGTTGCGCAGCGCAGACACATGACCAGCCAGGGGAGGTGTATCCCTCCCCTCTCCATCAGAATCTTGTGTTGTAACCATAGGTAGGGAGAGGGGAAGGGTCGCCGAAGGAAGCTCCGAGTTGCTCAACATGGCCACGGCTTGAGACTGTTTACATTCCTCTAGTATGGGAATGATGTCCCGAAACTCTGGTCTTTCCTGTCAATTCAACAATGGCATGTTTTGTTATAATTTACAAATTACATTTCTGTTGTGATAAATAACTTGACAGCCAAAAGCAACAAATAAAATCATAATCTGTTTAAATCATCACTAATTACTATCATCATGAGGGCTAACTGCAAATGTTGGGGTATTCAGACAAAATAGTAGACATCATAGAGACAAAAACTGTGCACACAAAAGAGTGGAATGTGAGTAGAGTATGAGACAGACCTAGAAAGCCGTGAAAAGGTATACAGGCAGACCTACAGACATTCATCAACTGGAAAGAAAGGCTAATTAGAGAGATGATCCCCGTGTGGGGTCCGGAGCCCCACTGCGAAAAACAAGAATAGACAGACCTGCCCAACAAGCATGTTGTAAGAGTCAACTAACTGGGATTTTCCTTCGAAGTTGGAGTGCATCTACCCGAGAGGCAAGGAACCAGCAGTTTACACACACATAAGTCAGATCTGTAAAACTGATGTGCACATAACACTCAGGTTTTGGAACAAGACTAAAGTCCAGAGGTGGATGAACAACCAGAACTTTCTGCCAGAGTTTACAGCAGGTGAACGCCAAGAAGCAGTAGAAATGAATGGAGGTGGGTGATATCCGCAGCAGTAAACCTCAAGGGCTCGAAATGCTAAAAAAGAACAAGATTAATAAATAAATAAATACTACTGTTGAAACTGAAGAAGAAGAAGAAGAAGAAAAAGAAGAAGAAGAAGAAGACTGGTATGTTTTCTTAATGCTATATACATGAAACAGTCATCAAGCACCCCCTGGCAAAAAGCATCTAACAAACACACAGAACCCAACATGTGCTTACATCAGGGTTTGAATGCCAGCCTTTCTGCAGCAGTGCTACAATAGGTTTAGGAAAAGTGATGGCCATAGGAGGTCTGGTATTGTGGTAGGCTGTCTCTGCCGCTGCTGCCGCTGAAAAGGATAGAATGATGTTAAAGAGGTGTTTAATCAAATGTAATAAACTTTCACAAGATAAAATATTAGAATGATGTTAAAGAGGTGTTTAGTCAAATGTAATAAACTTTCACAAGATAAAATATTAGAATGATGTTAAAGAGGTGTTTAATCAAATGTAATAAACTTTCACAAGATAAAATATTAGAATGATGTTAAAGAGGTGTTTAATCAAATGTAATAAACTTTTACAAGATAAAATATTAGAATGATGTTAAAGAGGTGTTTAGTCAAATGTAATAAACTTTCACAAGATAAAATATTAGAATGATGTTGAGAGAGAGAGGGGTGTTCAATAAATTTTGAAAAGGTAAAATTAATATCATAATAGTGTTAAAAGTAGGGCTGTACCGAATATTCGCTTCAGGGCCAAATAGTGGACCTATTGACTATTCGGTATTCGGCCGAATAGTTGTGGTCGGGCCAAATACGAATTGTAGTTACCTTACACCTGCTTCTGCATACACGGCCTTAATACTGACAACATGGAACGATTGGTTTTGTAGAAAACTAATGCAGCTTTCATGCATTAACTAAGCTGTCCGTGACAATTTCCAAGTTTAGTTACTTGTTATAATACTTTGATTCTTTCACTCCTAGTTATTAGTTATTAATCACCACAGACTGACTGAAGGATGCAAAACATAAAATGTTTTCAAATGTTTACTATTCTGTATGAATACTAACTAGACATGGAAAGTATATAAACTCCAGCCACATCCAAGTCGATGATATGAAAATCAAACAAACGGAAACATACAAGTACTTGGGTGCAAACTTCAACTGCTCCAACATGCTGAGAGAAGAAATACAATCTAGAAATAAAGTATACTATGCCCTTCAACATCTGCTAAAGTCAAAGAGTCTGTCTCGCAACACCAAGATCAAAATATATAAAACGTTAAGACCAGTCATTTTATAAATACAGGTTTTCGAAAATAGTCTTACGACAAATCTTTGGACCCATCAAAGATGCTAACAGCGGAGGACTGGAGAGTGAGAAGCAACAACGTAGCACATAATCTGTTTAAATCACCATTGATCACTGGCATCATGAGAGCTGACAGACAAAAATGGTTGGGGCATATTGAAAGAATGTCAGATGACAGAGAAATAAAACTGTATACACCTGAGAGAGGTATGGGCGTAGACCACGAGGCAAATAAAAAAAGAAGTTCGAGAGATAATGTCAATCAGACCTGCAAACAACTGGTGTCACAAATTGTAAAGAGAAGGCCAGCCAGGGAGATGAATGGAAATATCTGTAGCAGTAAACCTCAAGGGCACAGAATGCTAAAGAAGAAGATGACTGTGCTACTTTATGTGAAGTAAAAGTTCAGCGTACATTTGACATTCTGAATGTGTGTGTGTTTTTTTAAAAATATATATTTTATACACTATTCTTATTTCTATTCAGCCGAATAGTTGGTCTCACTATTCGTATTCGGCCGAATAGTGAAAATCACTATTCAGTACAGCCCTTCCTGAAACCCACATGGGGAACTGGCAGCTTCATGACAGAGGTGTTTATCTCAAACATAAGCAGCCCAACAACATCAGAGCATTCACATCAGCCTTGAATGTACTTATAAACTCAGTGGGTAGTTAGCCTCAAGGTGGCTCAATTTATAACCCTACCTAATCGACCAGAGTGCTTTAAAATCTCAACTCACAAACTGGCCTTCCAGTTGCTTCCAGGCATTAACTGGGTTCGAACCAACAGCCTCTGATCCAATCTCTTTCCTGCGCCTCTGTAACTTACACCATGGCCTGTGTGCTACCGCAAGGATCTGGGTAGTCTGATCGGACAGACCACGTCACTACACTGAGTCGCCTGGGTACCATCCCCACAACATCATCATCCTCTTTTTCACAATCAAAAATCCCCTTCCTGAGCCACCTCGCTAAGACAACGCTAAGTATCTGGGTGAAAACAACTATCACTAAACACACTGGACTATCACTGCCTATTAACACAAACCATAAAACCATCAAGCTAGCACCTCATCACAAACTAAACTGTTCCTAAACCGTCGCTATGTGTCTGAACACAAACAACTACAAAAACTCTGGCAGTCAAAAACACGTCTTGTCCCATCCCTTAGTCTTCTCTAGTCTCCCTTCAAACCGTTCACTGACCCGTTTTGTGACCCCAGTCATTAGGCTTTTCGTCCACAAGTCCCACATGGAAATCACTAGGGTCGTTATTTATGCTCTATTGTCACCATCTTCGTGTGTTTGTGAACATGCTGTCAGGTCTGCGGTCAAGTCAGTACTTTTCATAGTTACCATCATCATACTCAATCCATCCATAACCACACAGGCCTCTGACATTAACAAAAAACAGAAGTCACATGAACATGCTAACGAAAAATAAACCCTAAAGACAACAATTTGTAAAAACCTGTCAAAAAATATCAAATGTTTCAGTCTCTACAAAACTTTTTGTTAAAACATGATGATAAATAAATAATACAATGAAAAGAAACAAACGTATAACTGAGAAATTCACGCTTGAGTTAAAGTTAACGACAAGATGATGGTCTTCACTGCATAGAGTGATGTCCCATATGGTCGATCTTTCTCCTCAGAACAATCAGCTGCCAGCCAAAAGAAATGCAAAAAACTAAAGAATTCCGTTGCTCCAACAATTATCCTCAGGCATCTCTATAAAAACTGCGCTCACTACCTAACCTGTACGTCCATGAAACAAACTAATAAACTTCTGAGCACAAGGCACGACTTTGCCACGGAGACCCCCCTAAAAAGGGGGCTCAACACAAACTAAACATTAATTCTTACCTGGTTTGAGATGGGCAAATGGCAGTTCTCCGGCCAGGAGCTCCCACACTACCAGCGAATAGCTGAACATGTCCGCTTTCACACTGTACCTTGTACACTGGGTAAATATTTCTGGTGCCATCCAGCGCAGATTCTTGACACACACAAAAATGGTGGACGCACATTTGTTAAAATTATGTACAGTATGTTGAACTTTGGGACTTGATTTGAAGATGAGACTCACAATATTCCACAGCAAAATTTGGGGAAGACTAGTATACAACGGTGAGTTTTGAAAAAAAAATTACAGCTGGAATTACACATAAAAAAAAAGCAAAGTAAAAAGTAAAGATCCCTTTTCACGCTTTTAGGCCCATCGGGCATATGGGAAGAGCACCCATATTTTTACAGACCAATCGGTACTCGGTGGGTAATGTGGTCAAAATTACGCCGGCCGTCTTTACTTCCCCAGAACAGCCATCCTGGTACCCATTTGAGGCTGGGTCGACCTGCGACGTCCCATACAACGATAAAATGCGCGCAGCCCGCAGTGGGTTTCGATCGCGGTACATTGGGTCACGAGTCGGACTCGCAACGCCTTAGCCAGGAAGACTTCTGTAAATAATATCTAGGTATCCGGCAAATGAGTTGAGTTGAGTTGAAGTCAAGAACTGACACCCCAGCATTCCCATGCATGCTCCGTCCTTATCTTCAGCAGCCAGCACAGAGTTCCAGTACTGATGATACCAGTTACAATCTGGTTGTATGTCCGTCTTTCCTTTCCTTTCCTTTCCGTTTAGTACCAGACCCTCTGGTTACACGCAGATGCTTCATTCTCTCCAGGCCATAATAATCTTTTTTCTCTACTGATTCCGCTGCTTGTTCCCAAAGGGCCTTGACCACATCTGCCTTGTCATGTATCAATTCACCCCCCAGTGCTGCAGATCTGGCCAATCTGTCTGCCTGTTCATTATCCATCAAGCCAGCATGGCCTGGAGAAAATATTATCAAAGGAAGAAGATGGAAATGGCTAGCACACATCTGCAGAATGCCGCGTGACACTGGCATTGACAGTGCTCTTGTGGATGGCAGAGGAGAAAAGAAAGGAAACTTGGACGGACTAAAAATAAACCAGAAGGATAGTAGATAGCGAAATAAGGGAAAAGAAAATCACCTGGGATTCCTTTGGCCAAAATGTGGCAGACTGGCAGCAATGGAGATTACGTGTGGGTTTCTTATCTGTCAGTTACGACACAAAGGGGATACAGAAAGACTTTTAATGTTTATCTTTTCTCAGTTATTAAACAGGAGCAGTGGTCCCTCAGTGGCTGTATGTTCTCTTGCCTGCCTTAGAGTCTTGTGTCCAAATCAACATTGGGCAGACATGGTTAAAAGAATGACCTTGGTTCCCTGGTTAGGCCAGCCTAAAATGGGTGCCAGGAAATATCATGCGAAGTAAAGGTGGCCGGTGTGAGGCTGACACATCATCCATCAACTGACATCTATAAAAACATAAGTCTAGCAACATATGCCCAAATCATCAGTGTCATGAAAAAAACAAAAACACAGTCCTCTACACTATGGTTTGTTACTTGTTACGGTTATTAAATCCTACTGTACTTGGAGGTAGAGAGCCACTGTGATGTAGCGGATAGATGCTGGCCTCGGGTCCGAAGGTTCAAATATGCACTGAGCCGGAATTTGTTTCAAAAATGACCTTTGCTCCAAGGTTGACTCCGCCTAAAATGGGTAATAGGTAAAGTCCTTGGAAGTAAAGGCAACCTGTATGATGCTGACCACATCACCCGCAGAGTGCTGATTAGTCTTGGAAGTTTGGCAACCTAGATGATGCTGATAACATCACCCGCAGAGTGCCAATTAGTTTATAAAATATAGTTCTAGCACTATATATCTAGTGTGTCTAACGGTGTGGAAAATGGTCTTTAACTTACTTGAAGGTGGGGTTCGTTATTGTAAAGTAACAGAATCTTCTGTGGACTGCCAGAATAACTAACAATGATTGCCAGGAAATGGCTAATGAAAGTAGAACATTAGATACAGCAATGGGAAGGAGACAAACCAAGTTCTTTGGTCATGTGATGAGAAATGGAGCAGTAGAAAATATCGTGACAAGTGGAAAGATCACTGGTAGAAGAGGCAGAGGCAGACCCAGAGAAATAATGGTAGATGGCTTAAGATAGTGGCATGGAGGAATATCAGTGGAACTGATTCAGAACACCAAAGACCGAGATCTGTGGAGATCCATGAACACCTATGCCAGCTGATAAAGCACTTAATGAGAATGAACTTAATCTATGGGGGGAAAAAGGGAGTGGGGGGGGGGGATCTCTCTCTGTCTCTCTCTCTCTCTCATGCAATAATTTATCATGTGACACTTACCCCAGGCTGTTTTGTCATGTTGTCTTCATCATTTGATCTCAAAAACCGAGACTCTAAGTGAAAAAAATAAAGAAGTGTGACTTAACAATACACACAAGATATGTTTCAATGTACATTACTTTGTAAGGAAACAAGATGTATCCTACTTACATGAAAGCAGCAGCCATGGTGGCATAGTGGCTGGACATTTGCCTGCTGGCCCAAAAGTTCTAGGTTCGAATCCGCATCATGTCAGATTTTTTTTCTTAAAAAAATGACCCTGGCTCCCAGGTTGACCAAGCCTAGAACATGTATCAAGTCCTGGGAAGTCACTGTGGGTGGCGTGACAGTGACCACATCACATGTTGAGTGCAGAATGGTCTACAAAAGTAGAATCCTAGCATAATATGCCCGATATGCCAGGCGCACACAAAAAAAGTGCTGAACTTGTCACTTAAGATGATAACTATTTCAACAGTTCATTATGTCCTTGCCGCAGTCACTTAAACTGGTACAATTATAAAGATGCTACATTCTTTCAGTATGTGTGTTCACTGGATAATTCACACCACAAAGTCTATGAGGCTGTTTCCTTTTACTGCCATTACTACCTGCATTTACCACTTTTGTGGCATAGGCTAGGGAGTCATTAGGCCCAAGGATTTAAGGCCGCATGGCTAGTGCTGTCGCCACTGACAGTGCATGTTAGTATTTTATTTTTGTCCCTAACAGAAAAATTACCCAACTGTACCACTGGATTTGAACCTAGGTCTCTGATCATTTTATTAGACTTAGCGAATGTGTTTATTTAGTCCCAATCATTGAAAGGAAAGGGTAATCATTTAATAACATTTATTTCATCAGGTATTTTTAAAATAACGTGCCGCTTCATTTCAGCAGGGTTTAATATTTATAACTGTTCAACAAATAAATTGATGTTTACTTTGGTCCCAATGTCCACTTGTATCTATTAAGTTTCTTTCCTTTATGTCCACGTAGCTCATTAATCACATTTTCTGTTCAATCGTTAAAACACTTGTTCGTATCTGTATGTCTTTTATTTCCCTCTGTAGAGCTTCCCAATCATGTATCTATTAAGTTTCTTTCCTTTATGTCGACGTAGCTCATTAATCACATTTTCTGTTCATTCATTAAAACATTTGTTCGTATCTGTGTGTCTTTTATTTCCCTCTGTAGAGCTTCCCAATCATAAACTGTGTTCACTCCACAAAACATATGCACATATGAGTGTGTCTTTCATTTCTCTTTGTCGAGCTTCTCAATCATAAACTGTGTTCACTCCACAAAACATATGTACGTATGAGTGTGTCTTTCATTTCTCTTTGTCGAGCTTCTCAATCATAACTTGTGTTCATTCGTCAAATCATTGGTTCATATCTGTATGTCTTTCATTTTCCTCTGTTGAGAGTCCAAATCATAACTTGTGTTCATTGGTCAGAACATTCGCTCGTATCTGTGTGTGTGTCTTTCATTTCCCTCTGTTGAGCTTTCCATCCATAACTAGTATTCAGTTGTCAAAACATTCGCTCGTATCTGTGTGTGTGTCTTTCATTTCCCTCTGTTGAACTTTCCATCCATAACTTGTATTCAGTTGTCAAAACATTCGCTCGTATCTGTATGTGTGTCTTTCATTTCCCTCTGTTGAACTTTCCATCCATAACTTGTATTCAGTTGTCAAAACATTCGCTTGTATCTGTATGTGTGTCTTTCATTAACTTTAACTGGGCTTCCCAGTTATGTTTTGTGTTTACTTATCTTGCATCTTATTATGCTCAAACTATGTTTATACTTGAAGAATTCTGGTGGCCTTCTTCTACTTGTTCGCTTTCACCGGCTAACAGTCTGCATTCAAATAAGCCTGACCTCTGCATGGATTTTTATCAAGGTATGGGACGTCGCAGGTCGACCCAGCCTCAAATGGGTACCAGGATGGCTGTCCTGGGAAAGTAAAGACGGCCGGCGTAATGCGGACCACATTACCAACCGAGTGCCGATTGGTCTGTAAAAAATATGGGACGCTCTGCCCATATACCCGACGCGCCTTAGGCGTAATAAGGGATCTTTACTTTTACCATTTACCGTTAAAAATCGAATGAATATATGGTACGTGCATTTAATTATAGATTAAAACTAAATTCTGACCAAAACACATCTCCATACTTCCTGTTCCTTTTATTGAGGAATCTATATTATGTTGTTTGTGGGTTTGCAGTATTCTCAAGGATGGTGTGGAGGTCTTGAAATACAATCAAAGAGGGGGGTGTGGGCGTGACCTGGAAAAAGGCTGGAGATCACTGCTCTAAATCTTCTGGTTTTATGATACAGGATCAAGGACTGACATTACAAGACCACAGGCACTTGATTTCTTCTAGGAGAAAACTAAACTGTTGATGCTATTTATCTCTTCTGTGAGCTGGTTAGTTATATGTCAGATACAAGAAGACTCTCAAATGCACAAAGTATTACCGTTACTAATTTTAAAATTCCTCTATCAATCCAAAAGATATTGTAATTGTTAGCTTAGTTACTATGTTCATATTACAGTTACGCCACTTGTGTAAAATAAAAACTTCTTTGTCTTCTTCTTGGCGTTTGGTTTTGTACATTCAGATCAGACCATCAGGTGGGTTGCCTCTATGAACTTGTATGTCAGTAGCAAGCCCTTCATGGTTTCCCTTAGCTTGCTCTGAACACTTTGCTCTTGAGACCAGGTATCTTTTCAAAGTTGTAGGTAGAGTGGGCAAGTCTGCAGAATGTGCTGAAGTGTTTGTGGTGCTGTCTGACAGGCACACTGTGGGGACTGCACAGTCTTTATTTTATGCATGTGGTAGTTGAGCCTGCAGTGTCCTGTTAGTAAGACGGAACATTGTTGTATGTTGCTTTCTGTTGAGTCTGCTGATGGGGTCTTGTGGATGTTTACTGTTTGTTCTCTCCACAATCCCGTGTATTTTCCTTTGATAAGTGTTCTGGTTTCTGGTAATGACAATGAAATGGGCGTGTTCAAAAATGAAAACAATAAAGAAACATGTCTCTAAGAAACTGCTAATTTATAGCAAAGAAATTATCAACCAATGCTCAAAACTTGGTGTACCTCCAAAGTCTGCAACAACTGCATGCCCGGTCTCCTCTAACAGAATATTGTGGCTGTTGAGGTCTCGGTGAATAATTGGCAGAGGCATGTTGTGTAGGTACTCCATTCCTTTGGCTACATCCAGGGCAATGGTTAACTTTGACTGTATGTCAATCAGTCTGACAAACAAACAGAATTACAAATTAATTACAGGGTATATCCCTAATTTAATGTTAAATATTGTGTTTGTTTTAGTTCTTGATGCTTAACTGTGTTCTTTAACTTACGTGAATTCAGATATGGCTGACAATGGTTCTTATTTTGATTAATTTCTTTTAGTATCATTATTTTCTTGTTCTTGTTCTCTTCCTCTGTTTATCTGAGCAGTTTGGAGCTGATGTGAGGATTTTCTGTATGCTCTTTCAAATGCACAATGTGTTCTTATTAATTCCTCTGAGTTCCTAACTATTTTGGCTTGCAGAGCCCTTTTTTATAATTATATATTTTTTTGTTTGAGTCAAGGTACTTAACTACTATTTAATTTTCAGGGGCAGCTGTGGAGCTTCTGGGAAGTAAACCCAGAGTTCTAAAGGTTCTGTAGAGCACTGTTTGGAAATCCCTGCTCTAAAGTTATTCTTGATTTTGTTGTTTCATCTTCTGTGTGGTGTTCTGCTAACTCTGTATTTATTACATTTCTTCAAGTAGCTTTCTGTAGCAGTACCTACCACTGGTTTGTACGAGGGCACTTTTGTCAATGGCCAAACCATTTTATCTGCTGTTCTTTAATTAGGTGTGAAATTAATAGCACAATATATTCAAAATATCTGAAGACACAGAAACAGGGTCTCTGTATAGAACCGGGTGAGTAGCTTACCTTTTCTGTTCGTGCAACAAGCTGAACATGGAACCTCCTGACACATAGTCGGTAACAATCGCAAATTGCTGGAAGAGGAAAGAAACAACAAGTGATTAAAATAAACAGTATTTTAGTATGACACTTCTTCAGCATTCTGAGCCCTTGGGGTTTACTGCTGCAGGTATCATTCTCCTGCATTATCTCTGTGATTAGCCTTCTCTTTCAGGTTGGTGACTCTAAGTGTTTGTATATCTGCCTGTAAATTATCTCTCCATTGTCTTCTTGATCTGCTTTATTGTCTACTTCTATTAGACTTTTTTTTTTCATGTTTATCTTTAAATTTCTTTATTATCTGCCCTTCTCCCTATATGTCTGAACCACTGAAGTCTTTCTGCCCTCATGATATCAGTAATGAGTGGTGATTTAAACAGCTTATAAATTTTATTGTTGCTTCTCCCTTTCCATTCTCCACTATTTGCATCTTTGATAGGTCCAAAGTGTCTAATAACTGTGCATCTCTTTCAGTTCTATGATTGTCCTCAAGGTTTTAGAACCACAAAAAGCAACTGATCTCATCTTTGGTATGACACTATTAACAACAATTAGCTCTAAAATATCCTGTCAGTTATTTCTGTTGGTATGTTTTGTTTTGGAGACATCTGCCATGTCTCTTAGCCAACCACCAATAATAAAACCAATGAAATAACTAAAACCCATGGAGACAACATTACCGACCTAAGCCCAATCCCAGCATCCATTTGTTTTAATACATTGTATATCAATCCAGCGTCCATTTGTTTTAATACATTGTATATCAATCTAGCATCCATTTGTTTTAATACATTGTATATCAATCTAGCATCCATTTGTTTTAATACATTGTATATCAATCTAGCATCCATTTGTTTTAATACATTGTATATCAATCTAATCCAGCATCCATTTGTTTTAATACATTGTATATCAATCTAGCATCCATTTGTTTTAATACATTGTATATCAATCTAATCTAGCATCCATTTGTTTTAATACATTGTATATCAATCTAGCATCCATTTGTTTTAATACATTGTATATCAATCTAATCTAGCATCCATTTGTTTTAATACATTGTATATCAATCTAGCATCCATTTGTTTTAATACATTGTATATCAATCTAATCTAGCATCCATTTGTTTTAATACATTGTATATCAATCCAGCATCCATTTGTTTTAATACATTGTATATCAATCCAGCATCCATTTGTTTTAATACATTGTATATCAATCTAGCATCCATTTGTTTTAATACATTGTATATCAATCTAGCATCCATTTGTTTTAATACATTGTATATCAATCTAGCATCCATTTGTTTTAATACATTGTATATCAATCTAGCATCCATTTGTTTTAATACATTGTATATCAATCTAATCTAGCATCCATTTGTTTTAATACATTGTATATCAATCTAATCCAGCATCCATTTGTTTTAATACATTGTATATCAATCTAGCATCCATTTGTTTTAATACATTGTATATCAATCTAATCTAGCATCCATTTGTTTTAATACATTGTATATCAATCCAGCATCCATTTGTTTTAATACATTGTATATCAATCCAGCATCCATTTGTTTTAATACATTGTATATCAATCTAGCATCCATTTGTTTTAATACATTGTATATCAATCTAGCATCCATTTGTTTTAATACATTGTATATCAATCTAGCATCCATTTGTTTTAATACATTGTATATCAATCTAGCATCCATTTGTTTTTAATACATTGTATATCAATCCAGCATCCATTTGTTTTAATACATTGTATATCAATCTAGCATCCATTTGTTTTAATACATTGTATATCAATCTAGCATCCATTTGTTTTAATACATTGTATATCAATCTAGCATCCATTTGTTTTAATACATTGTATATCAATCTAGCATCCATTTGTTTTAATACATTGTATATCAATCTAGCATCCATTTGTTTTAATACATTGTATATCAATCTAGCATCCATTTGTTTTAATACATTGTATATCAATCTAGCATCCATTTGTTTTAATACATTGTATATCAATCCAGCATCCATTTGTTTTAATACATTGTATATCAATCTAGCATCCATTTGTTTTAATACATTGTATATCAATCCAGCATCCATTTGTTTTAATACATTGTATATCAATCTAGCATCCATTTGTTTTAATACATTGTATATCAATCCAGCATCCATTTGTTTTAATACATTGTATATCAATCTAGCATCCATTTGTTTTAATACATTGTATATCAATCTAGCATCCATTTGTTTTAATACATTGTATATCAATCTAGCATCCATTTGTTTTCATACATTGTATATCAATCTAGCATCCATTTGTTTTAATACATTGTATATCAATCTAGCATCCATTTGTTTTAATACATTGTATATCAATCTAGCATCCATTTGTTTTAATACATTGTATATCAATCTAGCGTCCATTTGTTTTAATACATTGTATATCAATCTAGCATCCATTTGTTTTAATACATTGTATATCAATCTAGCATCCATTTGTTTTAATACATTGTATATCAATCTAGCATCCATTTGTTTTAATACATTGTATATCAATCTAGCATCCATTTGTTTTAATACATTGTATATCAATCTAGCATCCATTTGTTTTAATACATTGTATATCAATCTAGCATCCATTTGTTTTAATACATTGTATATCAATCTAGCATCCATTTGTTTTAATACATTGTATATCAATCTAATCTAGCATCCATTTGTTTTAATACATTGTATATCAATCTAATCTAGCATCCATTTGTTTTAATACATTGTATATCAATCCAGCATCCATTTGTTTTAATACATTGTATATCAATCCAGCATCCATTTGTTTTAATACATTGTATATCAATCCAGCATCCATTTGTTTTAATACATTGTATATCAATCCAGCATCCATTTGTTTTAATACATTGTATATCAATCCAGCATCCATTTGTTTTAATACATTGTATATCAATCCAGCATCCATTTGTTTTAATACATTGTATATCAATCCAGCATCCATTTTTTTAATACATTATATCAATCCAGCATCCATTTGTTTTAATACATTGTATTTCAATCCAGCATCCATTTGTTTTAATACATTATATATCAATCTAGCATCCATTTGTTTTAATACATTGTATATCAATCTAGCATCCATTTGTTTTAATACATTGTATATCAATCTAGCATCCATTTGTTTTAATACATTGTATATCAATCTAGCATCCATTTGTTTTAATACATTGTATATCAATCTAGCATCCATTTGTTTTAATACATTGTATATCAATCTAGCATCCATTTGTTTTAATACATTGTATATCAATCTAGCATCCATTTGTTTTAATACATTGTATATCAATCCAGCGTCCATTTGTTTTAATACATTGTATATCAATCCAGCATCCATTTGTTTTAATACATTGTATATCAATCCAGCATCAATTTGTTTTAATACATTGTATATCAATCCAGCATCCATTTGTTTTAATACATTGTATATCAATCTAAAAAAAAGTGCAAGCACTAAGGCTCGGTGCCCGCAGTTGATGTTAAAAAAAAAGACCACAATTTTCAGACAATGGTACAGAAATCACACCATGGTAGAAACTGGGCCCTCATCACATGATATTCTCAAATCACACCATGGAAGAGACTGAGTCCTCATCACATGATATTCTCAAATCACACCATGGAAGAGACTGAGACCTCATCACATGATTTTCTCAAATCACGCCATGGAAGAGACTGAGTCCTCATCACATGATATTCTCAAATCACGCCATGGAAGAGACTGAGTCCTCATCACATGATATTCTCAAATCACGCCATGGAAGAGACTGAGTCCTCATCACATGATATTCTCAAATCACGCCATGGAAGAGACTGAGTCCTCATCACATGATATTCTCAAATCACACCATGGAAGAGACTGAGCCCTCATCACATGATATTCTCAAATCACGCCATGGAAGAGACTGAGTCCTCATCACATGATATTCTCAAATCACGCCATGGAAGAGACTGAGCCCTCATCACATGATATTCTCAAATCACGCCATGGAAGAGACTGAGCCCTCATCACATGATATTCTCAAATCACACCATGGAAGAGACTGAGCCCTCATCACATGATATTCTCAAATCACACCATGGAAGAGACTGAGCCCTCATCGCATGATGTCCTCAAAGATAACAGTGGCTACACTGTAGTCAACTTTAACTGTGAAGATGGCAGGGAAATTTTAATTTAATGACACTGCTCAAGTCACACGTCACCTTCTTTTTTCTCTAGTTCACCGGTTGTAAACTCTGGCAGAAAGTTCTGGTCGTTCGCCTTCTTGTGGACTTTGGATGTTTTTCCAGGACTTGATTTACATGCACATCCACTTTACAGACCTGGCTTATTTGTGTGCAGACTGTTGATTCTTTGCCTCTCAGGCAGACGTACCCTGACTTTGATTAAAAAACATCCCTAATTAGTTAGTTACCATTTATGACATGCTGTTGAGGGACAGAAAGTCTTGTCTCTGATCCCACCAAAATGGGCCTCGGAACCCACATGGGGGAAGTCTTCCCACATACCAATTACACAAGATGTCCGAAATATTCTATCTCATTTATTTATTTATAGTAGGTGAATAGTCATTGTTTAAATCTGTACAGAATATTGCATTGTTACTTTTCAAATCAGTAGACAGTAACTGTATAGTTACTTTTAAAAAAATCATTAGATAGTATGCAAATAGTCATTTTTTTTAAATCTGTAGATAAAACTGTATTGTCACTTTCTGAATCTGTTGACAGTAGATGTATAATTCTGAGGATAATATTGTAGTTCCTTTTTACATTTATAGCCACCAGATTATAGTTATTTTTTAAATCTGTAGATTACACAGTATCGAGTTTTTTATATGTAAAATTAAATACTATCAGTAGGAGAGTGATGGTACTTACACTAGGGTCATCCAGACAGGCTCCAACAAAGTTAATCACATACGGACTCTTAAGCTTGGCCAATATAGCAACTTCTCGACAAAACATGTCAACATCCGACTTGGCACCAAATGAACTTGCTCTGTACCTGCAGCCATTTATGATGAGGAGAATATGAAATAACAAGTCCACATAAAAGGGAAGGGGGAGGAGGGGGGGGGGGTGTAAAGGGCAAATAAATAAATGTGGGGAGAAGTTAGAATTCAGGAAACAAAACACCATTTAACCTATACAATTATGAACTGAATGAAATGTTTACTAGGAAATAAAATAAATAATGACATCTTTTGGTAGCGAAAGTTAAAGACAAGAGGTCAACTTCACTGCACCAGGTCTAATCCAACACTCTCTCTCTCTCGCCCTCTCTCTCTCCCTCTCTCTCTCCCTCTCCCTCTCCCTCTCTCTCTCCCTCTCCGTCTCTCTCTCTCTCCCTGTCTCTCTCTCTCCCTCTCTCTCTCCGTCTCTCTCTCTCTCTCTCTCCCTGTCTCGCTCTCTCCCTCTCTCTCTCTCTCTCTCTGTCTCTGCAGCATAGCCAGCTGCTTGCTGAGAGCATCACACAGAGCACAAACTCCATGTTTCCATTCACATTGCAACTGTAAGCCCAATGCCATTGTCTGTGATACAAACCCATGACCAACAAAGCATGATGATAACAAACAGCTTAACCACTCCACCATGAAACAGTGAAGAAAAACGATAGTGAAAGTCGACAGAAGATGTTCCAATTTTAACTCTTTCTCATGCAGACTAAATGAGAGAACAGCCCATGACATTTCAAGTGTAGTTTCCATGGCTGAGAAGCTCACCAGTTAACAGCAGGTCCAGACAACTTGCTAGTACCAATTTGGCAAATGTATATCCAAAGAGGCAAAGTGACTTGCCAGGCATCAGAAAACAAAAGAGACCTCTAACTGCTTAAAAACTATGACACCACTATTTTGGTAACATGCACACAAATTCTGAAGAGCTACATAGTTCCTGTTATATGGAAGTTACTCAAGGACAGTTAGCTATTTAGATTTTATTTTTTATTTAATTGTTTGGAAGCAGCAGATGTGTGGTTTTATAGATGAATAATGAGAACACACTGGACAGATAAAAGAAGTAATGAAAATGTCATTGAAGAAATGAACTCACAATTATCCACATCAGAAAGCTTATAATCTACATTCTTTTGTCATGTCAAGAGGAAAAGAAAAGTGGAATACATCACGACAATCATGCTGATATTATTAATGCCCACCTGTGTCAGAAATGATTGAAAATACTCGACAGAAGGCTGTAGTCAGACATCACTATCAATACTAAACTGCATGGTCTAGTCGAAGAAGAAGATGCACACTTCTGTGATACAAAAGCTCCTCGATCGATGAAAATGGGATCTGTTTATTTCCATCCTTATCATTGGCATTGTAATGATATATGTTTACAGCCTTCTGTGTCACGTAATGTCAATCATATTTGGCAGAGATGTTCTTCCATACAATGATGCCAAACTGACCAAAATCACCTCTCTTGGTCTCTCTCTACCTCTCTTCTTGTGGTCATGAAGCACCACAATGTTTCCCTACTCAAATCATTCCCAAACAATACACACTGTTTCCTTGTGAAAAGGATAATCAGTTTTCAAGACATCCTCATTATGCTTATCATATCACCATGGAGTTATTTTAATATTTTAAAAAAGTTAGTTGCGTATCCTCTACAGGATGTTGCAGAACTAACCCCAATATTTTGTTTGGCTGTTGTGGTTTTTCTAAAAAAAATTTACGTTCAGTAATTTGCCATTGCCTCTGAACGGTCAGTTCTCGGTACCACTGTCAAAACCAACACAAGTCAAACCGACTATAGCTGGGATCTAACCCAGTACCCTGGCATTTTTAAGCTCGTCTGCAACGCCTAAGACACAGACACAAATAAACCAAAATAATTGTATTCGTATCTGAAGAAGTCAGCTTCTGTGGATTAGGGAGTTGTGAACATGGTTTGTAATTCCAGGACATTCTGTTTAATTCTAGCTGCGGACAATTTGGCAACAGATCTCTCTGCTCTGATTTGGACAACGGTATTGACAAGGGTATTGACAGCTGATCTTTCAGCAAGCAACAGTAAACTACTGAATGTAAAAACTGCCTAGCAAAATACAAACAGCCTACAAATGGTGGGGTTTGTGTGCAATGTCCTCTAAAGAATTCACAACTAACTTTATCTTAATGATACTTTTGGATTTAAGGTAGGATGAGATACCTTTTAATGGCAACAGTTTTTCCTTTGCATTTTCCCTTGTAAACTTTACCAAATGAGCCGGAACCAATAGTCTCCTGGAACTCTAGATCTGTGATCTGCAGGTGGAACTGGTGTGGGAGAGTGGCTCTCAGCTGCAGCACATCTATCTTTTCTGGAGAGTGATTACAGAAATCCCACTCAGAAAATGTGGAATGTCACACTGACCACTACTATCTATTGTCAAAATGATGGCTCTAATTGAAATTCATAAAGACTATTTGTCACAAAAACTACTACTGTCTACTGTCACACTGACAACCACATTCTAAATTCACAATCAGTATTAGCAACTATTGTCATAGTAACTATTATCATTATTATTATTATTAAGGGTTGTGGATAGTTTCAAGTACGTCAGTAGTAAACTCTCTCAAGGTGTCATGGTCGCTGATGAGGTAAATACCAGGAGCTCTAAAGCCAGCTGCATATTTGGCGATGAAGGTATACAGAGCTGCAGTGGTTCCAGTGCTGCTGTATGCTTGTAAAAAAAAAATGGACCGTATACTGATGGCACGCAAAGAAGCTAAACCCCTTCCATACAGTCGATCCGAGAAAGATACTGAACATCAAGTGGCAAGACAGGGTTCCAGATACTGCTGTAGTGAATAGAGCTGGCACTCCCAGTTCGATACTATCCTGATGCAGTCAGATTTGTTAGGCATGTCACCTCGTTCACATGCCATACCACTGACTCCCAAAAATAATCTTTTACAGTGAGACAGAAGAAGGTAGATGCTCTCACGGTGGCCAGAAAGAAAAAAACTGCTATAAAGACACGCCAAAGGCATCACCTAAAGCCTTCAATAAAAACCCTGACACTTGGGAGGCTGCAGCACAAGAGCGGACTACATGGCAAATGTATATCCAAAGAGGCAAAGTGACTTGCCAGGCATCTAACCACCACCATCTATTGTCACAATAACCACCACCATCTACTGTCACAATAACCCCCACCATCTATTGTCACAATAACCACCACCATCTACTGTCACAATAACCACCACCATCTACTGTCACAATAACCACCACCATCTACTGTCACAATAACCACCACCATCTACTGTCACAATAACCACCACCATCTACTATCACAATAACCACCACCTTCTACTGTCACAATAACCACCACCATCTACTGTCACAATAACCACCACCATCTACTGTCACAATAACCACCACCATCTACTGTCACAATAACCACCACCATCTACTGTCACAATAACCACCACCATCTACTGTCACAATAACCACCACCATCTACTGTCACAATAACCACCACCATCTACTGTCACAATAACCACAACCATCTACTGTCACAATAACCACCACCATCTACTGTCACAATAACCACCACCTTCTATTGTCACAGTAACCACCACCATCTACTGTCACAGTAACCAAAACCATCTACTGTCACAGTAACCACCACCTTCTATTGTCACAATAACCACCACCTTCTATTGTCTCAGTAACCAAAACCATCTACTGTCACAGTAACCAAAACCATCTACTGTCACAGTAACCAAAACCATTTACTGTCACAATAACTACTACCATCTATTGTTAACAATAACTTCTACTAACTACTGTCATAACAACTAATACCATCTACTGTCATAACAAATACTACCATCTATTGTCACAATAAATACTACCATTATTGTCACAATTTCTTCTATCATCTATTGTCACAATAACTACTACTGTCTTCTGTCACAAGGACCACTAGCACTCAAAGTCAGACTGACTACATTCAACTAAAGACATAATGACAACTACCCTGTACTGTCACACTGACTTCTACCATCAATTGAACACTCCCACCTATAAAGAAAAAATTTCTGGGTATTTTGTTGCCACTGATTTAGAAATGTTATCTTGGCAAATAAAAAGATCACCTTTTGTCATACTGCGTAGTTTGCCCAGGGGTGAAGGCACTGTGACATAGGACCCATCGAGACTACCTGGCTGTGAGTAATCCCCGCACGCGGACTCATCGCTTGGCCTTTTGTAATGTTTCAGCAGCGTGACAATGGAATCAAACCCTTCAATAAGATGACAATATGGTCAGATCATTATGACTTAACTAGAAAATACAGTTAAAGTACAATAAAGGAGACCTGGTTAGTCACAGTAGTGAAGTGGCTGCATACTTGTCTGCTGGCCTCTTTCTGTGCTGCTAAGCAACGCATCATGTGTAACTGGATACTACCTATGTATGCCAATCAAAGTCCTATATTTGTTTTTTCAAATTATGTTTACTCAGGGACTCTAAAGAACTCTGAAAATATACTTGTATCCTACAAGAAGTGTGTATCACTGGGATATGCCGGGGTGAAAGGAAATGAAAGTGCCAACAGACTGGCCGTATCTGCAGTGGTTGGTGGAGGAAGTATATAGACAGGCCAAGCATACTGAATGTGCTGCGTTCTAGAGACTCTGAGACAAAGGGGTCAGAGACAATTAATTGCCTGTTAGAAACGAGTATTAAACAAAGACAAGCCTGCAGGAAGCGGTTGCGGGGCAAACAAAGAAGATATGCCAATCAACTCCTACTGGACACTGAGCATGGAGACACTAAGAGCTGCATCAGAGGAAAGAGCACAGATGGGTTCAGACAGACGTGCTAGGATGTCAATACAGACAACAAGCAACAAGTAAGGAGTCTGTATTTGGACCTTGTGGAATTAGATCACCTATGGTGTTGATGTTGTTATATTTGCCTCCCTGGGACACCAGCCAAACCCTGCTTAGACTAAAAAAGTTAACAACTGCTAACTGACCTTTATTCCCAGGTCACTACAGCCTAAAATTGGTATCAGGAAATGCCCTGAGAAGTAAAGGGGGACAAGCTTGATGTTGATCTTATCACTCAGCAAAGGCTGATATTTTTTTTTATGCGGTCAACATCACGCCTGGCACCTTTATCTCCCAGGAGATTTCCTAGTACTTATTTTAGGCAGGGTTGACCTCAATGCCAAGGTCAATTGCAAAATGCCCCGAAATGGATTCAAACCCAAGATGTTCAGGCTGGTGGGTAAGTGTCTCGTACCTGCTTTAGTGCAGCTTCCATGGTTGTATAAAAAGTGTATATAAATAGACTTAGTCTGAATAGCATGTACTTAAAAAAAGTTGAGGTAGCTATTTTTAAAAAAAAAATACTTTTGCTTGAATAGCATACACACACAAAATTGAGGTAATAACAAAGAAATGAGCAGTGTGCTAGTATTCAATTAAACAATTAATGTTTTTAATTTGGGGGCAAGTTCATGAGCTGTCCAGAAAGACACCACAACCAGATAAACATTTATCTGACTAACAACTGCTAATGTGTTATTAAATTAATCTTTACATGAAAAAAAACAGCAACAAATATTCTTACATAATAAACCTATTGTTAAAAGCTCCATTATATTTTCTCCCCTCAGTTCTCCTAATGGAAGGTTTGACCAATGACCACCGTGAGGTTACAAAACCCTAATCTAGGTGTTCTAAGCCCGGGAGACGCCAATGATCAACATATCTTTATCTAAACATTGTTACTATTGTCACATTATTTTTTAAATTAATTAAATTATTTTTGTATGCTTATTTCATTTTATTCTTATTTTATATTTTCACCATTACTTTTATGACTATTTTTCGAGTCTTTCTTTTATTTTATTTTTTTTTGATTAATTCCACATCACCCTTTTATAGCTTCTCACAAGATGCATTCACATGTCATAATTGTAACAGACTCTGAAAGCATGCTGAGAAAGGTGAAGACAGGGATGCTTCGAGCAGAGTGGCAAGCTTCACTGGAAAGGTCACAAGTAGTGAGCATACTTTGGATCTTTTCTCCAGGCTATGGCGGCGTAGTTGGTAATGAACAGGCAGACAGATTGGCTGGATCTGCACTACTGGGTGGTGAACTGATACATGACAGGGCAGATGTGGTCAAGGTCCTTTGGGAACAAGCAACGGAATCAGTAGAGAAACAAGATTATTATTGCCTGGAGAGAATGCGGCATCTTGGTGTAACCAGAGGGTCTGGTCAGCTCACTACACTCAGAGGAAAGGCAAGACAGACAAATAAACAGATCGTGACCGGTACCATTAGTATTGGAATGCTGTGCTGGCTGCTGAAAATGAGGACGGAACACACATGGGAATGCCCCAAGTGCTGTGATGTCAATCCTTGACTCAACTCAACTCAGATCTTCTTCTGCCTTCTATCCTCCGATGGCACTGAAGCCCTCAACCCACTCACATTAAGTCATTTTATCTTTTGCCATCACATGCTTCTCGCCCTGTGTCCACATCTTTCTCACCTCATTTTTATTTCCATCCCAAATGTTTTGGTCTCTCCTTATTCCTTTGATCCTGTGGGTTTCAGTGCTTTCTAATTATATTATTACCATATTTTCTCAATGTTGGTCCTATCCAATGCCAGCTACTCTTCCTCTCCTCTTGATTTGTTGGTATGTGTTTAGTTCTCTCAACAAGCTTTATTCATATTGGTGATTCTGTCATACCTTTTAATTCCTTCTATTTTGCTACACAAGCGGCGTCCGTGGATTATGCGTTGCGAGTCAGATTTGTAATTCCAGCGTACCTCGATCAAAACTCAATGCTGGCTGCATGGATTTTTATCATAGTACGGGGCGTCGCAGGTCGACCCAGCCTAAAATGGCACCAGAATGTATATCCTTAGGAAGTAAAGACGGCTGGTGTAATGTTTACCACATTACCCACCTAGTGCTGATGGTCTGTAAAAATATGGGTGCTCTTCCTATATGCCTGATACGCCTACAGGCGTGAAAAGAGATCTTTACTTTACTTTTTTACTTATTTTGCAACACTGACTTGTACAGTGAAAGTAGAAAGAAAACAAATCTAACACACTCACACACCTCTTTCATAAGCCCACATTAATGCTGTCTGCTCCTCTCTCTTTTCGCTGTCACCGCTCTGATCACTGACAGCTGCCACCAGATTCATGTCTGCTCTGTTTTCTAACAAAAACTGAACACATCTGATGTGGCCGTGGTAGCAAGCACTGTGTAGAGCTGTGTGGCCATCTTTCCCTTGGTAGTTGATGTCAATGGAGGGTTGCTCCAAAAGGAACTTCACAAGTTCAAGGTTCTTGCCATAGGAGCAGGCACTAAATTGAACCACACACACAAAAAGTATACATGAATATATGGGGTTATGTATATACAAATATATGTGTTTTAAAATGTTACATACTGTCCATTGTACTGTATGCCTGTGAATCACAAACACAAATGTTTTAGGTGTAACATTCATACAAAAGATTTTTTCAGTGCAGGAAGTAAACAATCACCAAACAAGAGCAGGCCTTCTAAGGAAGAGGCAGTGGATGTCCTGAAGGAGTCCATGTCCACTGCCTCTCTCACTGACCACACAATTACACTTGAGACTGCATCGCACAACCATTAGCCCAAAGGTCCACCTCAGGCTTGGAGTTTCCTTTTATCAAGGTGGTCTCTTCTAGAAACATTGAGTCTAGTGCCCTGTCAGTCAGTACATAACAGTAGTGACTGTAGAAGGGCTCTCCAGAGCAAAAGGAGTCATCACCTTGGAGACTCCCAAGGGGGAGCAGTCAGTATGTCCACTGCCTAAGATACCTGGCATACACATCCCTGTATCTCTCTGACCCTTCGATGTACTCCCCTTCAGTAGCGAGAATCGCTGCTATGTCATTTCTTGAAACTCAACTCAACTGTGCCCAATTCAAACACAAATAGAGAAGAAAAAAACAAGAGGCCACAGAGATGTGGTTTCTACAAAAGATACTAAGAATCCCCTAGATGTTTGTCAGAAACGCAGCTGACTTAAATTTGAGATCAAAGTGGAGACTGTAAAAACAGAGAACAGCAGATAGCAAAAGGCCAGTTCACAAAGAGATCTGATTATCCGCACAATAACCATGAACAAAATGACAAACGCACAAAGCAAAACTGATCCACTTTACAAGAAAGCACGATAAAGGGGTGAATAACATGTGACAAAATTAACATAGCACCTAGAAAAGCCTTCAATAGCAAAAAACATCTTACAGACAGCAATCATGGAGCAGAAATAGTATTTTGAAAAATACAACTACATTAAACAGAAAGATTATATCCATGTATACAGCAATATGACGGACATAACCCTGGCACCCAAGAGCTACTTGATGACTGAACAGGAAGTGACACAGTGAGACACTTGAGACAAGTTCTTGCTGGAGGGCAAGAGAAGCAGAAAGAGACAACAGAGAAAATGTTACAGTTTGGCATCACATCACGGAGGAACATCTGTATCAAAATGACTGACAGGAAACAGAAGGCTGTGGTCAGACATGATTTTGAAAGTCACACAGCATGGACTGTATGAAAGAAGACTGGCTTGATCAACTTTCTGTAGTAAACAAAATATTTATTATATTGAGTTTTACTGCTGCTGAGCCTAATTAATCTCTCATTCAAGCAGCAGACTATCGTTCATTTATGGTTCAAGGTTCAAGTTGAGAGGATTGGCTTCACTGACCTGGGTTTATCCCATATGGCTTGGTCCCTCTCAACAGAATGGCTAGCCACCTGCTAAGAGCATCACACAGAGCACGAGCTCAGTAGCTCCGATGATGATCCCTGGGGATCACCATAAAAACTGCACTTGTGAACTGAACAACACAGCCAAGAAATGAACCCACAACCTTCAGAGCGCAAGGCAAACGGCCTGACCATTTCGCCAGAGAGACCCCCCTCATGTTATGGTATGAAACACAAAGGCTTGGGGAAAAAATGTGATAACTGGGAAGACAGAAGATGTTATAAACATAGGTTAGACAGAAAACTCTGGATGGTTTGACCAAGTGGTATGGTGAACCAGGAGTGGTTTAACTTATCGAAAACACAGAGGACAGATGTGTGTACCTGATTACACACATACATGCAACAAACGTAAATGACCCAAGACAGCTGGGGGGTGTGTCCGGGGCTTCAATGGTGAAGCTAAATGACCCAAGACAGCTGGGGGGTGTGTCCGGGGCTTCAATGGTGAAGCTAAATGACCCAAGACAGCTGGGGGGTGTGTCCGGGGCTTCAATGGTGAAGCTAAATGACCCAAGACAGCTGGGGAGTGTGTCCGGGGCTTCAATGGTGAAGCTGTCTGCTTCAGGCTCTCAAGGTAATCCATTTTTTCACAATGTCACCTAGTCCACAAACGCAACTTTTAGAGATCCTTGGGTATTACTGCTAGAGCAAGGAAGTTTGTGCTTTGTATGAAACTTTTTGTAGACAGCTAGCTGTACTGCAGAGAAACGGTGAGTGATACAGGGGTAAACTTGGTGCAGTAAAGTCCATCCTCTCAACATCCAACCTTTAAATAACTGAAAAAGATGGTCATAAAGCTTCATAATCAACCAAAGGGTGGTGACACCTGCTCATATAGATAAAATATATATTTATGCGTGTATAAATAAAGATAATATGGTGAGTAGGAGGTGTACGTGTGTTCTTTATGTAAGTGTGTGTAACTGACTTTTTCTGTGTCTGTTTTTATACATCATCATTATCAAGTGCCTTGCCGAGTGGCGTGGGCAATCATACGTTGACGCTCCTCTATGCCATGCCAACGGGCTGAATCTTCTCCTGTTGTCTTCCCCTGTATCTCTTTCTACAGATCTTTTGAGCTGTCGCAACATGTTCCAGTATAATTCTATTCATTTAAAGAAACAATGACTGTCTCTTTCTGATGTTTGTAGTAAGCAGTCTTCAAGCCTCACCTCTTTCAAGACATCTCAGTTGCTCGTTTTGGCTGCCCAAAGAATTCTTAGGCTTTGTCTGTAAAACCACAGCTCTGAGGCACCAAGAAATATTTTGGCTTTTATATATATATATATATATATATATATATATATATATATATATATATATATATATATATATATATATATATATATATATATATATATATATATATATATATATATATCTGTGGTGTGTATGTGCGTGTAATGGGCTGAAAACCATAGACATTGCAGCCTAGCTGTAAACCACAGCACAATGTGTCAACCATCTTTTTTTTTTTTTCAGGGTGAACTCAGAATAAAAAGAGGGTGGAAAATCAGTCAGTATCCTCACATACTGGAATACAATTTGGCTTTCAAGTGTTTGATCACATGTTTTGTTTATTCATATATCTATTTCAGCAAACCTTACCTGACTACTTTTACAACATGCTCATTAAGGGATAGTGAATCTGTCTCTCCCCCCACCCCCAATTGTGGGCCACGAAACCCAAATGAGGAAGACAAGTTTTATTGAAATGCATTATTGCTTTTTGATTATATTTCACTGTGCCAGATTTTACAAAATAAATATTCTAAACTGAGAAACATAAAATATAATTTAACAGTTTGATGATGCAACCCTTCATTACTGTGCCTCAGTAAAACCCTTCTGGCACATACACACAATGGTAAAACAAGTTATGATGATGGTTGTAGATGCTTTAATGCCATCACAAATCCTAAGCCTCCGATGAACACTTGAAACAAACAAACAATGGTTAAGCAAGCTGCTGAGATGACAGCTGCTCTAATACAATAATCCCTACCTGTGTAATGGAGTTTCACTAAAAACATTTTCCATGGTCAGACTGTCTGACCCTGCCTGGGCAATCAGTTGTTTGGCGATCTCCAGCTTCCCGTTGTAACAAGCTCTGATTGATTCAATAAATTCTCCAATTAGAATAAGACATGCACATAAAAAGTACACAACTTACTTATCAAGTTAAAACAGCAGGACTTGTCCTTACAGCAAGGCAAAGGAACATTTATCTCAGCCACGAGCCATTTACTTATTTAAAATAATTAAGTGGACAGATTATCCTTACTGCACATTGAAACAATCAGTCCAGAATTGCTCAGATCCCCTGCTCAGTAAATTTCCCCCATGTGTAGCAGCCAAATAAACTTATCTTTAGAGCATGAAGCAAACAGTTTGATCATTTAAGGCTCTAACACCCCAGGAACTTCCAGACTAAATGGCCAACAGCTGAACGACTGCTGATATTCTGAAAAGTTATTTGTTTCCAGCTAGGTTTTGCTGATATAATTCCCCATTTCTGGACTGGAAGTCCAAAGGTTCTGTCGCCCAGCAGCTGAGCTGAGCTGTGGATTTCATGTGGATAGTTTTTTTTCCTGGTGCGCTTGTGACGTGTTGTTGACTGCACTAAAATGGCAGGTGGCCGATTAAGATCAGAATGGCATGTAATTTTGCAGGTGCTGTTTACGCCAACAGTCAGCTGAAGTTCTGGTTTGAGATGATCAGTGTTGGCACATCTGACAGCTGCCTTTGGCATTTTTTCCTTTACTGTGTGCAGGCTTGCAGAGTTTACTGGGAGGGACACGTTTTTCACTAGTTTTCTAATGCAGATATTGTGTGACTTGCACTGGCACAGGAACAGAGCAGTTGTGGGGTGAAACGTCTGCACTGATGTTGAAACCTTGACTAATGACTAACAAATCCTCATGTAATGGCTGATGTTTGTTTGTTTGTTTTAGTATCCAGAAGCCATGAGTTGTTAACCCTTAGGCTCAGTATTATCGCAACCTTGCGACCTTGATTCCACTGTAAATACCGTAAATCTGGGTAAAATGTGGCTTTTCTGCCTACCCCCGGGAGTGAACCCGGACCACAAGGAGTTCGTCACCTGGTCTCCGCACAATCTGGTTTAGCCAATTACGCTAGAGAGCCAGGCTATGTGATGGCTGAAACACTGCTCTTTGGTGAGGAGTTTCATGTTAGTTGGAATTGATGATGCTTCTACTTGCAAAGTCTTTTTTTTTCAAACCAAATGACTTTGAAGATTTTATACATTTCAGGCATCACCCCCCCCCCCCCCTCCCCTCCCCCCCCCCCCCCAATTTTTTTCAAACTGTTTAAAATACAATGTCAAGAGGCACAGAACTGACATTGATAAAAGAAGAAGTTGTTCATTGCTGTGGCAGCACAGGGTACTCAAACGATACATCTCAGAAACCAAATCTTCCCTGCCTCCAAGTTGTTACTAGTTTCTATACTCACACTTCCAAGATTCACTGCCATACAACAAAAGAGGTTCGACAACACACTTCAGTAATCTCGCTGACTAACAAAAGAAGAAAATATATAATGCCTGCTGTATAGAAACAACAAGAGCCTGCTGTGGCAAAATGGTTAGTTTAATTAAGTGCTGAGACAGCGGTCTGGTTTAATCCCCAGAAATAGCCAGATTTTTTTCCTCTGACCAGCATGGTTCTAGGGTAGACCCAATCTCATAACAATGGGAAACAGACAATTTCCAGAAATCTCCAGAAATTATCTGGAAAGGAAATGTGATGAGTAATGGAGAAGAGCCATCTCACCTCAAATGTCAAAGTCTGGAGTATGTGAGAGCACTATGGTAATCACTAAGGTGATAAGGAAGGGCACTGGCCATCTCAACCACATATGTCAAGGCCTCGAATACGTAAAGGCAGAACACTATGACAGTTTCAGCTGTGAGGCCACCTTTACGTTATAAAAACTATTATTTAAAAACTGTCCATTAAAGAAGACATGCTGTATTAACACATGTCCCAGAGCTTCAACTGGCCAGACATGTGGATTTCTCTTGAAGAAACCTCAGTAAAGTGTTTCATGTATTAGTTAGTCAGTTAGTTCGATTATCATCATTGCATTCCAAATATGTCCTCAAAATGAACCCCAGCGACCGGCAGCTAATAATACCAGTTCTATGTTGATTAAAAAGTCCACTGATGAGCCTGGTGTGCCTCTTGTTTTTTGCTATGCTGATCTTAACTCCCAAGTCTATCATTCTGGCAAGTGATGTGGATTCACTGCCCCCAAAGACATTCACCTTTCCTATTTCTTGGAGGGCATTAATAATATTGGCATGATACATAGGCTGACCATTAATAGTGATAGCGGATCCAGCCAACCTATCAGCTCTTTTATTTCCATCGATGCCTACTTATCCTAGCACAAAAATAAAGGTGACTCCACACACAGTGGACTTCTGTAATGATTCAAGCCATTGCCTTTGCACCAATTTCATGTATTCTTGTTTGTAAATGCAATACTGTCAATTGTCATGTGCTGATAAAGGTTTTATTGCTGGAACATTCACTTGTTTGTGATTGTTCTAATGTGACCAGTTCTATATATCGTTAGGTTTGATAGAAAATATAGCAAACACAGATACAAATAAAGCTATGAATATCCTGATAACACTTACAGATGCAGAGGTGTGTCACCGTAAATGTTCACCTCATGGGGTGAGGCATGATGGTCAAGCAAATAATGTAGTGTCACCAGGTGACCTGATTTACAGCAGAAGTGGAGTGGTGTGTGACCTTCATCATCCTTCACATTCACTGGAAAATACAAGATTTGATTTATATTTATATATATATATATATATATATATATATATATATATATATATATATATATTTCTTTTTTAGCAATTACTCAAACAGCTTCCGTGAAACTCAACATCTATCTTGTGTCTTTTATCCTCAACTAAATAACTGACCCTCTGTGATCTCATCACAAGAGCTGCCCTATCTCATCTCCTGATGCACATCAGGTTGTTTTGTTCCTAGTTTACTGGAATGAAAAGCTCTAGAATTGATGTAAAAAAATCATGCATGCATTTGCACGTTTTCCCAAATTTGAACAGGCGTTAATAAGTATGTTTACAGAACAATTTTAATTCTAAATGGTAAACAATCTAGAAGATAATATATAATATTTGCATTACCAGTGCTGCCCCTCTTCCCATTCTCATCATCATCTTCCAATTCTGCCATCAATTGTCACTGACAGCAGCACAACTGGCAGCAGAGGTGCTGGGACCTGGGAGAGCTCAGGTTACCTGTGGTCCCCCCCTAACTCCCCAATTTTTTGCAAAAATGCTAGCAGCCCTTTGTAGGTGGCACAATCTGTTTATTAGTCCATGCAAAGAAACAAGAAACAAGGTCTTTAATGTGTTCAATCCTATTTGTTTGTTTTGGTAATTAATTTTGCTGCATGTAATGAGATTACCAAATCACGTGATCGTCTATTTACTCAGTGTATTTATCAGTCATATTTGAAGTCAGTAGTCATTAAATGATGTTCCAACTTCCCTGCAGATGAATCTCCCTATAACTGCTGTGTTCATGTATCAGTGGAAATCATACAAAATGTCCTGTCGCATATGAAAACACAGTGAAAACATATGTCTCAGAAAAATCCTGATGCTCTCACATGCAAAATAAATGCATAAGGCAACAGTCACGTGTGTCAACACTAATAATCTCGCACTAGAATTGCAACCCAGTTGTTGGCGCAAACAGTCATTAATGAAAGCCAGCATGCACACACAGTACAATTTGACACAAAGCGTTGTTCTGACGTTGTTCTGTCTATTGATTAGTGATTAGAAAAGATTATCATCACAGCACTCCGGACAGATTCATAGGTGCTCCAATCTCCTCCTCAAAAGTTCCAGAAGTGTAAAAACAACTGATGACGGCTGTTCTGTGTCGGTTAATGAAATGTCTTGTCACCTTAATGCTATGTTCATTTCTTGTAGCTCCAGGCTGCACTCCCATGTCCATCAGTCTAGACAGGGATACCGAGTCATTTCCTTCGGCGTGATCCTCGGTACTGTAGGTGCAGCACATGGCATTGATAATACCACTTCTGTCCAGTAATGGACCAGCCATAGCAACTGCAGTGTCAGCAAAATAGTCTGCACGCTCGTTCCCTTGAACACCCGCATGACCTGGCACAAAGATGAAGGTTAGGGCAGATATTCGTGAAGTACTTAGTGTTTCAATCCATTCTTGCCTGATAAATCCAGCTTGGATTTTTTAAAGCATACTCATCAAGTCACTAAGAATGCATACTTGTGTGAACTTTTGAGTACCAAGCCATGCTAATGCCCTTGTTACAGCCATAGTTTCCATTGTATCTGTCTCATATTGACTATTAACTAAACCCACAGAACCATCAAGTAAATGACTTAGAACATAACTTCGTACCATCAGCTTTCTGCTGTGAGGTGCCATCCACAAGCAGCTGCATGATCTTGAGATTTGATTTAGAGCTGGCCAGGTGGATGGGCCGATCCCCGACACTGCCACTGATGTTGATATCAGAACCATTGCTGATCAGCAACTCCACAACCTGCAAACAGAAAGACCTTTCCTGCTGTAAGACATAAACATACGGTTTTGTTTGCTTATTTCCCCTCCTCTAGGACTTCAGCCTGGAAGACTGACTCCCAGTGACTCAAGAAGGAATCACTACTCAGATGTGAATCCAACAGCGGCAATTCCCCAAAAATCCTGTTCAACCATATAAAAGTTATACTGGGCACCCTAAAAGATTGACGTCTTTAGGCAATTATGACTACACCTGTTGACAGCTGTGATACTAGTGCAACTGCACAATGTGAAGCCCTCATGGATAATTATATTTCCTTAAAAAATGTAAGATATTATTTGGGGTTTTAAAAATAGAAATTAAAAAAATAAAAAGATGTTATAGGCTTTGTGAAATCACAGTGATGTAATAATGATGACACTTTGCTCCACATTTATCACACACACAAAAACACATTTTTATTGATTACTATTTTATATTACACTGATTTATTTATGGGGACATTACGAAACAACATTTTTTTTTTATTGTTGGTGATGTGGAAGCCAAGAAGACACAGTGGTGGGCAGGCTTGCCTGGCCGTTCAGAGGCCATAAGTCTGAACCCCTAGATATTTACATAAAAACTGACCAAGACCCCAAATATCCTCTTATTCTTTTCTGCCTCTAGTTTCTCGAGGTAAAGTTTCCGAGAATTTAAGGATGCAATTTTTCTCCACAGGCTGTAGAAAGAAAGGTAATTGTTACGATTCTTCTGGAGAGAAGGATTTAAGGTCAAGGCCGCCGAAGTTGGTGCTTTCGTACACATTTTGCCAAGCAAAACTGTACGTCTGGTACCATGCCCAAAGTTTCTGTACTCTTTAGAGATTTTGTATCAATATTGTAAATGTTGGCATTGTTCCCTGGATTCAGTAAGTGCTACTAAAGGAAGACCGAAGCCAACTGTGCCAAAAATTTGCCTTTATTGTACCACTTTTGCGGTGAAGGCAGGAGGGTCTTTGAGTCTGAGGATTTACGACTAGTGCTGACACCACCACTGCAGGTGAGGATTTGTATTTTTTTCCCTGACACAAAAAAATCCTCAGCCTTACCGAGGATTCGAACCTGGGTCTCTGCCTTGAGAGCTCAGCATTCTAACAGTTCAGTCAGCCGTTGCCAATTGTGCCACTGGTCACAAAATTTCCCAGCCTTGTTGAAGAAGACTATTATACAAATAAATAGAGAATAGAGAGAACTAATACAGCAAACGAACCATATATGCTAAAAGATACACCAAAAACATTTTGGCTTACAATTTCAGAAGAAATATGTGGAGACGAAATTCCCTTTCCATTAGTATCAAAATGTATGCTTAGTCTTTTGGCATTATTCCATTCCTCTGCAGCTGCAGAAAGAGATTTCTCTCTGCTTAACACAATTAAGATGTAAACAAATCACTCTTCTTTGAAGATTTCAATAATAAATGCACTGATGAGATTAAAAGTTGTTGCTCCAGGACATTAACTGGAAGCTGCCAAAACAAGCTTTGTAACAAACTAAACGGGGAAGAATGGTACAGCAAGGATGTAATGAAAAAAAGAATTACAAATCTGATCAAATAAAATATAAGCCATTTATATATACACACTCATGCATACACACATGTGCGCTCACTCTGTGTTTTCAAAGATGTTTTAAATAAAAATGTTGTACTTTTTGGTGTGTTTTGATACCTTTTTACACACACATGTGGGCAAAACTGGTACTATTCGACAAAAAATTCTGGCAGCCCTTGATAAGATTACAACACTGTCACTTCTCTACTGCTACAGTGTCATGTGCTAAATGATCTGGAAACCACTTCTATATTTCTATATTCTTAAATCTGACTTTTAACACACTCATTTAAAATATACATTACCTTCTCATGACCAAAATGGCAAGCAATATGTAAAGAGGAGAACTTGACAACATCTCCCATATCAATCTTGGCTCCACTCTCCAACAGAATTTTGGCAATCTAAATTAAAAGAGTTCACTTCAGTTACTCGTATTAACAATTGTGTGCAGTCGACACCTAACATTAAAAGGTTGTAAAACATGGTAAGACTTCTGACAGTAGAACATCTGGAAGAAAGGTAAGAAGAAGACCAAGAAAGAGATGGATGGATGGTGTAGCTGAAATCTGCAAAAAAGATGAACAAATACATCACTCAAGCCATCCCAGAAGTGTAAGACAAATACAGAAAATCATGACACTGGGCTACAACCTGGTATAAGTGAGACGACAAAACCACCACACTGGGCTACAACCTGGTATCAGTGAAATGACAAAACCATGACACTGGGCTACAACCCGGTATCAGGGAAATGACAAAAGAAAAGAAGAAATGGTGAGAAAAACATGGTTAAATTGCTTCTGTTAATTGCTGTAGATATCACCGGCCATTTCTCTGATTGGCATTCTCACTGCAGTTGATGACTGCAAGTGTTTGTAGGTGAGCCTGCATATTAACTTCGCACCATCTTCTTGGTCTGTCTTGTGGTCTACTCTCATTCAGCTCTTTTTGCGTTCAGTTTTTGTCTGCTATTCTCTCTACATGTCCCAATTAGCATAGTCTATTAGCCACCTTGATACGTTAACTTGATTTTTATAAAAAATAACGCAGTATGCAAGTGAAACATGGACAATTTGTAGACAAACTGGTATCAGCAAACAACATATAGATAACCAGATATCAGCAGAAAGTAAGTATATAAACAGATATCAGCAGATAATAAGTAGATAGATATCAGCAGACAGTAAGTAGATGAACTGATAATAGCAGACAGTAAAGTAGATAATACATATACAAGGCGGGTTTTTTAAGTGTCCCATTTGGGCCACACCGACAAACACCGATGGAAAACGTAAACGTGCATATGCAGTATGTTTATGTGGTTCATTACCTAGCTGTGTGCTATATTTTTACTGTCTAAACCTTGTTTGATGCTGCGCGTGAGTGATTTATAATGAGTGCAAGAAATAAATACTCCCGCCAGCTGTGAGGTTCGTGCTGTGATCTATTTTTGTTTTTGTTAGCAAAAAACAACAGTGCTGCAGAAATTCACAGGCAACTCATTGAGATTTATGGGCCAGATGTTATGACTGATAGCATGGTTAGGAAATGGTGTCGAACGTTTAAAGAACGGTGAACAAATATCAGACAGTTAGTAGAGAAGGTGACAGCAGAAACCATGTAGTTTCTAAGGAAAATGCATACATGTCATAGATGAACAGAAACATGAATGAGCCGGTGCTCCACAAAGCACAAGTGTAGTAACACTACCTCACGGTGACCACACATGGCAGCTATGTGAAGGGCAGCTACTCCACTATGACCAGTCTGATTGACATCGGCCCCATGAGTCACCAGAACTTCAACCTGTTCGGCATCTCCCTGTAAACAATAAAACAGTGACAGTAAAGAAATGTGAAGTCATCAAATCTGATCATGTCATGTCTGGGCCCTTTGTTCTCCGCAGTAAAAATGTCAGTCCAAATAGAAACGTGAAATAGTCAGCCTTACAATAGCAGAAATACAAAAAACAAAATAAATGCTGCAACCAGAAAGCCTTCATCATCGCATAGCACAAATGGACAATGATAGAATTACAAACAATAATGAATAAAATCACAGCTTTACAGTGAAGCCTGTCATAAAATCTCCACCCATGCTTGAACAGTACATGCTCGGAACTTTTCTTTGGCTCTGCATGAGACTGAACTCCCAGAAAATACTCTCACTCATATTATGAGGTGAGAGTAGCTGAGGCCTCTCTAACAAATTACACCTTAAGGAATATAACAGGCCAAGATCCGACAAGATATTCACATCCCCCACTGAAAGCCATGTCATCTATAGAATAAAAATATAGGCTTGGCAACATATGCCCTATTTGCAAACTGTGTATAAAAAGTCCTTTATATTTTACTTCTTAATCCAAAACCACATAATCATTATGTAGCAGGTCCTTTGCAGAACGTCACTCTGCCTGAAAGAAATTTGGGATCCCACCAGCTCTCCTGCCTGACACCCAAGGTGTCACTTATATCCCGTGCCCATATTCATGCTGGTTAGCCCCTGCCCCTCTTACCTTGTACCATACCTTCTGCTATTACTTTTTCCAATCTGTTGCGGGGCTTGATATGGCCAAAACATTTCAGCTGCTGAGATAAAATGCTGTTGACTAGCCTGTCTTCCTTGATGTTTAGATTTTTTAGGATATCAGTATTTCTTTTCTTCTTTGTCCATGGTATTTCCAAGACTTCATGATCAATAATAAGTGCTGCCGCAACTATTCTGTGGTAGCTCAACATAATAACAACAACAACAAACAGTGGATACTTACCCTATAAGTAGCCAAATGCAGGGGAGAGAAAAGGTTCTTACTAAGCACATTGATATTTTTGCCCTTCTTCAGAAGTCTCTCCAGCTGGCTAGTGGGAGCTGTGAAATCGACATTCAGGTTGTGGATTAAATGTAATAATGCAATCCCAGAGTAGATAATGTCTTAGCAGTGTAAAGTGATGGTGCTTCACATATACTAGGTTATGTACCATCCTCTTTTTGTTATATACCGATAAGATTCAATTGGCACATTTCCATCTTTCCAGTCGATAGTGTTATACTGCACTTTGAGAAGGCATGGGACTGACAGCCCATGGTCCATATCTTGTGTTGTCACGCTTGACAGGAGCTGTTGAGAGCAGAATCCATTTGATAGTAATGCAGAGGTCCACACACTTATGAGAAAATTCAGATGAAGCGGATGCACTGATTTACACAGATGGGTCCATTGTACGAGGATAAAAAAGTGCATGGGCATTTACTGCGGGCTCTGCAGGCAGAACAGCCCAGGAAGCCAGTGGTGCCTTCTGTATGGCTACCAGCAGCATGACAATGGAGGTGACGGCGGTAACACGAGCTTTTATGTGGCTAACATTGCAGCGCTGTTCTCATGTGTATGGGCTGAGAGATTCCATGAGCATAATCTGGCACGTTGAGGCGAGCTTTGTATGCAGACAGTAGATCGAGTCATTGCAAAACTCCACTGTGTGTGGCAATGAAACAGCCAATAGATTAACCAGCTCTACCTTAGTTACAGAGGGCTGGCCCATGGATCATGCAGACATTATTAATGTAATTAGAGAGGAAGGATGATTGGAGAATTTTGGGAGCAGCAAATCCACATCTTTGCTAAGAGTGCAAGAATTGGGGGTAAAGATCAGCACAGCCAGGCATGAGAAGCACACCAGACGCAAGAGAAGTCTTGTCAATCAACATAGGACTGGGACTATCAACCATGGGATGCTGATGTACATGTGGTGATGGCGAGTGTGACAAGTAAGACCCGCCTGCATTAAGAAAAGTCTTCCAAAATTATAGCATAGGATTTCAGGACCACTGTTGTGAACATCTGTGATTAGCCTGTTTCTTCTCAGATGCTCAGTGCTCATCCTTTCTTCCTTAATTCTCATTCCCTTCCTGATGTGCCTACTCCACACAAACAGGTCTTTGGCATTTTGTTCCCATGAGCCCACCTCAATACCTGTATCATTCATGTCCCATCTGCACACGTCTTTATATCATAGTATGTTATACACCACCACACCATATTTGTGTATGTGTGACTGTTTAAAAAATTGTCTGTCATCTCCAGTTGTTATTCTGCTTCTTCTTGGCATTCACTGGCTGTAAACTCCAGCAGAAAGTTCTGATTGTTCACCCACTTTAAGTTCTGATTGTTCACCCACTTTAAGTTCTGATTGTTCACCCACTTCTGAAAGCACTCTTTACCCGTCTAATAATTAATAACTACTCACAATTTAAAGAATAATAATTATATACAACATAATAAAAAAGTAAAAAAAGTATGAAAAGTAAAGATCCCTTTCCACGCCTTTAGGCGTATCTGGCATATGGGAAGAGCGCCCATATTTTTACAGACCATCAGCACTCGGTGGGTTATGTGGTCAGCATTACGCCGGCTGTCTTTACTTTCCCAGGACAGCCCATCCTGGTACCCATTTTAGGCTGGGTCGACCTATATACAACATAATGCCATTTATTAACAATTCAATACACAAAAGCTACCTCAGATTAATGTAGAATTATTTCTTACTACTTAACGTGGAATTGTTCTATACATCTTGGTGAACACAACTTCTTCTTCATCCGCCATTAAAAGTGTGGATGGATGGCATGTGGTCATGTAGTTTACAGCTAGGCTGTGATATCTATGTCTTTTGTTCCAACATACTGAATTTCTGCTAAACATATTTTAAAACATGTTTGTTAGGGGGCTCGGAATCTATTCCCCCCCCACCCCCCCCTCCCCCCCCCCCCCCCCCGAATCTATTCCACCCCCCCCCCCCCCCCCCAATGGATTGACAGGAAAAATAAAACCTAGTGCATAATTACAAACAGGTTTTTGACGATCATTGTACACATTTCTTAAGATTATCTGGCAATTATTTTCCTCCATTTTCACCCTGCCAGGTTAGAGCAATTTAACATAAGTGTACTGAATGACTTATAAAGGCAAATGAAATACCTGTCCAAAATAGTCAATCACAGACTTGATAGGAAACTTTACAGTTGCCCATCACGCTTTTGTTTTAAAAAAGACAACCTAAGTGCGAATCTTTCACATGATTTCGTAAACCAACACCACAATATGTTGGCTGTTTGTAGTAGTTTTACTATGTAATTTTAAGTTCAGTAGTTTACCACTGTTTTCTCAACAGTTGTCAAAACCAATGCGGAGCAGTCTGCTACCAAATTGCCTGCAGCTGAATCAAACTCGGTTTATCATAATTATGAAACTGCATTTGTAATCCCTAAGCCATAGACACCTACTGAAGGGTACATTATGATAAAGATCACAAGAAGACCCAAACATATATTTTTTAAAAATTCAAAGCAATGTTTTTCTGCTGTCAAACGGAATAACGAAGATAAAAAATTAGTTTAGTATGCACCTGATAAGGTATAGGGAAACATGTGCCAGGCAAAAAATTTGGCAGAATCACCAAAGACACACTGAAACAAGAAATAAAAGGATTGAGGAAATGAGGACACCAATGGAAAACCCTAAAACGAACAATGATGAGAGAGGTCAAAGGTGACAGACTGAATTCCAATGTATTCAAGAGTCAGTTATTTTTCAACTCAAATACTGTTTAAATAAACACCTGAACCTGGTCATTCTGGCCCTTTGTATACTTTACTCAAGAGCATCTACAACAATCTTCAAATCAGTGCTGGTAACATCACATAGCTCCACAAGCTACACACACAAAATCAAAAAACTGAAGAACATCGTGGTGGTGGGAATGATGGAGGGGAAAGAGGCAGAGGGAGACGAAGAGAGAAGATGGTGGACAGTCTGATATCATGGCATGGAAGATCATCTGTGTCAGAGCTGACTGAAAGTACCCAACACACAAGGTTGTGGTAAGACATGACTTACAACATCACGCAACATGGACTGTAAATAAGAACATCACACAGCTACAAAAGGTACACACCTCCAGCCAGGCAAGCAATATGAAGCAGGGTCAGTCCTGTGTCTGTTCTCTCATTACAGTTTGTGTCATTCAACAGCTGGCTCAACACAGTCAAATCTTGTGTGCTGAAAAAACAAAACACAAAAAACGTGTGTTTATTTCTGCGACATTCATCGATCAATTAAAGATCATCTTGATCACCCACTAGCGGCGTCCGGGGCATAGGCATTGCGAGTCCGACTCGTAATTCTAACGTACCACGTTTGAAACCCATGCAGCCAGCTGGGTGGATTGGCACACAAAGGTGGAATATTGGCGTTAGATGAAAGGTAAACCTATTTTCTACAATGTCTCCAAATTTCATCTTATTCTAACCACTTATTTGAATGTAACTAATATTTTTGTATAAAATATTTTGTTTTTTTTTTCACGTTAATGCCCAGGAGCTCAGCTATAGGGGACAGTTAGGTTCAGGTCCTCAGGTCTGGTAGAGTTAATACATCAAATGTCCATGATTTATCGTCATCCACAATTGAAGCAAATACTGTAATCTACCATGCATGTCATAAAAGGCAACTAAGGAAGGCTGACATAAAACTGACTACAATGAAAGAGAGGGAAAGAATTTACCACATGTTTCTTGGCTATAGTTCATATTACGAACACATGCCATGCTCATAAGTAAAGGCTTTCAAATTTTGTCATATCAAATGATCACCAGAATCATGGATTGGGTCACTGCTCTTGTCTCATCTATTCCATATGGTTAAGCCACCAAGGTAATTATCTCTTTGCCTTCCCCTTGCTCCTTTTTTTCATAAATCTTGCCATCTTTGCCAAGTTCTTTAGTCTTCATCCTCGCATGTAAAAGAAAAGAGGACTGTGAAAGCAGGACTTTTTTGGCATGTTGCCATGGCTTTTCTTCTCAATAGAAACATACTAATAGGGTGAACATAGCCACTGTCACTATAGTGTGATCCTCTGCCACCCTTCAGGAACTTGAGACCATGACCAAGAACCAAAAGTTCAACAGTTGGCTGCTAAACAGGTACTCAACTTTTCACAATGGTGTCCCACTGATAGGTGGAAGGAAGCACCTTACTTCTCCTCTGACAGAGGATACTCCTACCAAACTACACATACTTCTATGGTATATTTCTGTATGAAGAAAACAGTGCTTGGCCATACAGAAAAAAAAACTGCTGGTGATACATACAGATCAGCACAAAGAAATATCTAATGCAAAGCACATTTATTCCCACTCTATGCTACCAGTGCCAGACATCGTCAATCAAGAAAATTACCAACCATGAAAATGAGACTTTTGAGTAGGACTGCAGGAGTGACAAGAAGAGGTAAAATCAGAAATGAAGTCATAAAAGAAAAAGTCTGCATATAACCAACTTTGAATTGCACACAAAAACAGAGAAGCAAGCTTTTTGCCCTCTCAAAGAGAATGCCTTATGATGATATACCATATCAAGCATACACCAAAAGAGGAGAAGGATACAGAGCACAAGGCACACCAAGAACAAGATGGAAAGATAACATCAAAGAAAGTAGACCAAGTATAATATGGAAAGATAACACCAAAGAAACTCTATCTGGTCGATGCGACCAGAAGAACAAGAAGCAGTACCTTACTTCTCCCTCGACACCTAAAGTGGTAAAATAAGAAGTGAAGAAGAAAAGGAAGCTACATGTTAGCTCCAAATGGTTAAACAAAAGAGTAATCATGACAATAAAAATATCAATAAACTGACTTGGCTGCAGCCAGCTGAACTTCTGTCCAATCTGCTTCCCTTGGTCGTAATTCTTCAATAACCTTTGACCTGAACAAGGCATAGCTTTCACTGATTTTCTTTTTCAGCTCATCTGTAATAACAAAATGAACAGAACAATAACTTTACTGCAGAAAATACAAATGTTTTTAAGATGCGAATTAAATCAAAATAGGGAGTCACCATGGCGTTGGCGGCTAGATGCCTGAGAGGGTGCCAGGTGCAGTCTTGGAAAGTAAAGGCGGTATGTGTGATGCTGACTACATCACCCACCAAGTGCCGATAGGTCTAAAATAGCCCTAAATTCCCAATTCACCTAAAGGTGTGGAAAAGGGACCTTAACTTTACTTTATTAAATCAAAATAGCAAACAGGTGAGAATGGAGAGAGAGAGAGGGAAGAGAAAAAGAGAGACAGAGAGACAGACAGAGAAAGAAAAAAACAATGAAATTCATAATGTTTCAGTCACTATTAATTATGTGCATCATGAGAGCTAACAGACTGCAATGGTTGGGCATACAGAAGGAACGGCAAACAACAGAGAGACAAAAACTGTGTAGATAAAAGAGTTACCTGCGAGTAAACCATGAAGCAGATCACAAAGATGATGGAAAAGTAATAAAAAGGTAATAAAAAGGTAGATGGACAATCATTTGGAGTCACCAAGTGGAAAGAGAAGGTCAGTCACAGAGATGAATGGAGGTAAGTGATATCTGCAGCAATGACATTCAAGGTCTTGGAATGCAGAAGAAGAAAAATTAATTCAAAACAATGGGGGAAATTCTTTCTTTAGGCCTTCTTTGGCAATGAACAAGTGACAGACATCATCATCTTACAACAGCATAAGCTCACATTAGCCAGCATAACACATCTGGCACTACCACATAAACTGCAGATACCCACAATGCCTCATGGCAGCATCAGAACCAGAACAGGGAGCACAAAACAGTTCTACTTGGTCAACAGTACACTAGGCAATATACAAGCATTGCAGTAATGACCAGAACAGGGAGCACAAAACAGTTCTACTTGGTCAACAGTACACTGGGCAATATACAAGCATTGCAGTAATAACCAGAACAGGGAGCACAAAACAGTTCTACTTGGTCAACAGTACACTGGGCAATATACAAGCATTGCAGTAATAACCAGAACAGGGAGCACAAAACAGTTCTACTTGGTCAACAGTACACTGGGCAATATACAAGCATTGCAGTAATAACCAGAACAGGGAGCACAAAACAGTTCTACTTGGTCAACAGTACACTAGGCAATATACAAGCATTGCAGTAATAACCAGAACAGGGAGCACAAAACAGTTCTACTTGGTCAACAGTACACTGGGCAATATACAAGCATTGCAGTAATAACCAGAACAGGGAGCACAAAACAGTTCTACTTGGTCAACAGTACACTAGGCAATATACAAGCATTGCAGTAATAACCAGAACAGGGAGCACAAAACAGTTCTACTTGGTCAACAGTACACTAGGCAATATACAAGCATTGCAGTAATAACCAGAACAGGGAGCACAAAACAGTTCTACTTGGTCAACAGTACACTAGGCAATATACAAGCATTGCAGTAATGACCAGAACAGGGAGCACAAAACAGTTCTACTTGGTCAACAGTACACTGGGCAATATACAAGCATTGTAGTAATAACCAGAACAGGGAGCACAAAACAGTTCTACTTGGTCAACAGTACACTGGGCAATATACAAGCATTGCAGTAATAACCAGAACAGGGAGCACAAAACAGTTCTACTTGGTCAACAGTACACTAGGCAATATACAAGCATTGCAGTAATAACCAGAACAGGGAGCACAAAACAGTTCTACTTGGTCAACAGTACACTAGGCAATATACAAGCATTGCAGTAATAACCAGAACAGGGAGCACAAAACAGTTCTACTTGGTCAACAGTACACTGGGCAATATACAAGCATTGCAGTAATAACCAGAACAGGGAGCACAAAACAGTTCTGCTTGGTCAACAGTACACTAGGCAATATACAAGCATTGCAGTAATGATTCAATTACATTATTTCATTAATGATTACACACACAGGACTGCAGGTTGCAATGGGCTGATGTAACCATTATGGGTGTCCCAGTTATACTTTTTTAAAGGTTGAAGGGGTATCTTGAATCTGCCCTGTAGTTTGAGATTTTATCAATATAAGTGCACAGTTTTTAGCATCCTTTCATTATCAAATTGTATTGCAAATTATAAGATTATGACGTGTAGTACTTCTGGATACTGCTTTGCTAGACAAATGACAGTCACCTACTAAACATAATACCCTCTTTTGATTGATTTTCTGTCCTTCCAGCAATAAATCACCATACATGTTATCTATGTGGAAAAGAATAATTCAAAGTATGTTAAGGAATCTCTTCATGCCTTTAGTGCAAGGGGCATATGGTGCTAGACCAGCGGTTCTCAACCTGGGGATAGCGACCCTTTTGGGGGTTGAATGCACATTTCACAAGGGTTGCCAAAGACTATTGGAAAACATATATTCCCTAAAGTTTTGAAGAAGCAATGAAAATAACTGTATGGTTGGGGGTTGCCACAAAACGAGGACCTGAATTAAAGGGTTGCAGCATTAGAAGGGTTGAGAGCCACTGTGCTAGATCTATATTTCTACAGACCAACTGGCACTCAAATGGTGATGTGGTTCATATCATGATAGCCATCTTTTGTTACCAGGACATAAACTAACACCTATTTTAGGCTGGGTCGGCCAGGGAACCAAAGTGGGACAAGATTAATTTATCTATTTAAAGTCACGAAGACCTTTACAACCATGGTGCAGCGGCTAGATGCTCGCCCGCGGATCGGAAGGTCGTGGATGCAGGTCATGGCCGTACCGGACTTTAAAAATAAATGACCTGGGCTCCCAGCTAAACCCAGTCTTGAGTGGGTACCAAGTGGAGTCCTGGGAAGTGAAAGCCGACGGTGTGAATCTGACCACATCACCTACCGACTGTTCCATAAAATGTAGGCCTAGCCCTATATGCCCAATAAATCTGAAGGTGCGGACAAGGGAATTTTTACTAGATGCACGAAAAGGTTGAAAAGGATCCTTTACTTTTCACTTTTTTGGTTTGTTTTTTTATATTGTGTAATTGTGCAAATTTTTTCCTTTTCATATATACTTCTAACAACAAAATCTTCTTCTTCTTAGCGTTCACTGGCTGTAATCTCTGGTGGTTCATCCACTTCAGAACTTTGGTCTTTTTCCAGAGCTCGTGTTTTGTGTGTACATCCGTTTTACAGATCTTGCTAATTTTTATGCAGACGTCTGTCCTTTGCAGCTCAGGCAGATGCACTCTGACTTTAAAGGAAATACCCCAATTTGTCTACTTTTACGAAACCCTTGTTGGGGGCAGTGAATTTATTCTCTCCCACACCCCCCCCCCCCCAAATGAAGGCCCCAAAACCCACAGGGAAGGTAATAAAATCAACTTTGCTCTCTAAAGATTCAAGCATTTGTGCAGACACAGTGCTGTAAAATTAGTGACATATTTCAACAACAAATCAGTAGAATTCACGAACCTGTACAAGAAATTGTTGGTCTGGACTTGTAGTTTCCCATTAGAAGTGTTTGAATAATCCTATCTTACAGCATTCATTTCTTCTCAGAGAATGTAGACAGTACAATGCAATATGATGATACCAATCACCATCAGTTTCCCCTTTTGCCATTAAGTGTCGCGGGGAGGAACAGTTTATGATCCCTTGCCTAATGGATAACAATGGCTACTGTCATTCTATGACAATGTAGAAGGTCTTTATTGGCACAAATGAGAACAATATACACTTGAACAGTTCATAGTGGTGTAGAGAGATCAACACAGTATTGCACAGCAATATATAATTGAATAACAGTTCACAAAATAATTGGTTCTTCTTAAAACTCCTTAATTACTGTGTGTTGGCGATAGACAGCGTAAACCGATGCGGTTATTACTGTGTGTTGGCGATTGATGCACTGCTGTCATAATAGGGTTAGGCTTTGGGTTAGGGTTTGGGTATTGGTACTTCTTAAAACTACGGCCACTCCTAACCCTAACCCCTAACGCTAACCCAAACCCTAACCCTAACTGAACTCCGGCGTACTCCATAAAAAGTGGCCGTAGTTTTAAGGAGAACTAAATAATTTAACCGTCCTTAATATGACATTTTACATTTTTAAGAAAATATATTACTATTATGATCGCACTGGGTTAAAGAAAAGAATGGTAATAACCTGTTAATATAAAATAAATAACTTCATATGATATTTAAAAAAAGTATTATAATCGATACTAATATTAATAAATATAAATTATATACTGTATCACATAAACATATACAAGAGAAAAGTAACAGACTAAACTGCACAGCAGAAATGGTGGGACTGAGAATAAATACAAAGAAAACTAAGATCATGACAAACAGTCCAAACCAACAACCAGTGACCATAAGTAACCAATCACTTGAAAATGTAGAACATTTCACATATCTTAGCAGTGTGGTGTCCCTACTGGGAGGGACAGAGGAAGACATACAGTCATGCCTGAACAAAGCTAGAGCTGCTTTTGGAAGGATGAGGCAAATCTGGGAATCTAACAATTGCTGTAGAGGAACAAAACTCCGACTCTACAAGAGCATCATTTTGCTAGTTCTTCTTTATGGAGCGGAATGCTGGAGAATGACCAAAAAGGATGCACACAAGCTGTCCACCTTCCACCACACATGTCTACATAGAATTATCAAAATTTTCTGGCCAGATACAATCTCAAACACTAAACTACTTCAAGCCACAAACCAAGAAACTTTACAGTATGATTACCAAGAGAAGATGGAAACGGCTTGGCCACGTTAAGACTTCTGATATACCTGCCAAAACAGCTCTCACATGGACACCAGAGGGAAAGAGAAAACAGGGGCGTCCAAAAACAACATGGAGATGAACGATGGAAAGTGACCTGAGTGCGGCATCTTTGACATGGAAAACTGCACTGAAGATTGCACAGGACAGGAAAGCATGGAAAGTCCTCTCTGAAGCCTCATGTGCCACTAGGCATAACGAGAACTGATATACTGTATCATTTGTACTGTGTACATTTGTGTCCAACAATCTTAATTATTATATATCATATATTTCTGACAATCTCAACTTGCAGATATAATTAAGAAAGAACAGATGATTAATCATTAATGATTAAACCCTTCCAATATATAGTAAACGAAATACTTATACGATTTAGCAAATGCTAAGAAAGATTTGTTTTGCTTTGTTTGCATTCAATAATTCTTTTCAACCACTGAAAGAATCAATGAAAATGATAATTATAATTACAAAGTGTTTTATAAATCATCTTCATGTTTTGCCATCCCATTTGATCACCAGAATAAGGGATTGGGTTAGGTCAGTGTTTTTATCTCTCAGCTACTTCCATATGGCTAAGCCGCTAAGCCATCCAGGGATTTCTCTCTTTGACTTTGCCTTCCTCTTTCTCTCTTTTCGTCAGTCAATCCTGCCAGTCATTTCTCGAGTACATTTGTTCTTATAACATGTAATCGTATTAATATTATGAATTATTACATATTAAAATAATATGTATAAGAATAATAATATTGTAATTATTAATTATAACATATTGATAATCATAATATTTTAATGTTAATAATATAATATTAATTAAAATATTATAAAACTAACAAAAAAAGCATGTCGTAAAGAATCGACTAATTGGGAGCTTATTTCTAAGTCGGAGTGAGGAGTGCATCTGCCTGAGAGGCAGCACACAAATGAGTCAGATCTGTAAAACGGATGCACACGCAACACTCAGGTTCTGGAACAGGACTGCAGTCCAGAAGTGGACGAACAACCAGAGAACTTTCCGCCAGAGTTTACAGTACAGCTGGTGAACGCGAAGAAGAAGATAATTCAAGATTAATAATCCCTTTCAAAATGTATTTTATCAATTACACTTTTCGGAACTACTCTACTGGCGTAGATACATGTGCCATTTCTAAAACCGGTATCTATGTTTATCTGTCCAAATGAAAAAGAACCGAGTTGTCTTGTTGATTTAAAAAACCGAACAATTATAAACAAACACCCAGGTATCTACATGAAGAAAGACAACTCCAAGACAAAGTTCTGTAATGATTCGGCGAATAATAAACGAAACACGATTCTAGAAGCGTTTTGTTTCGTGTGCATATTTTTGTTCGCAAGAAAATAGGTTATAAAAAGAAAATTATAAATAATTATATTAGACCTGCACTAATATTAAAATATTAAAACTTTAGTTTTCTCCTGATTTTGCTTTATTAAATATTGGAAATATTAAAAACTTCATCGCCTAAATTGTGATAGTGAGTTCATACTTTTTAAAACTACAGGTGGAATTTTTAAAAACTATACATGAATATTTACCTAAAATGTAACTAGGTATATTTAGTGGCTTCGTCATTCCTCGTCTTACAGATTTGTAAGAAATTCAGAGAAGCTTCGCTTGCTAAAAACAGACATGGATAAAGCATCTGTGTTAAATTTTAATATTGGTGTTTTAGGCCATGTTGACAGTGGGAAAACTAGCTTGTCCAAAGTGCTGAGTACGGTTGCCAGCACAGCAAGTTTTGACAAAAACCCGCAAAGCAGAGAGCGAGGCATAACACTGGATTTAGGCTTTTCATCTTTCGCCGTCGATGTAGCAGAATTCAAACAAGATGTGTTGAAGGGCTACAAGACAGTGCAGTATACTCTTGTGGATTGTCCCGGTCATGCAAGTCTCATACGCACTATAATTGGGGGTAGGTACATTCTTAGGCAGACACGCCTTCAGAAGGGGATCCTAAGGGGACGCAATCTACTTTTTGTTTACGGCAACCATCAGGGAGACAATCCATCGTTTGTGTACGTTCACATAATGATGCTTTAATTTTTAATTGTGAATCAGGTTAGGTTAGCGGCTATCCTCTGAATAACGGTCCCAAATTATCGAGGCCACAAATACACCCTAACAGGGCCTTAGTCACGTGTCAATTGCTGACTTCCGGGGACTATACCGCCACTGTTGAAAATATCCCCCATGCCGCTCATCTGCTAAACTAGATGGCTGGGACTCACGAGCAAATAAAATTAAGGAAGCTGCAGGAGATGCGGTAGCTGTTGCTCGTGAGTCCCAGCCATCTAGTTTAGCCCTAATCCATGCTGCGGGAGCAGCAGGAGGATACTCTCAGCGGTGGCAGAAGTCGCCAGAAGTCTGCAATTGACACGTGAATGAGGCCCTGTTAGGATATATTTTCGGCCTCTATAATTTGGGACCGTTATTCGGAGGATAGCCGGTTAGAGTTAGCCCTAATTTTAACCCTAACCCTAATCAGATTGAATCTCAAACAGTATTAAATATGAAAGAATGTTTTTTATTCTGTGAACCTACATAAAGAATGGATTACGTCCCCTATGATCAGTCTAGCAAATAAGTTAGATCTGCATTCTTTGAAGGGCTCTTTTTAAGAGCCAAAAAAAAAAAGTAATGTGATTTTACAATAGATTGTGTCCCCTAGGGTCACAGTTTAAAGAAGTGCCCAAATGAATATTAGTCATCCCCTTGTGGAATGGAGTTTTTCATTATTTTAAAGCCCCAACCTGGCTGTTGCCGGGGCCCTAATATATCCTTACAGTGAAACAGGGTTTCCAGGACCTCTCCTCTGGTGATCCTCATCCCCATGATAGCACTTTGTGTCACCTGGTGTTAATCGCTTAGTGTGATGTCCTGGTGGGGTGAAATTTACTTACTAAAGAGTGCCCATTCTTATCTTTATCCGCATCCTGTTGCGTATGGTGTGCCTTTTTTTTTTTAAATTGTGTGCCATCGTCATAATGAAGGTTGGCTACAGTCTACTCCCACTTTTGTATTATGAAAGCTCTGTTTCACATAGAGACTTTTATATCATTGTTCGAAAACTAAGAATGTTTTTAATAAACCATTTGCTGCTGAAATTGAACCCTAAAACTCAAGAATCATGAAATTATTAAATAAAAGAATTCACTAACTTCTGAGTCACATGTTGCGATGTTAAGTGTCACATAGGGCTGACAGTTTAGTCCTGTGGTCTGTTAGGTCTTGTGCAGTCTTTTCGATATCGTGAAAAGAATCCAGTCCAACACCGGTAGGGTTTCTCTTGGGCGTGCACTTTTTTCAGGATGTGCCAAATACATAATTATTTCTCCACGCTCCTAAGTCCTCTAACTGTTGATACCAGTGGTTGTCCAAACATTTTGCTTATTTCTCTGCCTTTCTTGATTGACTGTAGCTGATAGATATTAAATCCATCTATGCTCCATCGAAATCTGCATCATTGTTATGGCTTGTGTGTGTGTGTGCATGTATGTGTTGTATTTTTAAATTATTTTTCTCCTGTTTGAAATTGAAATGTGAGTCACTATGATTATACATATGTAATAAGATATAGAACCATCATTAAATTGGTGGGGGGGGGGGGAATATTTTGAAACTTCATAGATGTGGTTTTATAGAATAATTATTAACATTTCTACACCAGCTAAAATGTTAAATGATGTCTTGAAAGAAATTAACTCACCTGAAGAACTGGTTACTCAGATCAGAAGACAGTCCACAATCTGTTGGCTTATCACGGAAAGGAAGAAAACTAGAATACATTGTGACAAGTAGAATTTCTGAGATAAAGAGAACATGAAGAGACCAGACAGAGGATATTGGACAATTTGGAATCATCTTAATTTAAAATTATTATTCTTTGCATTCACCGGCTGTAAGCTTTGGCGGAAAGTTCTGGTTGTTCATTCACTTCCGGACTTCAGCCTTCCTCCAGAAACTGTCTTTTGTATGCTCTTCCGTTTTACAGATATTGTTTGTTTTGTTTATTTGTTTGCTTCCACTGGCTGTAAACCCCGGCAAAACGTCCTGGTTGTTCGTCCATTTCCAGACTTTGGCCTCAATCCAGGACCTGAGTTTTGAGTGTGCACCCATTTTACAGATCTGACTTATTTGTATGCAGACTTGTTGTTTCCTTGCCTCTCAGGCCGATGCACTCCAACTTCAAAGGAATCCCCACTTAGTTGACTCTTACAAAATGCTTTTGGGAAGGCTGTGGATCTATTCTTTTCTTCTCTCCCCAGAATGGGGCCCTGAAACCCACACTGGGAGGAGTGAGCAAGAATTTGCAATACTTGAGACATAAAGCTATGAACAGACCTGATGATCAATGTCACAAAGTGTCATGATAATCATGTCATACTGCTATACATCGTGTCATGATAATCCTGTCATACCGCTATACATCACACAGAGCTCTCGGTCGAGTACATCATTCTATTCTATCCTGGATAGTCCATGCGATGTCATGAATGGAATCCAGTCCAGCACCTTTGGCCTCTCTCAACACTATTCATTTTAGGGTTTATTTTAGGATACAGGACATTAAAGATGCATTGGTTATGAAAGCACATAGGGCTGGAGAATTGGCCAGAGAAAGAGTGACTTTCAGACATGCAGTGAAGAGAGTGACGTTCTGCAAAGGAAATAAGAGTATTTTTTTTAAACAATCGACACGAGATGGATGATGATGTCAGCCTTTACATCCAGGTACTGCACCTGGTACCCACTCAAGGCTGGGTCAACCTGGGAGTCAAGGTCATTTTTTGAAAAAAAGTCCGGCTCCAAAAACCAGTGTAATGTTATATTAATTAAAAATGGAGTCTGATGTGAGTGAAATTTGTCTGATTTCAGGAGCCCAGATTATTGACCTGATGTTGCTGGTGCTAGACATCACAAAGGGCATGCAGACGCAAACAGCCGAGTGTCTGGTTATTGGTGAAATCACTTGTAGCAAAATGATTGTGGTGTTAAATAAATTAGACATGATATCTCCCGACAAGCAGTCTTCCGCTGTGGACAAGGTAACAATTTCTCAAATGTTTTTTGATTCATTTTTAAGCAATGTGTTTTTCTTGCTAAGGCAAAAAGTTGTTTGTTTATATGTTTCAGATGGATTAGAAGGAAAATTGTTTACTCATACACACATACACTCTTCGACAATGAAATAAAGAGACTGATTTTTTTATGGCAAGACAAAACCCTCAACAGTAAAGCAAAGTGAGTCATCCAAACAAGGAACATTCGTCTGTGATCTGACAAAATTGTAATGCTGCATGATCAGCAAGTAACCCACCAGTTTGTTTGGCAAGGGACAGGTGCATTGTTACATGTGAAGTATGAGCAAAGAGTTGAGTATTAAATTATATTTTCAATTGAAAAAAGAGTGCTTTTGAGGCAGATAAATTGATGAGACATGTTTCTAAGGATCAGTGCAGTTTGGCCAAATCATAAATGAGTGATGCCTGTTTGGATGACATGCTTTGCTTCATGAATGACATTTTTTTTTTTTGCCATAATAAAATCAGTCTTGTTATTTAATGGATGGTCTGTCCATATAGTTGAGAAAGAGAGAGAGAGAGACTTTTCTCACCTGCTAGAACCAGTTTTAACCTGCAGCTGAAAATCCTGGACTATTGGCAAACAAGCAACAACATAAAAATTTAAATGTGGTATCAGAAAAGTTGTTTTACAGATGTGGTTTTTGCGTAAATTTTTTTTCATGTTTTTTATGACACAGTATGTGGGTTTTGGGGTCCCATTGTGGGAAAAACAAGAATAGACCCACTGCCTCCACAACAGGCATCTTGTAACAGTCAACTCTTTGGGGAGCTTCCTTCGAAGCTGGAGTGCATCTGCCTGAGAGGTAAGGAACCAACAGTCTGCATACAAATAAGCTAGATCTGTAAGAGGGATGTACACGCAACACTCAGGGACTAAAGTCCAGGAGTGGATGAACAACCAGGACTGTCCATCAGTGTTTTACACCTGGTGAACAAGTAGAAGAAGTCCAGGGGTGGACGAACAACCAGGACTGTCCATCAGTGTTTTACACCTGGTGAACAAGTAGAAGAAGTCCAGGGGTGGATGAACAACCAGGACTGTCCATCAGTGTTTTACACCTGGTGAACAAGTAGAAGAAGTCCAGGGGTGGAGGAACAACCAGGACTGTCCATCAGTGTTTTACACCTGGTGAACAAGTAGAAGAAGACAGAGTCATGCATACAATTCCTAAACAGTGAAAAATGAGCAAGTTGAGCAGATGTGCCCACAAAGCTTAAGTTATGAAACAGGACTAAAGTCCACAAGTGGACAAACAACCAGAACTTTTACTAGAATTTACAGGCTGTGAACGTTAAGAAGAAGAAGAAAAATAATACTCCAGCAGTAGCAAAGTTTTCTTTTTACTATTGTCATCCCAGCCTCATAAACTGAGTACCAGATAATTTTAAGACTTTTCTTCAGATTGTATGTAGAGGAAAGATATTGACAGAGATCAGTGATCACCACGCCTCAATATGCCCTGACTTAATTAAGCATGAAAGCCTGACACTTGGCTTCACATTTGACAACTGCATGTACTATGAGTAAATAGTCAAGAACCCTTTGTCCACGCCTCCAAGCGTATTGGGAATATAGGGCTAGAAATATATTTCATAGAGCAGTCGGCACTGGGTGGGTGATCTAGTCAGCATCATGTCGGTCACCTTAACTTCCCAGAACTGCATCTAGTATCCACTCAAGGCTGGGTCAACCTGAGAGCCAATCCAGCTCTATCAGGACCCGAATCCACGACCTTCTGATCCGCAGGCAAGCATCTAGCCGCTACACCACCACGGCTCTCAGTATGAAGTATGGGACCATCTATATCTCTGTTTATTTGTTTTCAGTAATGCTGATTAATTACCTATCAGATTTTCATTCTCACAGTTGAAGAAAAGAATGTGGAAGACATTAGAGACAACAAAGTTTGCCAACTGTCCTATTGTGGCTGTAGCAGCTAAGCCTGGAGGACCAGAAGTGAGTCCTTTGTTACAACGTTCACCTCTAAACTGTTCATTAAACAAAAGGGAGTTATGGTACAGACCTTCAAGTTGAGCTGATCTGCCATTTTTTTATTATTTTAAAGAAATCCTGACAGTTGTGTAGAAAGAAATCCTGACAGTTGTGTATAAAGCAATCCTGACAGTTGTGTAGAAAGAAATCCTGACAGTTGTGTATAAAGCAATCCTGACAGTTGTGTAGAAAGAAATCCTGACAGTTGTGTATAAAGCAATCCTGACACTTAGGTAGAAAGAAATCCTGACAGTTGTGTAGAAAGAAATCCTGACAGTTGTGTATAAAGCAATCCTGACAGTTGTGTAGAAAGAAATCCTGACAGTTGTGTATAAAGCAATCCTGACAGTTGTGTAAAAAGAAATCCTGACAGTTGTGTAGAAAGAAATCCTGACAGTTGTGTAGAAAGAAATCCTGACAGTTGTGTAGAAAGAAATCCTGACAGTTGTGTATAAAGCAATCCTGACACTTAGGTAGAAAGAAATCCTGACAGTTGTGTAGAAAGAAATCCTGACAGTTGTGTAGAAAGAAATCCTGACAGTTGTGTAGAAAGAAATCCTGACAGTTGTGTATAAAGAAATCCTGACAGTTGTGTAGAAAGAAATCCTGACAGTTGTGTAGAAAGAAATCCTGACAGTTGTGTAGAAAGAAATCCTGACAGTTGTGTAGAAAGAAATCCTGACAGTTGTGTAGAAAGAAATCCTGACACTTAGGTAAAAAGAAATCCTGACAGTTAGGTAAAAAGAAATCCTGACAGTTGTGTAGAAAGAAATCCTGACAGTTGTGTAGAAAGAAATCCTGACAGTTAGGTAGAAAGAAATCCTGACAGTTGTGTAGAAAGAAATCCTGACAGTTGTGTAGAAAGAAATCCTGACAGTTGTGTATAAAGAAATCCTGACAGTTTGGTAGACAGAAATCCTGACAGGTAGAAAGAAATCCTGAGACTTAGGTAGAAAGAAATCCTGACAGTTAGGTTTAGTATGTTAGGGATAAGTGTCATTGATAATAAAAATAACCTTTCTCATGAGCAGCCAGATTAATCTGTGGGTGCTTGTAAGGGAGGCTAGGAATATAGCTCAGTAGTTTGTCTCGTAAGAGGGATTTACTTGGGACAGACTACCTCAACCCATTATCAGCAGCCAGGTTTAGACTGTTGGTTCCCTAAGGAGAGGTTAAAAAAAATAGTAGTGCATATAATTATGAGTCTTTTTTTTATAGGAAAAACATAAAATGTATACCAGCTTTACAGAATCAGTCATAGTAAACAAACAAAGGGAGTCATGGTGATAAGCATTCTCAGTGGAACGATGCCAGGAAACAAAACACCACAAAAATTAACTGACTCTAAAATGACTCCGTTATAGTATTAAAATGTGCATGCTATTCAGATTTTTTTGAGACAATCTCAAACCAAATCAGCAGCCATGTTTAGTCTGCCTAGCTAGGAGAGAATGATTTATTACGGTGTTACGTCTGTGTTTGAGCATAGACTTTCTGAACAGGAATCAGCTGCTGTGATGGACCCAAAGGGCCTTGTTGTTGTTTGTCCATCACAGGTGATGAGAACCACTCTTTCTTTCATCCGTCATACAACTGTAGTTGATTGTCTGCAAGTCCAGAGTTGACTTATAAGACTAATATGTGGTCCTGAAAGGTTCTAGGACAATGAGGGAAGGGAATAGTGTCTGTAGGAAAAGAGCCTGTTATACAGGTCTTTCTAGCCTGTCTTCGTGGTTCAGCTGCCCTTTTCCTAGATGCCTCACAAGTTTTTGTGCCTCTTCAGATGGACATTCGCCGGTTACCTTTTGGCCATAAAGTGTGGTCTTGTGCAGTTGCCTCCCAAGTTTCATGGTTTATATTGAAGACTTTAAGTGATGGCTTTAACGTGTCTAAAGGGCCTTAAAGGGGAAACATTTATGATACCTGATTAGGTGCTTTAGTGTGTGTGTGTTTTTTTACTTACTTACTTATTTAGGTTTGCCAGAGAGATCGCCAGACGTCTCTATCAACCGTTTTTTGTTGTTGCATATTTTTTGTGTTTTAACTCTTCAAATCGATGTATGTGTAATCAAGTCACATTTCTCCATAGGCTACAGAAACTGAAGCAGTTGGCATTCAGGACCTGATCTCTGCCATTCAAAACAATACTTATCTACCATCAAGGTCTGAGGAGGGACCTTTCATCTTTTCAGTAGATCATTGTTTTTCCATTCGAGGCCAGGGCACAGTGATGACCGGGACGGTATTGAGTGGGAAAGTGTGTGTCAATGATGTAAGATTTTAAATAATCTCATTATAATTTAGAACAGTGTAGGGGTTCCATGAATCAAGCAGCAGCACCAGTTGTTGTTTTATCAGCCACAGTCCTTGTTAGAAGTCAAACTGGAGTCCAGTTGGGAAGGGGGGGGGGGGGGGGGGGGGGGGGTGTTTGATCCATTGGCCCTCTAACAAGCAATTGTAAAAGGCCACTACTTAGGATTTGCAGAAATTGGGTGTGGTGGGTTGAAAGGCTGAGATACAGTAGCATAGCTGTATACCTCTTCTTCTTTGCGATTGGCTGTAAACTCCTGCTGCAAAGACCTGGTTGTTTGTTCACTTCTGGACTTTGGTCTTGTTCCGGGACTTGAGAGTTTTCAGTGAAAATCCATTTTTAGCCACAACACAGTGAACTAACCACCTTTTAGAGGTAGGATGCAGAAGAAGAAGTAAAAATATTTTTATTTTTTTGGGTAACCATAATGTGCAACAATGTTAGAGCAGCTAGTAAAACCATAATGTGCAACAATGTTAGAGCAGCTAGTAAAACCATAATGTGCAACAATGTTAGAGCAGCTAGTAAAACCATAATGTGCAACAATGTTAGAGCAGCTAGTAAAACCATAATGTGCAACAATGTTAGAGCAGCTAGTAAAACCATAATGTGCAACAATGTTAGAGCAGCTAGTAAAACCATAATGTGCAACAATGTTAGAGCAGCTAGTAAAACCATAATGTGCAACAATGTTAGAGCAGCTAGTAAAACCATAATGTGCAACAATGTTAGAGCAGCTAGTAAAACCATAATGTGCAACAATGTTAGAGCAGCTAGTAAAACCATAATGTGCAACAATGTTAGAGCAGCTAGTAAAACCATAATATGCAACAAAGTTGGAGCAGCCAGTAAAACATGTATGTGAAAGCTGCAGAGGTGATGTTTTACAGAAGAATGATAATGCTATTTAAGTGGTTTGGCCATCTCATTAGAATGCAGTAAGATCAAATACCATCACAAGCACCACATCTCAGATGATCAGCTACAAGAGCAAGAGGACGGTCGCAGAAAAAAGGATTGACAATATTAAAAACACTCTGCGCATTCATTATTCCTGCCCATGTCGCTTAACGGCAGAAGTGATTGATGATGATGTTAACGCTGTGGACAGATAAAAAGCTTAATGGAAATGAAAAAAGTTAACTCAGAAAAAGAACTGATTACTAGCATCCGAGAAAAAGGCAGTCTGCTTCTCATCGTCTCATCTTTGTTCACCTGCTGTTAGCTGCGGTGGAAAGTCCTGGTTGTGCGCTGATCTGGACTCTGGCTTTGTGCCAGGGCCTGAGTTTTAAGTATACATCCGTTTTACTGGCTTATTTGTGTGCAGTTGGTCAGAACAGTAGAATCACCCCAAAACATTGTCTTTTGTTATTTTGTATTTTGTTTTCGTTGTTTGCTTCCATAGACTGTTGAAATTCCATCTCTTGGCCTCAGTAAGAAAGTGAAATCAATACAGATGTTTCACACACCATTTGAGAAAATTAGGCAGGTGAGAATTTAGAGCAGTTTTTGTTGTTGTAATAATTGAATGCTAGAAAAAAAAAAGGTTTTGTAATAGTCATTTTTTTTTTAAATTTCTTCAGTTTTAACCCATCTTAATAATGCTGAATATTAACAGTGTGTAAAAGAAAAAAATTAGTAGTAGAGAGATGATTCTTTTTTTGCCTTTACCCTTAAGAAACTATGTTGTCTTGTTTACAGCTAGGCTGTGATATCTGCACCGTTCAGCCTACCACATCCAGCTTCAGGCAACTCTTCATTAGTCAACTTTTTCAACATGCATTGTTAAAGAGCAATGGGATTATTGTGTTCCCTCCAAAAAATGGGTCCTGCAACCCACACGGAGGGAGAGAGAATTCTAGCTTCATAAAAACTTCATCAAAGGCTAAGAATGGAGTGACAAACATGCCTCAGCAGGCAAAGCCAGCAATAAGGAACACGCACACAAAAACACTAGAGATAATTGTTTTCTTCTGTACCAGAAGGGCTTGAACACAGCTCATTTGGCTCAGTGTCGTGAGCATCTAAACCCTTCCGCCTCGGTGCCACATACATCTGGGGAGTATGCGGCTTTTCCCCCAGACTGGACACGCATGACAATTTTTAAGTGACGTCCAAGACATTATAAACTAGGCTGGAGTACCAGGCACTGAGATAATTTACATTCAAGCACTTCATGTGTGCAGATTGTGTTAGCTTACCATGGCCAGAAGCAGACAGCACTTCAAGACTTTATTCTGTTGGACTGCCCATCATATTGATCTGGAAGTTAAAAGTAAATTAAAAAGCTAAAAAGTAAATTCTCAGGGGATGATAGAATAAATCAGAAAATACAGATAACATGTCAAAGGATCAGTGCATTTATATACCAAATGATACTGTTGCTGAAACATCTAAACATAACTGTGACCATCCAGAAACAGATTGTAAACATCATATCAATATCAACACTGTGCTGCCAGTGTCAAATTTACACATATGAGATGAGATGACTAAACAGTTGGTGACCCATTGAGATAGTATGTCTGTGGAGAAAACACTTTGCACCAAATTTATTCAGAAGCAGAACATTAGAGGTTTGGTCATCTTGTTAGAATGCAGCCACAACTACCAATACAAGTGCTACAAGTAAAAAGATATAATATGCGATACGGAGGGTGACCTAGGAGAAGATGGACTGAGAACATTAAAGACATTATAAATTCAAATCCCCCCCCCCCCCCCCCCCCCCCCCTTTTCCCGTTTCTGCCACCATGACACTCAGATGCAAAAGTGGAATTAAAACAGAAAGTTAGCTGTCCCAGTAATTCTGGTGCTAAGTTTAAAAAACTAAGGTTACACAAAATATGGATATAAAGGTCTTATGTAATAATTTATTAAAGTAAAAAAATATATATTTATGGAATTCGGTGTTTTCTGCTCTTTATCTTCGGACAGGGAGATCGCGCTGGAATCTGTGTGACCCAGTTTGATCCAACACTTCTAGAACGTGGCCTCGTCTGTTCTCCCGGAACCTTAGTGACAGCCGAAGCCGTCATCATTTCAATCAACAAAGTCATATATTACAAGGGGCCTGTGTCCACGAAAGGGAAATTTCACATAACGCTTGGTCATGAAACTGTCATGGGTAGGATCAGCATTTTTGGTTCACCTCCCGAGAAGAATAATGAGCAACAGGAATCTGATATAACAGCAGCTTCACAATGTTTAGATTCATTACATTTAGCCACTGAAACTTTTGACTATACCAAAGATTACATATATCAGGATGAGCTGTTTAGCTCTAATAATAAAACTGGAACAGGAGACTCTTCTTGCAAGGAGGGGAAGGTAGGGAAGCAGTTTGCCCTGATCGAACTTGATCATGCTGTCACATGTGCCCCACATTCAATTGTGATTGGATCCCGTCTTGATGCAGATGTTCATACAAGTGCCTGTAGAATAGCCTTCTCTGGCAAAATTATGGATGCTATTTCTGACATCAAGTACAAGGAGACAGTTCTACCAAAGTTGAAAGTCTTTAAAGTGAGTAGTTTTTCAGCATGTTTTGATTTGTGGAACTAAAGTAATATCTTCAAAGGGAGTAGTTATAATTCGTTTTGATTTGTGAAACTAGTAATATTTTTATCAGAAATGGTTGACAGTACATGAGACCCAATGATCGACAGTACATGAGACAAAATGGTTGACAGTACATGAGACAGGATGATTGACAGTACATGAGACAGGATGATTGACAGTACATGAGACAGAATGATTGACAGTACATGAGACAGAATGATTGACAGTACATGAGACAGAATGATTGACAGTACATGAGACAGAATGGTTGACAGTACATGAGACAGAATGATTGACAGTACATGAGACAGAATGATTGACAGTACATGAGACAAAATGGTTAACAGTATACAAGACAGAATGATTGACAGTACATGAGACAAAATGGTCGACAGTATACAAGACAGAATGATTGACATTGCTCAAGACAAAATGATTGACAGTACATGAGACAAAATGGTTGACAGTATACGAGACAGAATGGTTAACATTGCACAAGACAAAATGACTGACCGTACACAAGACAGAGTGATTGACAGTACACAAGACAGAATGAATCACAGTACACGAGACAGAAAGTTTGACAGTTCACGAGACAAAATTATTGACATTGCAAAAAACAAAAGAATGAGGACAGACATGATAACTGGTGCCATGTGATGAAGGCCAGTAGTTCCCAGTTAGCTTAGACCCGCAGATACCTCTTATTTCTGAAGCTCTGCCATAAAGACCCCATATTTTTTCATAGTCATACTGAAGAAGAGAACTTATCATAATTTATAAATATCAGAATTCCACCTCCCAGGATATTCCATTAATTGTTTATTTATTATCAGCGCTACTGCAGTCACCTTAATTTCTTGACTAAGTGATTGACTATAAAATTGTGTGTATATATAATACTGTGATTTTACCCATCAGGTTATTTTTGACCACATTTGTCATTTGATAGTGATGTTTTATATGTGTTACTGTGATTTTACCCATCAGGTTATTTTTGACCACATCTGATTCATAGTGATGTTATATTATGTGTTACTGTGATTTGACACACAGGTTATTTTTTTAACCCCAACCTGATTGACCATGATGTTTTGTGTATGTTACTGTGACTTTATCCATCAGGTTATTTTTGACAAAACCTGATTGACCATGATGTTTTGTACATGTTACTATGATTTTACCCATCAGGTTATTTTTGACCAAATCTGTCTGTTGATAGTGATGTTTTATTTGTGTTACTGTCATTTTACGCATCAGGTTATTTTTGACCAAACTTGATTAAAAGTGATGTTTTATGTGTGTTACTGTCATTTTACGCATCAGGTTATTTTTGACCAAACTTGATTGATAGTGATGTTTTATGTGTGTTATGTGATTTTACCCATCAGGTGAAAACTAAGGAAGGGCAGATCGAGAGGGCCATGGACCAGTATACCATCATTGCCAAGAATCTCTTCAAAAAGGAAACTAATATAGCGGCGTTTGCCAATCTGAAAGTTGTCTTGTCCTCGGGAGAAAGGGGCATGATTGAGGGCGGATTTGGTCAGAGTGGAAAAGTGAAAATACGAATTCCAGGTAAACAGTTTTTTGTATGTGATTTGGCCTGATGATTAGTGATTGGTTGAATGACTTATTGATTTCAAGGATCATTCATTTGTTGAACTGTTTATTAAATTCAAGATCATTCATTTGTTGGATAGTTTATTGAGTTTAAGAATCACTAATTTGTTGAACTGGAGGATCATTAGTTTGGTGAATAATTGATTTAATTCAAGGATCATTAAATTGTTGAATAGTTTATTGAATTCAAGGATCATTAGTTTGTTGAGTGGTTTATTGAATATAATGGTAATTAATTTGTTGAATGGTTTAATGAATTCAAGAATAATTAATTTGATCAATAGTTTATTGAATTCAGGACAGTTCATTTGTTGAATAGTTTATTGAATTCAAGGATCAGTAATTTGTTGAATGGGTTGGCTAACTCAAATATATATAAAACTATCAGTTAGTGCTGTGACTTCTCATTTAAATCCTTTAGCGGTTGTCAGCTCAGTGCATATTATTAAGGGTCGCAGCATGTGTATACCAGCATATACAGATGAAAATGGATAGGTTTCAAAATGTTAAAATTTTTTCGGACATTTTTAGGACAGTGGCCATACAGTCTGTAAACATATCATTTCCTACCACTGAGGAAATTAAAATAGGCAGATAGGGCATTCTATGTGTTAATTACTTGGTGCCTGTGCAGAATAGAAGACCTTGATGACAGAATCACGACTACAGAGCTTAACGGAGAGAACTCTAAGTAAATTCCGAAAATGAATAAGATGGGAAGGATATGGGCAGCAACAAAATGACTGAGTATGGGATGGCTTGATGTGAGTTAACTGAGAGTCTGTGCTCCAATAAGAGTTGAAGGGAAGAAGAAGAATAGATTTTCAGCTTAGCACTCAAACTACATAACACCTGTGAGGATCCCAATGTGTGTGTACCAACATATACATTTGTTGTGGTTAGGTTTTATAATTTGGTTAGGTTTTATAATTTTTTTAACTAGGATAAAAACAGTACAAGAATACAACTGGTGGTTTCCAGCTGTTGGGGAACATTTAATAGCCATACAGGACCTCCTGTTTCTTTACCTATGTCCAATAAAGCAAGGTATCTGGCTGGTCCACTGCACAGATGTGGGGCATACCTGTGTGCAACATTAATTGCACACATGTCTTAAAATGCTGCATGGATTTAAACTTTGCACTTTAATTCAGGTCTTCTCACTATCTTCACAAAGCTGGCACCTTTCCCTCATTCCAGTCGATTTTATTATGAGGAGCCATGGGAGTCGCAGCCCATTAAGAGTGTGACTAGCGAGACTCACCAGCATTAAGAAAAGTCTTCCACACTTAGAGCGTGGAATTTCAGGACTGTTGCTACCACCACATGTATTTAGTGTGCTTCTTCTTAGATCGGAACTCTTCGCTGGCTGCTGAAGATGGGGACGGAGCGCTTATGGGAATGCCCCGAGTGCTGTGATGTCGGTTCTTGAATCAAATCAAATCAAATCTTATGTCTTCATACTGTAATCCATACCACCACATCATACAATAATTGGAGGAGTTAGTCAACAAACCATTATCATTGCACATCGAACCGTTAAGTCCATAAGTGCTCAGATCCCCTCCTCAGTAAATCCTGCAGCATTAGGCAGCTGTCAACACCAGTTCTGTGTTGGTTTATTATTCTTCTTTGGCTTCCTGTCTAGTGCTCTGTTTGGCCACACCCTCTTTAACTTAGCTGTTCTTGCAGTCTGACCATGGTTGCGGATTCATAGTCCTCACTTGGTTCCTACAAACCTCTGACTTCTCATACAACATTCAGTATACCAGCCTAATCCATGGCTCGTCCACCCTCCACAGTAAGTAACCTTACCTGCAAGCCTACCTGCTTGTTCTTTTTCTTGCACACCTGCATCCCCTGGCACAACAATGAAACTGATCTTTGTAAGCTGACATCATATAACAATGAAGATCTTTGATGTATTTTCAGATGGGTTGACCACTGACACATTTCAACGGTACACCACCAAGAAGAAAAGCAAGGGTAAAGAGGACAGTGCCTCAAATGTGGAAGATTCAGCAGTATCAGACAACAAGGAGCCAGTGAAAATTTACATTCATTTCAAACGTTATGTGTATGATCCTAACAAAAAAATGGTTCAGTCTGGTTAGCATCTTGTGTAGGATCTATCTACGGATTCACAACCATCAAACGTCTACACTGAAACCTATGATGAATAAAAGCTAAACTATGCATCTTATAACCTGAACTCTTTGAGTACCATCATGTGTTGATTTATAACTAATTTTATTGTCCGCTGATACCGAAAGAATTAAAAGGTTGAGTTATTGTCTTGCTATATTTATCACAACAGTTCTGATAACAGATACATGAAAGATTTTGAATAAAATACAGACAAGCTATGTTTGTCTTATTTTTTAACATTCACCAGCTGTAAACTCTGGTGGAAAGTTCTGGTTGTTCCTCCATTTCTTGATCTTGGTCTTGTTCCAGAATTAACATTTTACAAATCTGGCTTATTTGTATGCAGACTGTTGGTTCCTTGCCTCTTAGGCAGATGCACTCCCACTTTAAAGGAAACTCCCTTATTAATTTGTTGCCTTGTAGAACATGCCCGTTAGGAAGGCAGTCAGTCTATTCCCCCCCCCCCCCCCCCCCCATGGGGCCCTGGCACCCACATGGGAGAACAATGTATTCAAACTGTCTGCTTCTCATGATGTGCCCTGCCCAAAAACTGTTGACTGCCTATTTCTAATACTAGTAACAAGTACTTTGTAAAAGCTCGTTCTTGTTAAGAAATTTTCAAGTCTGCTCGATATCTATGTTTGGTTATTGCTCAGAATAAGAAAATCCGCATTTTTTTTTTCTAAAGATGTGTTTTTTTTTGTTTTTTTTATGGGGTGTGGGGGGGGGGGGGGGGGGGGGGGGGGGGGGCTTGAAAATTTGAGTAAAATTAGAATATTGTGACAATAGGAAAATTGGATGGGAAGAGAGATAAGGGAGAACTAAGAGAGATATTAAACTTGATTATCATGGCATGGAGGAACATCTGTACTGAAAATGATTGGCAAAAAGGGTGAAAATGGCTTGTGGACAGGCATTGCCTGGAGGAACATCTGTACTGAAAATGATTGGCAAAAAGGGTGAAAATGGCTTGTGGACAGTCATTGCCCAACTGGATCATCATGGCCTGGAAAGAATGGTGCGGTGGGGAATAACCAGGGGATCTGACTGACACTCAACATTCAGGGAAAAAACATGGGCATATAATCAGACTGCTACTGGTACCATAGAAGTGGAACTCTGTGTTAGCTGCTGAAGATAGGGATTGTATGTTTATGCGAATGTCCCAAGTGTTATGAATGATGTCAGTCCCTTACTCAACTGTGGACGGACATAACTAACACCACATGCCATGAACAATAAGATGTTCTCAGTATTTGTCCATAGAACTACATTTCTAATTGCTCATTTATCTACTGATTGTCCATGATTTACCTCTGTAAATCAAAATACTCTATATATAACCAGATTTTGTCTTTCAAAATTGCTCATATTTATGCAAAGAGGGGAAGGGGTAAGTGAAAAGTATGTGTCATATATGTTGCTTTCTTTTTATTAAATGGATGTGGAACTAGGATATTAGCTGTTGTTTCTGCACTTCTCTGGACAGCCTAAATATTCCACTTGTTTCTTTTTTCTTTGACCAACTTCTTGTCAGTTCTGTTCTCTTCAGAACCTCAGTGTTTTATTGTTTTTGTTTCCATGAAATATAAATATTCTTTGGTGTATCCACATCTGTAGAGACTTATTTAGATTTTCTAGTTGCTTGTTCCCATATTGACCAGGTTTCTGCTTCGTATCATACAGCAGGATTCCGTTTGTATGACATTTGACAGTTCTCATTTTTCATATGTTGTTTTTGAAACTGTACCTCAGCACATAATGAATCCTTTCCACTGAAGTTCCTTAATCACCATGCAAGTCCTAGATTAACCATGTGGTCTTTTTTTTCATGTAACAAGCAGGATGTAGATCCGCAGCTGGAAACATTGTTTTAACTTTATGAAATGTCACCGCCTAAATAAACTGTGTTGTGTGCATCTGGCCAGATAAGCAAGATGTGCCAATAATAAATTATGTAATATTCTGTGTCTCATTATTATTTGTATTCACAGTGGCAAAACATTGGTTTGAATTGAGTTTGTGTCACTCGAGGGTAACAACACAGAAAAACTGACTTGGGGAGCCTCAGTATCCTAATCCTATCAAGAGTTTGATAATAATGCTGTGTTGAGTAAATTGACAAATGACAATAAATATCTCCATTGTTCTTTAGGGTGTACAATTTCCTGTATCATTTAGAGTTTACTGTCTCCTGTGTCATTTAGAGTTTACTATTTCTTGTATCATTTAGAGTTTACTGTCTCCTGTGTCATTTAGAGTTTATTGTCTCCTGTGTCATTTAGAGTTTACTGTCTCCTGTGTCATTTAGAGTTTACTATTTCTTGTATCATTTAGAGTTTACTGTCTCCTGTGTCATTTAGAGTTTGTCTCCTGTGTAATTTAGAGTTTACTGTCTCCTGTGTCTTTCAGTGTTTTATAAATAACATGTCTGTTGGCTTGCAGACCTGAAATAGTCTTAGAATAGAATGAATCAAGACAAAGAAAATTGTTGACACTACAAGATCTAAACATCAAAGAAAGCTGGCTTATAAACAGAAACCTTGGAAATTTTAAGACCTCTGTTGAAATTTTCAGCAAGCTGATGGACATTTTGTTTCCTATAAACACCCTAATCTGTAGTGTCTGGCACCCTCATTAGCCATGGTGCCCTAAATCCTCAGGCTGAAGATCCCCTTGTCCTTTACAGTTTTAGAAATGTTAGCCACATTATGCACCCCAGTGGCTTAGAAAAATCAGAAACAGAAAGCAGATCACTGGAAGTAAGAAACGGGGTGGATAAACATGAATGTGAACATAGCCCATGAAACACATCTTGGGCATGAAAATGCATGATGATGGGAGACTGGCGACAGATTTAGCCCTTCTGGTGGGGTGAGATGAAAGATGGAAGATTCTGTTTTTATTCAGTCTGACTCACTCAATCCACTCACTTTCTCTCATGAACGCAGCGTGGACACACAATTCTTGAGATGTCAGAGATGTAGTTTCTTTGAGACCCGTGGGGTTTAGCATCACAGGTCCAATGGGTAGTAAAGAGAAACTAAAATCGACACATCATGCGTTCATTGGGCTTCTAGGTAAGAACTTATGAACGTATGATGCATTTCCTGGGACTCAAAGAGTTAATATCCCTTGGTCAGCCTAAAACGAGTAATCTATGTTTTTTGTTAAAAAGGCTAAGACCCAAGGACAACATCAGAAAGAGGCATTGTCACTACTGGCCACACAATGAGAAAAACTAAAACATTCTGCAACAACTGGAAACATTTATGGGGGAAAATGAGTCAGAGGAAAACGTGAACAGACTGACAGCCTTTAAGCATAAAAATGGTTGCCTGCGCACAAATTAATATGTGCTGTTGAAGATCAGACGATATGAAGCACAATCACCCTCTCCACTCCATAAGGTGCTTGATATTGATGATTCAGTCACAATAGCAACAGAAACAAAACACCACTAAACAGACGCCTGAACATCACGTACAATCAGACACAAAAAACTCACACCAAGCATTATTCCTGTATAGTTTATTCTGTATAAATAACCACCTCCAGATCTATGTGCCCCTATACAGTCAAGAATGGGTATCTTCTGATTCTTTTCACAGATTGCCCAGTCTACTACAAACACAGCAAATGTCACAAGTCATCCCATAGCAGATATTGTCAATTTAACTAGAATGTCTTTACACTAAACCCGCAGTCATAGAACTAAAGGCAGACCAATAACATATGGAGAGTAGGAGTTTTAAAAAAATAAAAAGGATAGGGAGCACATGGAGTGATATGAATACAAGAGCAAATGATGTCTTGGCATGAGTTGGGTCTCTATGCTCCACTGGCGGATAAAAGCCGCCCCCCCCCCCCCCAAAAAAAAACACACAAGAAGATACTGCTTGATGTGGAGGTGACAGGTTCAATTCCCGGCACGGTAACTATAGCTTTCGATTTTTATGTTGTCTAGTGTGTTCTTCTATCTTTCTACTTCTTTCTATGAGTGCCGTTCACAATACTTTCTGTTACTTGATTAATTCATAATATTTAACGGCCTCAAATGGTTCCCCCCTCTGTTTATTTAATTGATGTGTAGGAAATGTTTGGCCTCCGTATATACTGGGGCAGACTGGCTTAAAAGTTTGTGACATCCACCTCAGTAACATAAAAAAGTAAAGCACCACTGTCATGCAACTGGCACATTGGGCATAAAGTCTGAGACCTATATCTTTATGGACCAATCAACATGCAATATGTAATGAGGTCAACAACATCACACCAGCCATCTTTACTTCCCATGACATTTCCAGGTAAACATTCAAAGTAGACAACCAAAAAAAACGACTGGTCAGCAACAAAGATAATGTTGCAAGTTGTATGTATCACATGTTCACAAGACATAACCAATATATTTTCGTCTGGTAAAAGTTTATATGATATATATATGAACGCATGCACTACACAAAATAAAATTTTGATACAGACCAAAGGTTTTCAACATAAGTCGTATGATAACCCCGGTAGATATTACCATATTTCAGATAGTCACTTGTTCCTAAAGTGGGTTACGGGGCCCTATTATAAGGAAAAGAAGAGTAGACCCATCACCTACCAAAAATCGTGTCGTAAGAGTCGACTCATTGAGAGCTTCCTTTGAAGTCAGAGTGCCTCTGCTTGAGAGACAAGGAACCAACAGTCTGCATACAAATCAGATGGATGTGTATGCAACATTCAAGTTCCAGAACCTGAGTGTTGCATACACATCCATTTTACCAGAAGTGGACGAAAAACCAGGACCTTCCATCAGAGTTTACAGCTGGTGAACGTGAAGAAGAAGGTAGTCACTTTTAGTGTCATATCTCCAAGGAAGGATCTCCCAGATTTCATTATCATATAACATGCCAAGTGGCACAGAAGGTGATCACAGCTGACCCACCTTGCTCCTGGCAACCCGTCCAGAATTGTTTCATCATGTCTCTTAACTATCCGCAATCTTTCTGGTTTTCAAAAATGCCCGGTGCATTGAAGTCAAACTCCTTAACTTAAAACCTTTCTATTTGTGTATAATGTAATCAATTCTACTTCTGTGTTTGCCCTTATGAGACAAGTTGGCTTGTTGCATTTCAGCCCAACACATCTGATTTTAGCATATCACCAATCAGTCATCTATTACAAGTTAGAGGGAGCCGGGAGTCCATTATTTTATCCCCCAAAATGGGACCCCAGAACCCACATGGAGACTGTAACCAATGAATAGTGATTGTCTTTTCCTGGTGTGGGAATCAATGTCAGCTACCCCTTGCAATACTTATATATGTGTCTTTTTAAATTATCTATGAGAACAGATGAAGAGATACAGAGGGTAAATGGATCGTCACAGTCTGGTGAGAGTGATGCAGTGGGAAGTGACGAGGGGCTCTGGTCGATACTCGATGCTAGGGGAACGGCAAGACGGACGTATAATCAGACTGCTACTGACACCACTGATACTGGAACTCTGCGCTGGCTGCTGAAGATGTGGACAGAGTGCTGTGATGTCAGTTCTTGAATCAACTCAATTCAGATAAAGAGGGTCTTTTAAAGCAAGTGAATCAACTTCATTTGATCCCACATGCATCAGTCTCTCGCTACGAAGTGGCCAACAGCCTGCTAATAACACTGTACAAAGTGTGAACTAAGGCTCCAGCAATGAACCACAGTGATCTCTGAGTCATGAGGCAAACAGCTTAACCACTCCATCACAACAGACTCCCATTTGTCCAGACAAGTAAAGATCAGTCTGACAGCGGATCTTCTGCCTTACCATACAACCAACCCATCCAGCGATTTCATCTCCTGTCTTTAATCCCCTCAATCTTCCTGGGTGTCCCAACATTCTTGAAAACCTATTCATGTATTGTGTGATTAAAAAATAATGTTTGTCCTGATGTGTTGATCATGGCCTGATGTCACGAAATTTCCTCTTGCAATACTCAGAGGAGTGGCTGACCAAGCGGTTAAGAACGCTGGGTTCTAGTGCAAGAGACTCAGGTTCGAATCCAGGGGAAAGGTTATGGGCTTTTTTCTGTAGGGAACAAACATAAAATAAACTGAACAGTTTGTGGTGACTGCACTAGCCAGGCGGTCCCAAATCCTCAGGCTCAAGAAAAAAATCAACTTATATAACAAAAATGGTAAACAAGGCAGCAATCGCAGTGTTGGCAGAACTTGGAAATGACTTTTAGCCATCTATGAGAGACTTAAATTTTTTTTACGAAGAAGGGATTGATTTTTTTGCACTGAGATTTTATCATAATTTTAGCATACATGGCTTGTTTATTTCGAAGAATGTTGCACAAACACTGTTGTTTTTAGCATTGACCGGCTGTAAACTCCTGTGGAAAGTTCTGGTTGTTTGTCCACTTCTGGACTTTGGTCTTGTTCCAGAACTTGAGCTTTGCGTTCACATACATTTTACAGATCTGGCCCATTTGTGTGCAGACTGTTGGTTCCTCACCTCTCATGCAGATGCAATCTGGCCCCTGAAGGAAACACCCCTAAATTGTCTCTTTTTACCACACACTTATTAGGGGTAGCATTCTTTATCTGATGACAGGGAACAGAATGTTCTTTATCTGGTGACAGGGAACAGATGTTCTTTATCTGATGACAGGGAATAGAATGTTCTTTATCTGATGACAGGGAACAGAATGTTCTTTATCTGATAACAGGGAACAGAATGTTCTTTATCTGATGACAGGGAACAGAATGTTCATTATCTGATGACAGGCATCTGTCACACACAATGCTCTCCATCTGATGGACAAGGATCTAGTCCCCATTGCTTTTACACCCTTTTCTTAGAAACCTGACCATTTGATCGACTATACAAATACTTATTATGGTCTAAATGGTAATTAAGATGACGATAATACATTGTAAATGCCGGTCCCTGATGTGGAGATTGATACAATATTAATGTGCGTCTTCATCACTGGTAGCAATATGGTTCATAATTTGCATACAAAATGCTTGTTATTTTCAAGCCAATTTGTTATAAAGTCAACCATCAATTTAATACTGAAAACAAACACATAGCTCCAACCTAGTTACAAAATAACTGCATCTCCAAACCAGCAAATAACATACAGATAAGTGGATTAGCAGACAACATTGTCCAAGTGCTGGGTCATTCTGTCTCAAATAAATCATTATATATGCATCAGCAGTTCCTTGCATGATAACAGCATTTTAATAGACCCCCTTTGCCCCTCAACAAGCACGTCGTAGAAGTCGGCTAATTAAATGCTTGGTGAAATTGAATGTAAAGGTAAAAGGCAAAGTCGAGAGATGTGAACCAGCGTCACTGCACATGGTCATAAACCATAAGTGCTCTGCCACCAGTACGGACGGCTGATAAAAAACTGTCCGCCTGTTTCGCCCTCCCCACGAAACTCTGTAGCTACTGTGACGTTCCTCCATTTACCCCCGAGTGTTAACTCTGGTACCCATTCCCTAGAGGCTGGGTGAACCCCGGTAATTGCCCGGTTTCGAACACCGGCCGTGGGCTGCAGCGAGTTGCAGCTGGATTTGAAAGTGAGTCTCTTATCGACTGCGCTAACGCCCAAAAGGCAAAGATATCATAGCCTAGCCATAAACTACAACACAACAACAAGCTAATCACCCTTTTGAGGGGAGGCCAAAGAAGAAGAAGAAACTTTTAAATGTTCTGTATAATTTGACTCAACACTCAACAGAGTTCTCAGGCAAGCATTCCTTTTGCCCACCAATTGTTAATGCTGGAAGTAATTCAGGATATCAATAAACAGAGCTCAGGCAAGCTTATTGTTTCTCACCAATTTTTTTTTCATGCTGGCAGTAATTCTCTTCAATAAAGAAGAGTTCAGACGAGCATTCTTTTCACTGCTCACCTATTCAGTCAGTATTCTTTTGAGCTGTTTCTGAGAATCTGTTTTCATACTGCAGAGACTGCTATACTGCAGCTTTAATCATTTTCATACATGTCAATCATCTATGTCACAGCTGGTCATTCTCCTATACACAAACCCAAAGACTGCTTCCTCTTTCTTTGCTCTTGACATAACAAAGCCAGTTTTCTGGCTTTTATGGGTATTTGATGACATAAGGTCTTTGGGCACTGGCCACTTCACTTATGTGACTGTTGGTACTGGCTGTGGCTGCAGTTTGTAGACATGGTGTGCATGACTATATTTAGCACACACTATCAATATACATGATCAATTTATACACATATACATGATAAATTTATGCAATTACGTGATACATGTATACATATCCATGATACATGTATACATAAACATGATACATATAAATAATATATTTATATATTTACCTGATAAATTTATACACATAAATGATAAATGTATACACATACATGATAAATGTGTACACATACATGATTAATTTATATATATTCATGATACATGTATATATATATATATATATATATATATATATATATATATATATATATATATATATATATATATATATATATATATATATATATATATATATATATATATATATATATATATATTCATGATACATGTTTACATATACATAATAAATGTATATATAACATGATAAATTTATACATATATGTGATACATGTATACATAAACATGATACATTTACATGATAAATTCCTAAATCTTTTAGTTTTTAATTACTAAAATAGTGCTATGAAGATAGTCTTCCTTAATCACTAATCATCATTATCAAGTGTCATGTCAACCTCTCCAGGGAGTTCCTATGTAGGCTTCATTTCTTCCCTCTGTTTAAGGTAAAATTGCACTTTTGTCCCAGAAGTTTATTCAGGATTGGATTACTAGTTATTTCAGACTTGGAAGTTTGTTAGAACAACTCGTCAGCTCATACACTGAATCATTTATTGCCATACTGCAAGACCATCTAGTAGCTGCTCCCTCTGCCAGCCGAGAACTGTCATGTGCTCGAGTTAAATCTATACTTTCTTTATAAAAGTCATACTGTGCTTTTTTTTCCCCACATATTGTGTGACAGATAATCATAAATCAGCTCTCATATAAAACTACAGACCAGAATTTTGTTTCTTGTCACCAAGATTATTTATCCTGTGAATATAGACAGAGAAAAGACCTCACACTATCCTGAAAAAGCAATAATGGTACAAAACCAATAAGATGTATATAAGCAACAGAAACATGGACCAACAGGTTAGTCAACAGACCTTCAACTAGCATTCCTCTTCTTTGTACACCTTCAAATGTCAACTTAAATATATGAAAAGAACACAACAGCAGTCAATTTAAGCTTGTTGATATTTCCATAGAGTTATCCCCAAAAAGTGCGGCTTTCCAAGCTAGATGGAATTCAGGACTGTACATGGTTAAGATCAAGTGGACCCAGGTCATGGCACTGAGAGCCAGGGCACTACCGCTACACTATAACAAAATTACCTCAACCACAAACCAAAGAACACTATGCTGACCTAATGTTCAGCCTAGATATAAAAAGAATGAAATTATGTACATTGGTCACAAGTAAATATCTCACATTAATACATGTATGCATGCTATTTCCAGGTATCAGACAACAAAGAAAAGAATAATGATGATAAGAAGAACCAAGGAGAGGACCCCGATTGCGCACCACTGGCGACGATCTGAAAACAAAGACAACCATGTTAATTCACTCAGCAGGATAAAATTCCAGCAAGAGAAACATCAAATTACAATTATGTTGTTTGCCACGTGGTAACCTGTAGCTGCATTGCTTGTTTTCTTTTTCAAGCCTGTAGCCTAGCCACATGTTCTTCAACCTGTGGTGCACAGGCCGGTGCAGATCCACAGAAGTGTTCTGTCCACACAAGGAATATTTCATCTTTATTACAGGGGTCTCCACACAAGGTTCATTTTATCTTTATTATAGGGGTCTCCCACACAAGGCTCATTTTATCTTTATTACAGGAGGTCTCTTTTTGACTTATCTATGGTTGGTTTAGTAATGTGGTTTCTCTTAATGGCACCCCACTCCAAGATGTAGAGTCGTACACCTATTTGGGCAGTAATGTAGATAAAGATGGAGGAACTGATAGAGATATTTAAAAAAAAAAAAAATACAAAAGGCAAGAGGAGCTTTCATAGCACTAGGGAATTTGTGGAGGTCAAAAGAAATTAAAAGAAATACTAAACTAAAAATTTTTAATTCTAATGTAAAATCAGTACTTTTGTATGGGGCGGAAACATGGAGAACAACTAAGGCAAATTCTAATAAATTACAGACATTCATTAACTGGTGCCTGCGCATAAAAGAGGGAATTAAATGGTATGATAGAATAACTCATGTAGAACTTTGGGAAAGAACTAAACAAGCTCCAGTGGACCAAGAGGTGAGGAAAAGACGCTGGCCTTGGATAGGACACACACTGAGAAAACAGGAGAACAGCATAACTAGAATGTCTTTGCATAGGAACCCACAGGGGCATAGGCATAAAGGAAGGCCAAAAAACACATGGAGAAGAGAGCTGGAGAATGAAGTTAGAAAGATGGGGAGAGCTTCATGTAATGGCGAAGGATAGAACGACTTGGCGTGAGTTAGTTGAGGGCCTATGCTCCATTGGGGGACAGAAAGGCTCATTTTATCTTTATTACAGGAGGTCTCCACACAAGGTTCATTTTTTCTTTATTACAGGAGGTTTCCACACAAGGCTCATTTTATCTTTATTACAGGAGGTTTCCACACAAGGCTCATTTTATCTTTATTACAGGGGGTCTCCATTTTGAAGTTGTTAAGACTTTTATCTTATGCTCTTAAGGTTGTAGGTTCAATTTTAGACCATCCTTCAGCTTATGAGTGCAGCTGCTTCAGAGATCCCCCTTCTGTGATCATTGGGTTTCCTGGATGCAGAGGCACTGACCCACAGACTGTGGTGCAGCAGAATCAGGGCATATACTGGTTAAGACCTGCCCAAACCTCTCCATGGCCATCCTAGAGAGCCTGGCCAACACAGATAGGATCCACACTTCCTTTGAAAACAGATTGCATCTTCCTCAGCCATGGGACCAGCAGTGTGCAAATAAGCCAGGTCTGTAATAGCGGATGTACACGCAAAACAAGTCCGGAAACATTCAGTGAAGTGAACAAACAACCAGAACTTTCTGCCAACGTTTTCAGCTGGTGAACACAACGAAGAAGAAGAGTCTCCAAGGCTGTCGTTAATGAATCATCTGCAGCTTCAATCCTGAGTTTTCACTGTACATTCTGCTAGCTTGTATCATGACTACACACCGAAACTGCCTTTCCATTTACATCTTTCACTTCCTCTAATTATTTGTCTAAAATGTTTCCTTGTAAAAGCATTTAGTAAACTGTTATGTCATTTGACATTAGCAATGTGCTTTGTCTTTCTCACTTGTATTTCTGTCAACAGCATCCTTATTAAACAGAGCTGTTGCAGTATTTCCGCATTCGTCCCCCTTTTTTTTTAAAGAAATCCAATTTTCTGAAGATTTCCTAAACCTGAATTTTACACTGAATGTAAACACTTTTATACCTAAGGTAACAATGTAAACACACTTAAATATATATATATATATATATATAAAAAGACAGCTTTCAAGGATAAGAAAACATACCATTTGACATATGCATAACTTTGGCAAGTTTTTTCATTGTTTGGTCCATTTTGCTTTCTGTATTGTCCATTTCATGATGAAACTCGTCCAACAATCTGTGAGAAAGGAGTGGTTACTGATTAGTCATCAGGGTATATTTAAAAAAAACTGCATAAGACCCTTTTCACGCAAGTGGCCCATCAGATAAATGATGCTAGACTCATTTTTGTATAGATCAGTCGGCCTTGATGGATGAAAAAGTTGACATCATGTTGGCCAGTTTTCCTTTCCCAGACATTTCTTTATGCCCATCTTCTTCTTCTTCGCATTCATCAGATGTAAACTCCAGCTGAAAGTTCTGGTTGTTTGTCCACTTTTGGACTCTGGTCTTGTTCCAGAACCTGAGTGTTGCATGTACATCCGTTTCACATGTATGACTCATATGCATGCAGACTGTTGGTTCCTTACCTCTCAGGCAGATGTACTCTGACTTCGAAGAAAGCTCCCAGTTAGTCAACTCTTATGACATGCTTTTGGGCAGGCAGTGGGTCTATTCTTGTCCCCCCCCCCCCCCCCCCCACAATGGGGCCCCGGAACCCACACAGGGATAAAGAGTTTTTATGCCCATCTTTGGCTGTGCTGACCTGAAAGCCAAGGCCTATTTTTTTTTTTTGTTATCTGCTCAGCACAGATTTGAACTCAAGACATTTGGGCTGTCAAGTTCAAGTTCTTCTTCTTCGTTTATTCGCCAGAAATAGATTATCTATATCTGCAGTGATGTCTCTAGTATGAATGAGTGTCTAGTGACTATCTTACTGCCGCTCCCTCAGGATTATATAATTTTCATTCTTACGTAGACTTCAGGTTGGTATCGGTCACGTGTGAAATCAGGGAGATGATAATAACGGACCAGCGCTGGTCGGGTTCCCTAATCCAGCAGTTTTCCTGTGCCAGGCTTATTGTTAGGTATTGCCTGTTAGCAGTGAGAATGGTAGGCACTTCCTGGCCAGCTTGTGTTGAGCTCAGTTTTTCAGGACACTACCCTACAGCTTCTTTTGCCTTTCTATCCCCCAATGGAGCATAGGCCCTCATCCAATTCATGCCAGGTCGTTCTATCCTTTGCCATTGCATGACGTTCTCCACATGTCATCCCTATCTTTTTAACTTCCCTCTCTAGCTCCCTTTTCCATGCATTTTTTAGTCTTCATTTATTTCTATGCCCCTGTGGGTTCCAGTGCAAAGACATTTTAGTAATACTTTCTCAGGTTTTCTCAACACGTGTCCTATCCACCGCTAGCTTCTTTTCTTCACCTCTTGATCCACTGGAACTTGTTTTGTTTTCTTCCAAAGCTCTACATTAGGGATTCTATCACACAATTTGATTCCCTCTGTTCTGTGCAGGCACCACCAGTTAATGAATGTTTGTAGTTTGTTAGTTATGGCTTTAGTTGTTTGTTCTTCAGGATTCTGCTCCATGCAACAGTAGTGATTTGACATTTGAATTAAAGATTTTGAGTTTAGTATTGGTTTTAATTTCTTTTGAACTCCACAAATTCCCTAGTGCTACCGCTCTTACCTTCTGTATTTGTATTTTAATACCTCTATCAGTTTCCTCTTTGTGCTGGGCTTGAAGATAGTGGTTATATTGCAAGAAAGTCACAGCTGACAAATCTGGGTTTTTGTGTGTATGGCAGAGAATGCAGGTGAAACTCTCTCATTGCCACGCAACCCAACAAACATGTTTTGGTTACTCAACACATGGCAACCTTGTCTTAGCTTTGTAATTATATTACATTTGTTATAGTCAATTTACTCTACCCAAGTTATTACTGTAACTCTCTTTGTCTCATTGTTAGTAAACAAAAATGAAAAAAAAAAAAAGGTTCCTGTTTATGCCAATTGCACATCAAGCATATGAGACTATACTTATATTTTTATAGACCAATCGGCGATGTCAAACCGGCCACCTTCATCTCCCAGGATATAAGCTGGTATCCTTTTTTAGGTTGTGTCGCTCCGAGAGCCAAGGTAAATAATGTTTCCATCTCTGCTCTGTGTGGATTTGAGTTCAGACCTTTGGGCCTGTAGGAAAGCTTTTCCCACTGTTATCTTAGGTTAATTCAGTCAACTCAAAGTTTGTTACTCATAGGTATATACACTTTAGACAGTGCTAAAGATATAACTGACTATGGCTAAAAGATTCTTCTTTTCTTCTTCTGCCTTTCAACCCCCCCCCCCCCCCCCCCCCCTGGAGCATAGGCCCTCAACCAACTCACGCCAAGTCGTTCTATCATTCGCCATTGCATGGAGCTCTCCCCATGTACTTCCCATCTTTTTAACTTCACTCTCAATTCCCTTCTCCATGGTTTTTTTTTTTTTTGGGGGGTTGGGGGGTCCTTCCTTTATTTCTATGCCCCTGTGGGTTCCAGTGCAAAGACATTCTAGCTATAAAAGAGATTAAAGAAATAAACAAGTTTTCAGGCTTGCTAGCACCAACTCCCAAACACTGCTGCAAACAAACATATCAGTGCTATTTATGAGCAACTTTCCAACATACAAACATTGCTATAAACAAAGATATTAGTGCTACTTTATGAAGCAACACTCCAACACACAAACATTGCTTCAAACAAAGACAGCAGTGCTACTTTAAGAAGCAACACTCCAACACATAAACATTGCTTCAAACAAAGACATCAGTGCTACTTTAAGAAGCAACACTCCAAATCATAAACATTGTTGCAAACAAAGACATCAGTGCTACTTTAAGAAGCAACACTCCAAATCATAAACATTGTTGCAAACAAAGACATCAGTGCTACTTTAAGAAGCAACACTCCAACACATAAACATTGTTGCAAACAAAGACATCAGTGCTACTTTATGAAGCAACACTCCAACACATAAACATTGCTTCAAACAAAGACATCAGTGCTACTTTAAGAAGCAACACTCCAAATCATAAAACATTGTTGCAAACAAAGACATCAGTGCTACTTTAAGAAGGAACACTCCAAATCATAAACATTGTTGCAAACAAAGACATCAGTGCTACTTTATGGAGCAACACTCTAAACTCACAAACACTGCTGCAAACAAAGATATCAGTGCTACTTTATGAGCAACTTTCTAACATACAAACATTGCTACAAACAAAGATATCAGTGCTACTTTATGAGCAACTTTCCAACATACAAACACTGCTGCAAACAAAGATATCAGTGCTACTTTATGAGCAACTTTCCAACATACAAACATTGCTACAAACAAAGATATCAGTGCTACTTTATGAGCAACTTTCCAACATACAAATGTTGCAGCAAACAAAGATATCAGTGCTACTTTATGAGCAACTTTCCAACATACAAACGTTGCAGCAAACAAAGTTATCAGTGCTACTTACATGTTTTGATCTTCCAACTCACTGCCAATTTGCTGGCTCATGTTTTTCAGTACCCCAACACTGGAACCAATCATGTCCAGCTGCTCATCCTGAGTTCGTAGTAGCAGCTGGGGAACATCAAAAATATACACACAAGTGTCAAGCTCCTTCAGCAAGGACTGATCTGGTGATGGCTTTAACTCTTACTGTCCCTGCCACATTTCTACTCTGTTAATTAGTTAGTCGACAGATTATCCTCCCTGCACATCAAACCATTCAAAAAAGCTCTCCAGCCGTGGAGGACAGAATTCAAAATTTGCCAAGCACGTGCCTACCTCAGAGTCAGCGCAGACACAATATACCCGCTGCGTTATGAAATTAAGAAGAAAAGGGGCAGCAGGTTAAAAAGAGGAGACCTGACATAGAGACCTGACATAGACTCAAAAATCCAGCTGAAGTGCAGGCCTTGAGTTTCAAGAATTCTCTAGAACAGCATGTTAAAAAGATGTGTGACCAGACAAGAGCACTATGCAGAAAGCCAAAGAAGAATCAGCAGATTTACTCTGTTCTAGTCACTATTTAAACTCCTGTTTGTGACAATAGTAACAAAGACCCGCTATGTTCTTGTTATTTCAACTCCTATCACAGACAGTAGTAACACAGACCCACTCTGTTCCAGTCACTAATTCAACTTCTGTCTCAGACAGTTATTAAACAGACCCACTCTGTTCCTGTCACTAATTCAACTTCTGTCTCAGACAGTTATTAAACAGACCCACTCTGTTCCTGTCACTAATTCAACTTCTGTCTCAGACAGTTATTAAACAGACCCACTCTGTTCCTGTCACTAATTCAACTTCTGTCTCAGACAGTTATTAAACAGACCCACTCTGTTCCTGTCACTAATTCAACTTCTGTCTCAGACAGTTGTTAAACAGACCCACTCTGTTCCTGTCACTAATTCAACTTCTGTCTCAGACAGTTGTTAAACAGACCCACTCTGTTCCTGTCACTAATTCAACTTCTGTCCTAGACAGTTGTTAAACAGACCCACTCTGTTCCTGTCACTAATTCAACTTCTGTCTCAGACAGTTATTAAACAGACCCACTCTGTTCCTGTCACTAATTCAACTTCTGTCTCAGACAGTTGTTAAACAGACCCACTCTGTTCCTGTCACTAATTCAACTTCTGTCTCAGACAGTTGTTAAACAGACCCACTCTGTTCCTGTCACTAATTCAACTTCTGTCTCAGACAGTTATTAAACAGACCCACTCTGTTCCTGTCACTAATTCAACTTCTGTCTCAGACAGTTATTAAACAGACCCACTCTGTTCCTGTCACTAATTCAACTTCTGTCTCAGACAGTTGTTAAACAGACCCACTCTGTTCCTGTCACTAATTCAACTCCTGTCTTAGATAGTTGTTAAAATGATCCACTCTGTTCTAGTTATTTGAACTCTTATCCCAGACAGATGTCACATTACCCACTTGGTTCCAGTCATTAATACTGCTCCTGTCACAGACAGCAGTAACGCCAATCCAGTCCATTCTAGTTTTTAATTACATTCCTATCCCAGAGAGTTGTTACACTGACACACACTGTTCTAGTTACTAACAGAATTCACTCTCCTTACAGCTGATATGCTCATCCATTCTGAACTAGTTATTAATGTAACCCTTCTGCTACCCTGATAATTATAATTTGATTGTCACATAGTCATAAACATAACAAAGTAAAATTATACATTCTACATTATTTTGTTTTATGAAACTATAATGGTGAAGGTGATTCCATTGCAATAACTGTCACCAAATAAAAGAAAGAAAGGTTGGGGCAAAAAGTAACTTGTCTTCTGATGTTTGAACAGGTAGTGTAAAAATCGTTTTTTCAGTAACATACACCTAAGACTTACTTTACTTTAAGCACCCTTTTTCACACATTTAAGGATATAGGGCTAGACCTATATTTTATAGACCAATCGGCACAAGATGGGTCATGATGTCAGCATTACGCCGGCCACCTTTACTTCCTGGGACTGCACCCGGTACCCACTCAAGGCTGGGTCGACCTGGGAGCCAACGTCATTTGAAAAAAAAAAAAAAGTCCGGCTCCGCCAGGGAGCGAACCCACGACCTTTCGATCCGCAGCCTAAGAAAAATAATTAACATTAAATGGGTTCAATTCAAGAGAGGTGAAGAAATAAGCAAATATCTTGACAACCACTGACATCAACAGCTAAATGACTAAGAAAATGGCAATATATTGGGCAAACCTTGAGAAGGGGATATGAGAATCGTCAAACAGGCACTAAAATTGGAACCAGATGTCCAAGAGAAACTCTAAGATGAATGACGATGAGAGAAGCCAAAGGTGCTAGATGGATTTACCATCCATGGTATCCAGAAGACTGCACAGCACAGAACAGAAAGGAGGAAGAGACTGCAAGTCCTGCGAGATTTATAAAATAGCATGACGAAGATAATGATGATGATGAAAAAAATCTGACAGACTACCAAGTTGTCCTGCATGAGCAGGATACCTTTTGTTGCTGTTGTGTGTCGCTGATGTATCTCTGGTTAGCTTGTTCCATCTCTTCATCCAGACGTGTGTACTTATCCTGAGGTGTTTTGGGACCATTAGATGTTGAGAAGAGATTCTTCTTTGACCTGGAGTCATCTCTCTGTCCATTGTTAGGGCTTGATATCTGACTCTTCATATCCTATTGAGTGATTACAAGAACATATTTCTCCATTCAAACTCAATATAAACAGTATAAATTTAGAAAGTTGGTGGCACATCCTTTACAGGATGTTGCGGAACCCCAGCATTTTTGGCTGTTGTGGTTTTTTTGGAGGCAAATTTAACGTTCAGTAGTTTGCCACTGCTTACTGAACGGTCAGCTCTCAGTACCACTGTCAAAACCAAAGCAAAACATATTGCCTGCAGCTGGGATCGAACCAAAGCACATTTGCAATGCAAAAGCCCCAGACGCTGACTATATATCAAGAGAACATGAAGAAAAAGCATGAACAAATATTAAGAGAGGTACTCTGAAAATAATGCCCATTTCTTTTTTCTTGCAAACTGTGAGGGCAACAATGCATTAAATTCACTGATAATGTACCTAATACATACTTTTCACATCATAATTTACTAAATAATTTCCATCCACTTTCTTTTTCTTCATGAGATGCTGCCTGTTCTCCTGTATACCCATATCTCCAGAGACTCAATTTGGTTTTCTAGATGCTTAATAATTGTCCAGGTTTCTGCATCATACAGTTGGTACATAACATTTTATAATTCTCATTTTTAATGTGCTCTTTCAAAAGAAGCCATGCCTTCAGCTGTGTTGCTTGGAGGAGGGGGGGGGGGGAGGAAGAAACATGGATAAAGGAGAAAAGGACTGCAGACAAGTTAAGAGCTGAACGTCTGAGAAGAAATATGTCAGATAAATGTGATGGCAACATAGAAATCTTACACATTTATTGTCGAAAATGTTTTCTTAATATGAACATCACATGCCTTCCTATAGCATAATTGAACACTATCAACTAGAAAGACAGAAAAGTGTCAACAAAGGAAAGTATTGTGCACAAAGTTATGCATCTCCAACAAGTCTCTAACTTTAATACGCACTTGTTGAATGTTTACTTTCTCTAAACAGATTCTATCTAAGTTAATGCATTATATCCACACCTGGTTGGGTTTGTTTTTCCACAAAATATTTTGCCACGTCAGCAGCCTTTAAGCCTACTCTCTACAATGTCCAACTGTAGTTGCATTTTTGCACTTGCAAACTAAGCCTTCAATCTTCATATCTTTAAAAGAGAGTGTTAGGTATCTTACATAGTTACCCAAGAGATCACTTCTTTACAATCCAAATTGTCGGAGTAAATTTCAACTCAAGATCTGTAAAGCAAGATACAGCTGACTGCATTGGATCAGCTTTTAACGGAAAGTTCCACCCACACATCGACACACAAATTACCTGAAGTGACTTACATAAATATTAGAATGGAACAAAAGCCGAATCCTCTTGTCATATATGGGATTCCACAAAGAAACCACATTAGTGGCCTCCAAATTATTTCCACTTTCTATTTTTTAAAAATAGTTTTTACTATTTTTGTCCAACTGTTAAAGTGTTCATCTATCACTATTTTAACAAAAAATCTTAAGAACATAGAAAACAGTGATAGCTGTACGCTTGAACAGCCAGGCAAAAATAATAATTTAAGTAATTTTAACTCTGTTAAAATATCAGAGCATTTTTCTAGTGATGATAATGTAAGATAACTTGTTCTTACCCTAACTGTTGTCTTTGTCTTGTCCACAAAGTTTCTCCTCTCTTGCAACTCATACTCGGATATTTTAAACTTTCTGGGGTTTTTGCCAACAATACTTGACACTAGTTAAAGCAAATATGTCATATTTTGAAGTATTATATAATGTTATTCAGTGGGAAGACATGGGAGCAGCTGTGGAATAGTGGTTAGTGTGACTGCCTGCCAAGACAGTGGTATAGGTTCAATCCCAGAAGTAGCAAAATTGTGTTCGACCAGCACAGTTCTAGGGTCAAGCCAGCCTCATGAATGTTGAATCAAGAATCGACATCACAGCACTCTGGACACCCCTATAAGCACTCCATACCCATCTTCAGCAGCAAGGGAGAAGTTCCTATTCCGATGGTACCAGTAACTGTCTGATTGTAAATTTGTGTCCCCCTTTGAGTGTTGAGCGTCAGCCAGATACCCTGGTATCTCCCCACAGCACTATTCTCCTCAGACAGTAATGATCCATTTGTACCTCCTCACTATTCACTCGCTCCCAAAGCCAGTCCCATATAGAGATAGGTGACAATATCCATAATTCTTTGGAAACTGGCTGGGAACAAAAGGTGGTGAGAACTAGCAAAAGCCACCTCACCTCGAATATGTAAGAAAAAGTGACAAGCTTCTCCTATCTTACACATGCAGTAACAGATAATGGCAACAGTGAAATAGAAATTCTATTAATACTGAGACTGAAGTTTTTGAATGTTTACGATTTTACTAGGCAGTTTTACATTCAGTAGCTTGCCACAGCTTCTGGCGCCCCATACCACTGTCGAAGTTAGCACCTGATCTGCTACCAAAACATTTTGACAGTAGTCTAAGGTTTCGCTGCCTGAGCAACTGAGTTTAGTGCCTGATGCAGCCCTGTAGGATGTGTTTTTTCCTTCACTTGGAATGCCTTTCATTTGTGCAGCGACTGAGTCGAGGTATTCAATAGAGCATGTAGCCAGTTTTAGTGTGGCTGCAAAATATCTTATGAAACAATTCTACGTGTATATAGCCAACTTATTTTAGCCAACTTATCATGGCCAACTACTTCCATCAACAACAAAGTGCCTTTCTGGCGGTGACTGTTGGCTTTGGCGCCTCTAGTGACTGCTGTATACATTTACTGCATGTACATATCTCTTGACTGTTCCGAGACTAGTTGTTTGTTCAGCAGTTTTTCAAATAGGACAGTGAGGAACATCTCATTTGATATTCACTGTTACAAGAACAGAGCAAGTACGTGGTGACCCGACTGCATTGAAGTTGAAATTTTGACTAAGACTAAGATTAAAAAGTGCACCTGCAATGCCGAAGCCACAGATGCCAATGGAAACAGGAATAAACTATAAAATTAAAAACAATCTGCAACAGGAAATTAAGCACGGAAGACAACACATTGAAAAAAAAAAAACTATTAATCTTACTGGTACACAAAAGAGGAAGTCAAAAAATTTAATGTGTCAGTAAAAGGATATCAACTGTTTCTTCAAGATCCTCCAGATCCCATTCTATACTACGCAGACTGTTTCGCAGCTCATTTGTGGTGTACTCAAACTCTTCCCTAGATGAAACTCCTCCATTCTCCTGCAGCTCTCGCCATCGTGAAAACAAGTTGCGGACAACCACCAGAGCCTTCTGAACTTCACTGCAAAAAATACAAATTGCATTTTTCCAGATGTTACAAGCAAATGTATCATCCTTGTGAGACACCCTTCAATGAATTAGCACAATGCAAAACATTATTAAATCCAACACATTCTATATTGTGGTAATGATACATGTATAGAATGGAGGATGAAAGAGCTGCTAATGTATCCTCTATGGTGATTTACAGATTTAAAAGATTTGAGAGCTGGCCTCTAATATGATATAAAGATGTGTGTAAGTGGGACATGAATGAAACGTTTTGTGAGATGGATTCATGAGCAGGATGCCATGGATCATGTTGCATGGAAGAGAAAGATCATGAGGTGAATGAGAACGAAGAAGAAAATGATTACAGGTAGGTAAATAGCTAAGCATTTGGGAAGAAATTCACAACAAGATGTGATGGCAACCTTGACCCTGAAGTCTCATGCCCTTATTATGGAAAACTTTTTTTTTTAACACGAGCTGACCCTGCTAGTCACATTCGCTACAGTCATGGATGTTTATTCCCACACCTCCCTAATGCACACTGTAATACGACTGGCAATTCTCTATGTAAGTTCCGGGGCCCTATTGTTGGGGGGGGGGGGGGAATAGACTCACTGTCTTCCTAGCAAGCATGTCACAGGACTCGACTAACTGGGGACTTCCTTTAAAGTCAGAGTGCATCTGCCCGAGCGGCAAGGACACAATCACTAAACTCGAATAAGCCAGTAAAATGGATGTATTCACAAAATTCAGGCCCTGGAATAAAGACAAAGTTCAAATGGATGAACAACCAGGACTTTCCACCACAGCTTACAGACGGTGAACAAAGAAGAAGAAGAGTGTTGTCAATATAATATTGGAAAGAGGAAAGCTGCCAAATTTCTATGTAGTGAGGTTAATTATTCTTATACTTTAAAACATCTTTTCCTGCCATGACATTATCGTCATTGTCATTAAGTACCTTCCTGACCAGCATGAGCGACTGTGCATTTCCACACCTCGCAGTCTCTTACAGCTCGTACCAAGTTCATGTGCTGACACCTTTCCATATCACGGCAATCGCTGTCAAAAATCTTCTTTTGTTTCTGTCTTCTGGATCTCTTTCTAAAAATCTGTCCAACTGCTGCAAACATGTTCCAGCTTTTCTCATCTCATCATGTGGCTTACAATTTGTTTTAAATATATATATGTATATATAAAACCGCCTCTTTATTATGTTTGTAAAACAAGTCTTTCTTCCCCGTTGAGGCTCTTTCAAAACATTCTATTATTTTGGCTGGCCAGGCAATTTTAAGCATCTTGTTTGCCTGCATTCATCTCGTCCCGCCAGTATAGTTGTATATAAATGTAATGCTGCCAAACTATTCCGTCTCTTTTTAACTTCTTCCAACAGATAGTGTGGTGGGAACAAAACTTGTTTCCCTTCCTTTTTAAACCTTCCCATTCACACTCAAGCAACAATAACAAAACTTTCTTCTTTCTTCTTCTTCTGCCTTTCTATCCCCCAATGGAGCATAGGCCCTCAACCAACTCCTGCCAAGTCGTTCTATCCTTCGCCATTGCATGGAGCTCTCCCCATGTCCTCCCAATCTTTCTAACCTCATTCTCCAGCTCTCTTCTCCATGTATTTTTTGGCCTTCCTTTATTCCCTGTGGGTTCCATTGCAAAGACATTCTAGTTATGCTGTCCTCCTGTTTTCTCAGTGTGTGCCCTATCCAATGTTCATCAAGCTAACACAACTTTACAGTTCCATAAATCTCTTCACAGGTGTGTATCTTTTGCTAAAGACCACTTTTGCAATGATCATTCCTGCTGTAATTTCTGCTCGGCATCTTGCTAAAGACCACTTTTGCCATGATCATTCCTGCTCTAATTTCTGCTCGGCATCTTGCTTCAGATGTTATGAATGTTCCTAGATAGCTGGTGTACCGATTCACTTGCTGTAAAAAAAAAAATGTTCCAGTCACCTGTAAACTAGTGTACTACCCGGTACTCCTGTCAAATCCGGACGAAGAATAAAAAGCCTTGGACGACTTAGTCAGAGTTCTCTCCCTTGGGCGCACTGCGAACAGTGATCGGAAAAGCCACAACGAAACAAACGACACAAGCAACATGGCAGTTAGACGCACTCACATAACTAACATCGTTATTTCGACGCACGACTTAGTTGCCACGGACGTAACTCCTGCAGACCTGTATGCCATAATGACAGATAAGTATGCGTGGTTGCGGTGGCTAGCTGAGCATAGTCTGATAAGGAACACGCAACCGTGTGCACGAGGTAGTAGTCCACCAGACCAACTTCGTCGACGCCGTACACAGTCACATACACACACAAACAATTGAGGGCCTCTGGATGCTGGTGAAACGCACCATTCGCCAACGATTGGGCACCAGCCGCACACTATTGGCGTCATATTTAGCAGAATTCCAGTGGCGCCACGCCCACAAACATCAGAGTGTCGGCCACTATTTCCAAACCCTACGTCAAAATTTTAACATCTAACATCTAACCCTAACCCTACCCCTAACCCTACCCCTAACCCTAACCCGACCCCTAACCCTAACCCTAACCCTACCCCTAACCCTACCCCTAACCCTACCCCTAACTCTAACCCAACAACCGCATGATGATGACTACACAACCATTCACAATGCCTTACGAAACCGTACGCAGCCCTACACGCAACCGCAGGATGATAGGTAAGTGTGTCGTTTATTTCGTTTGTTTTCCGAGTGCGGCCAAGGGAGAGAACTCTGACTAACTCGTCCACGGCTGTTTATTCTTCGTCCGGATTTGACAGGAGAGCCTACTACCCAGTGAGCAACCACAGCTCAAAAAATGATAGTAACAATCAGGAGCACCAGAACTGGGGGGAGGAGGGGCCTCAGGCACCTTGAGCACCCCACAAGCTTTTGCTGGTGCAAAAAATAGTGGGTGTGTGTGGGGGGGGGGGGGGGGGGGTGAACCAAAAGAACAATTTAGTTGGTAAGAATGTGAACTATATAGTTACTGAATGTATTATTAATTACTCTTTCAGGTTTCCCATAGTAAATGAATGCATCAAATGTCCTAAGAATCTACAATGCATTGTGAATTGTGGCACTTTTAACTCAGTAACTGGTACTTACTCTTTCACAACAAAGAAAGGATCTTCCACAGACATCCTGAAGAATCTCTAATTGTTGGGGGTTGTAAAATGTGTAGGCGTCAGCGATGCACAACGTGATAAATCCGTAAACAATCCGCCTAGCTGTGAAAATCAAGCTCCTGCTATTATGTGAATGTGTTGAACGCGAATCTAGCGTCACCGAGCACCTCGATCTACCACCATATCTCAGTGATTATGATTTAACGTTTGAGTTTAATAATTACATTTAAATCGTAGAAAGTGAACGTAAGGAAACGGAAATCAAACCTATTTTCCCAGTAACCAAGTTCTCATATTATTTAATAAAGTATATTTATATATGTGTAATGTGGCTATTGTATAATTCAAATTTGTTAAATGTTCAAACAGGAATTAGGAATAGTACAGCGAGTAACTAACTAACTATGGATGCCCTTACTGGACTTTGTTGACCGCCCACCAACCTATCTATCTACTATACGTCGCTCAGTCTGTCTCCGGTTGTCGTCGTAGTTTTACTGTAATCTTAACATTTCATGTCCTTCCACAGCTGCTTATAAATCTACGATCAAATACTGTGAAAAATCCATCTTCAAAACAAGTTTTAAAGGTAAAAAGCCTTGGTATTGAAAACAATTGTATCGAGCAAGAATCTCTCCTGATTATGAGACAGATTGCTGGACTCCATCTTTGCTTCTAACAATAACGTCATCAGGGGGGAATTCTTTATGGGGTTTCCCGACCTACTTTGGTTTTCACACGGCCGAGCTCCAGCTTCTTATATTCTGGAGAAGGCGATGGGTTTTCATTAGTGATTAAAAACAAATTTAAATACATACTAATACTGTGTATAATAATTGGGTTCTATATTTTTAACGTCCCCCAAACACGAAATTCCCGTAGGAATTCCACAGCTGACTTGACAGTCAATTATTTCAAGGGGTGCAAGTGTGCTGCTGTTTTTTTGAGTGTTCATCTAGTGTTTTATGGTGCGACATATTTCTGTCTGTTGGTGCGCATTTGGCTGCTTGATGATGCGCAATTGGCCGGTCTACAAAATTAGTCATGTTTTTAGAACATATCAACTTTCGTCCTTTTTAGGACGAAGTTTTTTATCATTTGAAGCCCTACTCTGGCTTTTGCCGGGGGCCGCAATATAGGCAGGCCATACATATGGCCAAATGTCTGAACGCGGTTTCTGGGACCTCTCCACGGCGATCCTCATCCGCATGGTGGCACTTTGTGTCATCGGGTGTTTATCGCTTGTGTGATGTCCTGGTGGGGTAGAAAGTCAGTCAGTCAGTCAACATATCAACATGTGAGTGTATATTGTAGTTGGTATTACATCCGCCTCATAAACGAAAGATACCGCGTTCAATACCTATGTGATGCTTTTAATCCATTGTGAAATTCTTTTTTTTTTTTTAAAGAAATGTAAATTTTGTGTGTGTGTGTTTTTGTTTTCACAACGTTTTTTTTAAATGAAATGTAAATTGTGTGTGTGTGTTTGTTGTCACAACGATGTTTTTTTTTTTTTTTTCACTACAACGGTTGTTTTTTTCACTACATGTAAAATGTGCACTTTGGCTATGTGAACTCTATATGCAATCGCAGGAAATGACAATTGGGGTACTGTGGGGGGCCCTAAAAAGGGCCAATCATTCTACATGAATACTGCTGGGTTCACGCACGAATTGACAATCACAGAGATTTTACACGTTAGTAGATCTGGACTGAGGTCAAACTGCGGTGGCAGAAGAGACGACGGACTAGTGGTCTTGCGGCTGCCAGAATCTAGCTATGTCTGCTAGAATGGTTGCAAACATGTCGCCACCCGCACATTTTTTTCCCCGTTAGATTTTGGGGCTTACAGCTAGCCTGCGATAGCGGCGACGTGATGCTCAATGTTCATGTCACGGGTAATATTCGTTCGCAATTGAGAGGGCGGTTGGCATGTTGTGTTGTGGTTTACAGCTAGGCTGCGATATCTGACCTAAAGTCTTCAGTCTTCGGTAGTAGAGTTGTAGGTATTCCGCCCTTCACGTGTATTCTGCCTTACGCCCTAAGACATCCGATTTAAGTACAGTCCACATTAGCCTCCCCCCTCCCCCAACAACAATATTTCGCTAGGCGATGACTTTCCCATACTTCGTAGAGGATGATATGATTGGGGGGGGGGGGGGTGCCGAGGGAGTTGATGCCAGACACTGTTAACTGAGAGAGCTTAAAATATTTTTTTACATTTCTCATTTCTTAACTATTTCTAATTTAACATTGTCGCCATATAATAATGTTTCAATCATTCGGAGAGGGATATATAATTCGTTCGCCGTTGAGAGGGCGTTTGCAACGTTGTGTTGTTGTTTACAGCTAGGCTGCGATATCGGACCCAATCTCTTCAGTCTTAGGTAGTATATTTGTACGTTATCCTACCTTCACGTGGTTGACCGGTGTGCAATTACCCACTGGGTGCTAATTTTCCTTTTTCTCTCAAGAGGGCTGTTGACATGTTGTGTTGTGATTTACAGTTAGGCTGCGATATCTGCACCTTTCGCCCAAAGACATCCGATTTCAGTAAAGTCCCATTTATCCTCCCCCGCGACGCTTCACGCGATGATAAACTATTCGTAGATGACAGAAGGAGTTAAAAAAATATGCTTAAAATCCAGTTTACTTGGGTGGAAAACATCTAGAAAAAGGTCATTTAACATTCGTCCCTTCGGAGAGGGGAGATGATGGGTGGGGGTTTTTATTTCCGCTATTTGTGAGTATAGAACGGACTATTACTGTGGGTTTTCTTTTTCTTTGCTGTGAGCTCAATCACATTAAACAGTCCGTGGCGACATCATGCAGCGCTAACCCCTCTGGCTACACCAACCTGCACAGACAGTAGTGACTGTTTTTTTTTAATTTTTTTTAATGAAGGTGGTGGTGGTAGTGGTAGCAGTAGTACTGGTACTGGATGGGTGATGTGGTAGCTTTTACACTAGCCACATTTACTTCTCATTACACATTAATGCTATCCATCTGTCTCTGGGTGGACACGGATGCAAAGCTCAGTTCAGTTACAATATTTCGTCAGATGATGACTTTCCCATCCTTTTGCGAGGATGATAGTAGTAGTGGAGTAAAAAGTGGGATCGGGGGGGGGGGGTTGATGGCAGAAGCACTGTAAAACAAGAGAGAGCTTAAAAGCTGTATTTTAAAGTAGGACTGTAAACTATATCTATTTTAATAATTTCGCAAAGTGATGATTTTTTACTCCTTCGGAGTCAGGGAGATATGACTGGGTCGAGGGGAAGAGGGACCATATTGAGGGTTATGACCCAACTGTTTAGTCGAGAGCTACTTTCAAAAGTCATTTTCCATTTCACCCGAAAATCCACAGCAACGCGTGACGAAGCACAGCTAAAAAATATATATATCTCGCTTGAGCGACCGTGGTTTTCACAACCTACGATTAGTTCATGTGCTGACACCCCTCATGACTTGTCTTGATAAAAGGCTGTCAAAATCTTCTAACCTGTCATCATCATCTGTTTCTACTAGGTCTCTTTAGCGCCATTTTTTATGAAGCTTGTCACAATTTTTCTTCTTCGCCCTTCTTCTTCTTCTTCTTCTTCTTCTTCTTCTTCTTCTTCTTCTTCTTCTTCTTCTTCTTCTTCTTCTTCTTTTGCGTTCCCTCTTTCAGTACTCTCTGGGTACCGTCTCTGATTATTGAACTGCATATATGATGAGAAGTTATATTTCACAGTGGAGCATCAGGTGTACGAACTATGCTAAGTGCAACAAGGAAGGATCGACTTAGGAACGATGATATCAGGAGGAGAGTCGGCACAGAACAAAAACTTAACTTTATCGGTAGACAACAGATCAAATGGTTTGGCCATGTAACAAGACTGACATTAGACAAGGGACCACAGAGAGCAGTGTTATACAAATACGACGGCAACAGACCCAGAGGTAGACCACATAGATTATGGACCGCAGAAATATCAGAGACACTGAAAAGTACTTTATACGAAGCGAACAGAAGGGCCCGTTCCAAAGATCTCTTACTGTCGTGACACTGTCAGGCATTCCAGGAGTAGAGACAAGAAGAGTCAGAAGAATCTTTAGTTTTAAGCCAAGAACTGACATCACAACACTCTTGATATTCCCATAAGCGCCCTATCCTCATATCCCGCAGCCAGCAAACTCTTTACTCTGATGGTGCTAGTAGTAGTTTGATCATATGTCCTGTTCACCTTCCTGTAGCGTGTAGACCAGATCCTCTTGTCGTTTCTAGCGGTGCCATTCTCTCCAGACCATAATTATCTATTCGTGTTTTCACATCGTTCAGTTGCTCTGACAAGGCTTTGGTCCCATCTAGCTTCTCATGCGTAAATAGAACTCTACTGGGGCAAAATCAGCCATTCTGTATGCATGTTAATTTTCTAACACTCCTGCACACGCGGAACAAATATCAAAAGAACGCTAACTACCCGAGACCTCTTTTCACGTGAATTTCTTTTTCTGCATGCATGCACACGTGCAGAAATTGGGCTAATCCCACAGGAGTTATGTTCAATGCTGCCTGTAACGACATCCTAGCACTTCGGTCCTACCCATTCGTGCTCCGTCCTTTGAGGCACTAGACATCTCAGTGTCTCCATTCTCGACTTTCTCTGTCCCGCAGCTGGTTTCCTCATGCTTGTCCTTGTTTCTTACCCTCATACACATGTCTGAAACCATGCCGAGAAAGGTGAAGACAGGGATGCTTCGAGCAGAGTGGCAAGCTTCACTGGGAAGGTCACAAGTAGTGAGCATACTTTAGATCTTTTCTCCAGGCCATGACGGCGTAGTGGGTAATGAACAGGCAGACAGATTGGCTGGATCTGCACCACTGGATGGTGAATTGATACATGACAGGGCAGATGTGGTCAAGGTCCTTTGGGAACAAGCAACGGAATCAGTAGAGAAAGACGATTATTATGGCTTGGAGACAATGAGGCACCTGGGTGTAACCAGGGGGTCTGGCCAGCTCACTACACTCA